TAACACACAACGCAGCCACATGTGATCTCATCTGACGCTTATTTAGGTTGACCTGAAAAAAAGATTTGGGTTGATTTCTGCATGGCTTTAAACTTTTACATGTTTTACATTTCTTCCAACAACTGTATTGTGACACGATAAAGCATTTAGTCAGACTTTTTGAAATTGTGGCTTTTCCTGTAAGAATCAGAACTGAGATCATCCATGAAATAAGCTTACAAAGACAGCAGGTGAGGCACATCACTGACTGTATGCCAAATATATTGTTATCTTGTCTGGTAGCACTCCATTTTAAGTGTCATCTCCTTAAACACATTCATTTGCACCACTGGGTTGCACACAGTGGACAGTAAAGGGAGGAGGGGCAGAACAAATGATATTCTAGAAGCCCGAATCATGACCCAAAGCATCGACTACCTTAATTTTTTTACTCCACCATTATCCCTAATTTCCCTCTCTCCATATAATATAGTTATTCCTTTCTCCAGACATGTCTAGAAGGAGGGGGAAAAATTATTTAGAATATTTTTCACGGGTCCCAAGATTAATAAATCCTAAGAAGATTATAGCAGTAGTGAGGATCATGTGAGGTCATAAAAAACGAAAAGCAACCTCTGAATTCACAATAATGTATTACTTAGCACATTCTTAAGTAAAATGTCTTCCAATAAATTCAGTATAATGAAAGCATTTAGGACAGGTTTAATTCGCTAAATGCAAGTGAATAATTATCATGGGAATACTGAGTTAATGGAATAAAACTGACATACATATTTTTTAGTTTCAAATGGAAGAGTACAGTAAAAGTTAACTGTATGACACATTTTGCGTCCCATTGGATCTGAAGTGGAAGTGGAAGAGTCAGAATCCGAGCTGCAACAACTGGAGCACAGAAATATTGACATGGCTAATTGTTGCTGACACATTGCAAGAAGGATGGAAGTGACGCACTGGATCTGGGGGAAACCACAGCAAGAGTTCAGATATTAAAGCACAGATAAGACAGGCTGCATCACAGCAGACGAAACACAAACAACGTGGAGGTATACATTCAAAGCTGTGGAAATTTTCCATTTCAGTGCTACGCACCAAAAGTAGTAACAAACGACGCTCGAAGTGGATATGGACTTATATTGGGCAAATGGTTCGATCCGAATGAGATAAATACACATCTGATGATTGAATAGCTGACAACATATATTTTTCCATATAGTGTACAATATTACCAAAATATGCAACAGTAGCAACAAAAACAAAGGCAGCATGAGAGATAATCAGTCTTAAGTCCTCATCTAAACTACACCCAGTCTGTCCAATGCCTGCTGGCCCTGGGGATTGTGCTGGAGTTTTAATCCACTTAAAAGCAGAGGACCTCTGCTGCTGTTTCCAAGGGGCTTGACCCATGCTGAATGTGCACACACGCACATGCACAAAAACAATACATGGCTCTGTGAACAAATTCAGCCTCTCCTGAAAACACAATGTCTTTTTTATAACAGTGCAAAGGCAAATGTGAAAATCTAAGATTGCAGGCCACTTAATCATCTAGGACCAAATTCAAAAAGCTCACAGGCTAATGTGGAGGTGTGCTGATCATAAAGTTGACAATAACATTTTCAAGCAGCTCAGTCTGGTCAGACCGTGTCTGTCCTAACAACAGGGCTGGATTAACAACTCTAATTCAAGCCGATGTAGTATGCTGATGGATTGCCATGTCACAACCTTACGTTGACTGGATTTATTGAGGAGGGTCAACAATCATTTGAGCACTGTTCTACTCCACTCTAGTGTTAGTGTCTGTGAGTATGTGAATTCTCACAAGAATCTTGAAATAAATGCATTTGAATTGTTCATTCCACTCGACTAATACGACTGAATGTCACTGCTAACACGCAAAATATACATGGAATGGAATAAAATTAATGGGGGGAAAAAATAAAGTGTGCTCATGTATATTTTCTTTATAACAAAAAAAAATACTTTAAAATAATAAAGTTTAAATGTTTCATTTTGTGCAGCGGACACATTGTCATACTTTTTCTCTTCTTGCTCTACCGTTTGTCGTTATCTAATTTGAAATGTACTAATTCCTTATTCTTGCGGAGGGAGGGCGAACCACTGACTTGAACAGCTGCTTCATGACCCAAAAAACTGTCAGTCTTTCCCTGGAATAAATTGTGGAATATACCATCTTTGGGTACAGGGGGGAAGCGGAGGACGTGCTTCTCCGGGAAAGCGAGTGTTATTCAAAAGCTTGCGAGTGTCGTTGTGTCAACAAATTTTCTACCAACACTGTGAACTCAAACGAATATCAGCAGGTCAGTATAAGATGGCAAAAAGAGCGGAAAATAAGGAGCAACTCAAAGTAAGCCTCCCCTGTGTTTCAGTGCCGTGTTTCTAGAGGACCCATAGTAGAATCAATTCAGCGAGAGGGGAGCTTGAAACCGTCCGCTCATGCTTTCCTCCAAGTCTGAGTGAAACACAGTTGAAGAGAAGGTACAGGCCAGTCGGCCGCACTACAGGCTCACAACAGGCAGGCTCCCATCACCACCGAAAAACCACAGCACACCATACAGATAGAATGATAACATTTCTTTTCTGATCACAATGCAAAGATCTCAGTTAAGCTCAATATCAAATCTAGGATGCCTCATCAACTTCACTTCACGTCGCCTGGAAGTGTAAGGTCCCTGTGAAGTCACTGTAGAAGACAATCCCATACTACATGTGAACCTCGCAGATGCAGAAATGCAGTCAGGGTGCAGTTGTTGAATAGCTTCCTCTGTGAATCTCTCCCCAACCTTTCAGATGAATTCTCATCATCCCTTCCTTTTGAGAGAATTTTATTTGTCCATATGCCATTACCCTTCTATTATACAGCTCTGCCCAGGCTCTCAATCCTTTAGCCCACAGATGATTGTCTCAATTGCATCTGCTGTAGGTGTCTTTCTCACGGGTAACTGTTCACAGAAGGTAAGGATATTTGTGCAAGCAGCTGTCAGAAATGCTCTTATCGTTGTCAAAGCTCCTCTAGGGGAGCAACAACCATTAGGTTATTAATACTTCAGAGCTATTGGTTAACCACCTGCTTGGTGCTTCCCTAAAAGAGGTAAATTACTGGGTTTTCCATATGCATATGTGTATTCAGCTCTATATATTCCTACAAATTACAAAGTGGATGGTTGCTGAGCTGAAAGGTGTGCCGTCAGAGCACATTTTGGGGTCAGATTAGAGGCACCAGTGGGACTTTTTTTTCACCCCCGTAGTGCTGAGACACCTGCTGCAGGCATCTGGGACATCAGCTGACATAAACTCTGGGGTTTGCATCACAACTCTCACGCAGTTATAGTGGTTTCATCATGGAGTGATAAAGATTTTTTTTATTGCACCATTTGCAAGCACACAGCATTCTCAGTCTGCACCTGGAGTCTGTTTTGAACGTGTGTGTGTGCCTCACTAAAGGGTGTGTCTCCGTGCCACCAGCCCACTCACCAATGTCACCTTCATGAGTGGCTCTATTGCAGAAGCATCCTTCAGAATGAAACAGATTAGCTTTGCAGGCAGCGATGTTGATGAGGTCATCACTTCCCAAGGTCACACCTCCACACGTGTAGATGGAGGCCCACCGGTGTCCAAAGGCCCCCACCTTTTCAGGTCCTGGAGAGCCTCGATTCGACCTCCTGCCTGCGCGCAGATCTAAATAAGGCAGAATAAGCCACATCCAGCAGGATAAGTCTTATTGTGATACTTACTTATGGAACTGCGGTGCCTTGGCCTCTTTAGTTTTTTTTTCACCCTGTGGAGAGTTGAAACAGGCAGAGCAGCTCAGTGTTATAACACACTACACTATATGTTACTTATAGCTTTTCCAAGCTCCTGACCTTTAAAAGCTCCTCATACTCATCTAAGCATGATTAGTTACAAGGTGTTTTGCACTCCGATAGATGCTTGAATCGGATGTTGTATCATTTCTTCTTGTGTACACGTGGATATAAAAAGTCGGACTTAAAACATATGGCCTCACAACATATATTGACTCTGTACAGTAGTTCAATTTTTGTCCGTTCATGTAGCACGAAAGTAAACATCTTGCTGGTAAAGTGTATTTTCGGAGTTTCAAATAAGATTGCGCTTTTTTTGTGGCTGCATCTCCTCTCGCTCTGCGTAAGTTCGCCTCCTCCAGCAGTTCCTCTCGGGGTTGTGCAACTGTTCAGCGTTAGTTCGGTAAGCATGCAAAAGATGTACAACAGCTACATCTGTGTGTGTGTGTGTGCTAGTTTTCCTCCACTGGTTCTCTGCGGAAAGCAAATCTCCCTGCTGTACAGTGCTACATCTCTTTCTTTATTCCCCTCCCCTCGTGAGACAATGAACACATTGAGGCAAATCTGTTTCCACAGCCTGTCAATAAGAGACAGCCAGCTTTGTTTTGCAGTAGGGCGCACACGCACACATATGCGAGCGCATTTGTGTGAGACAGATAAAGAACAAATGAGTTTGTGCATGAGCACACCACGTATTTGTGTAACCATGTGCAAACGTGTGCGGGCTGCCTGCGTCATGCATTCACCATGTGAGTCACTAGCTCTCATGAAGGGCTGTAAGTAGTGAATAAGAGCCCTCTACTTTCTCATCTCGGGGGCCCAGACGCACCGCCTCAGCTCTGCTGCTTCCTCCCCTGCCACTCCATCTCTGCTTATTGCCCAACAGGTTGCTCTGTCAATAATGAATGCAGTGTGCTCTCAATGAATAACCAGGACTTTGAAACTTGAGACACGTTCAAAGGGAGACAAACATTACATAAGCACCTGGCTTTCCTATTGTTCCATGAGAGAAATAAAACATGTTTTTCCTTGTGTTCATCTAAAAAAAACCTTATTAACAACGACGATTAAACGACAAAAGCTGTATTTGAGTGACAGTTCTGTGCTGGGATCCTTTTCACGAGAAGTGGACAGAGAACAGCAGTGCAGAGAGAAAAGGTAAATACACAAGTGATGTCTGTGGTTGATGACTAACACATCCCCTAAACCAATGAGTCCTTTCTTATAGACTGTAAGGGCCGATTACCTCCAAATTTTCTGAGTTAAAAAACATTAACAAATATGGCACATGAAAATAGGATGTCACAGCTCCTTGTGCAAGCATTTCATATTTACATTTTTTGGGAAATCTGTCATTGTGTGTCAAGATGTGACCAGCTGTTTTTGGACTTATTCCACCATCTAGTGGTAATGCATGGTTTGCTACCCAGAGAGCAGCAGCCTTGTGTGGCTGTATCCAAATAAAGGCAGTCACAAGAGGTCAGTAAAACACATCTGCAAAGACGGGAAAAAACAACAAAAAACAGTTAAGATAAAAAGTTAATAGAAATTACACTTTGTTTTGGGGGGGGGTTAACAGGAATGACAAAAAACGAAATGTCTACACGCACTCACACACACACGTGCAATAACAGTAAGTTCACTTTTGAGGGTAATTTTTTAAACTTATTTTTAATCACTATAATAGAAGAAGTGAGGAAATACAAATACAAAAAGCAATGGCACTCAGTTTGCAAAATTTAAATTTTCAGGAAAGAGATCTAAGGCCATGTGAAATTCATGCTGGCAGTCATCTTAACAAAACGAAACTAGACAAAAAACAAAAATCGGACTTGCATAAAACTCCACATGGTCTCTCTGGCTCCTCGCAGAGGAGGCTTTGTTACATGACTGTCTTTAATTCACAAAACCTTTTGAGTTTTGTGAGAGCGCAAAACTGCTTCGACAAGTTTCTTCATCCTATGTGGCTCCATCCTCCTCCTCTTCCTCCTGTTCAGGCAGGCAGCCGGGGCACGGCTCCATGGTAACAGCGACGCCCATGCCGCTGCGTCCAACGGGCATGTCCGTGACGTACGTCCATTCATTTCTCTCTGGACTGTAGCACTCAACGCTGGACAGAAAGCCATGCTGGTTAAAACCTCCTGAATGAACACACACACAAACACAGAGTTCAGTTACTCATGTCACACAACCAATTAGGCAATCATTACACTTTGATAATGAGAAAATCCAAAAGCATTTCTGATCATTTAATTTGAAAAACTTGAGTTATTTCATTAGGATCGTCTTCTAGATTATGTACTAAAAAAAATCATGTGGCATAACCCATGTAAAAATATCTAGGGACCAAGATTTGACGGATCCGCCCTCTCCCCTTTGTTTCTTTTGAGCTATTCTTCTATAAACCTTCCTAAACTGTTTCATGCCAATGTATACTTCTGCTTCAGCCTCTGGAGAGTTGTTTTATTATATTTATCCATGATGTGCTACGATGTAACACAGTAGGTTTGGACAGCTCTTCATCAGTCATAACTGAACAATACGAATCTGTGACAATCTTTTAGTTCAGAAGGCTTTGAATATCTTGTGGCAAAGATTATAAGAAGTGAACCAGTAAATCTAACTTCTCAGTCAGTAAACACTCTGAACTATTCATTAGTCATGTACACTAATTGTGATGTTCGGATACAAAATTAGATATCTGCAGATATCTACATATTTTTATGTTTATAACACATAAAACACATAAAAATGATCGTCACATACAACAACAATATAAACTTAATTTACTAGCTCCAGCTCCATGCTCTTTGCTCATTGGTGAGACATACTGAGCTTTACATTGGTGACGGGACTGACCGAGGACGTAGACGCGTCCCTGGTGGACCGTGACCCCGTGTGCACTGCGGCAGTGCTGCATGGAGGCCCTGGGCTCCCACATGTTCCTGACTGTATTATAGCTTTCCACTGTACAGAGCTGGTTCTGCCCATCGTAGCCTCCTATTGCGTAAAGGCGGGAGTTCACACACACCAGTCCTGAAAAAACCAACAAAGTGGTTAGCATGAAGCAAAGATTGTTCACTCTCATCAAGATTCATATGATTACGTTTTGAAGATCTAATTAAAATTAAGCATACCATCTGATTTTGTCATGAACACAGACTCAACATGAAGGTAGAATCTTAAATTTAACGCATTCATTATTTTCTGTTATCTGTAAAAACTTTGAAATATGTATAATTGATTAAAGAAAGGTTAAGAAAAAGTGTTGACGTTCAGATTTTATAATGTCAGGACAGGACAAGGCTGTTTCCCTACGACTCCAGCTAGTTTGCTGATGGTTATGTTCTTAGACTGGGCAAAGGTTTAGGAGCAGACAAGATAATATGAGACTACCAGTGAGTACATGAATGAAAAAGAGCCGCACACATTCACAGGTCCGATCTGAGCCACTCACCGAGTCCACTGCGTAAAGTGTTCATGGGAGCCAGCTGGTGCCAGGTGTTTGTGTCCGGTTGGTATTTCTCAGCCGTGTTCCAGCGGTTCTGTCCATCATAGCCCCCCACCACATACAGAGCCCCTTCACAAGCTACCACCCCGGCTCCAAGACGAGCCACCGACATCGGACAAACGAAGGACCAGCGATTAGACTCTGGATCCCACCTGCAAACCAGACAGACAGATCTCAACATTACTTGTAAATCAATTAAAAATAAACATAATGAAGCAAACTGATGCAGAGGGGGGTGACCAAATGCTGCACACTTCTCAGTCTCCATGAGCCCGCCAACTTTGAGTGGATTAGGTTAAACCCACCACCATGCTTAGCAACTAATAACGAGCTTAATTTGAAGCTAAAGATGCTGTAAATCAGCAGGAGCAGAGATGAAACGTGGTCAAGGAGCCCCGCAGATACCTAAAATGAGGGGGGAAAAGAGCTTTCAATATTGAATAGGAAAAATAACATCTTAAATTTTTTTGCTGAATTGATTTAAATTAGTTTGGCAGAAGGATTGGAAACAGGTTCAAACAGCCACCTTATCATACAGAAAGTTCCCTTTTAACCAACAGTGAGTTTTGTTGTCTAATTGCACAAAAGAGTAAAATGTTAAATTTTAGTTATACATGTTTGTTTTGCCCCAGGGCATTTTTTTAAAATGGAGAAAAAATTATATCTACATAATCTAACTTGTAGCATTCAAGCGGAAATTCAGATTTAAAAAAATATCCAACAATTAACGTGGAGATTGTTCGAACAAAAGCCTGAGTGCTGATGAGACGGGATGACTTGCTTGTGCTCGAGTTAATGATTTAAAGAATGTTGGCTCTACTGTTTGCTTTGGGCTTACTCCAGCTGTAAACTTATGATAATAGGCAGACTGATATTACATCACTGGTGAGGTGCCCTTTAGAAACTCTATAAATCATAACTCCTGAGTCCTTATATCAACAGTGATCCCGGCCAAGGCACATTTTAACAAGACACTGTAAAAGAGAACCTGAGTTTAGCAGGAAGGTACGACCCCTAGCCGAGCCCTGTGCATGTTGACTCAATTTGTTAGGGAAGCAGGACTATCCACCGTTTTCCCTACGTATTAAGACTGTAAATGTTCAAACCTACTTTAATGCGTGTCACATTTAGTTTGAATTCTAGTAGTTTTAGAAGCTGCAATTCTATGTATGAGCTCCTGATGGTAAGACCTCCAACAAGTTCTGACTGGTTCTAATAGTTTTCTCGTGACTTGCTTCTTTTACAACACCGCTACCTTTAGAATAAAAAAGAAAGAAAGAAAGAAAGAAAGATTTCCATCCAAACATTCCTTGGAAGTTAGCCTCAACATGTTCTGAAAGAGTGCATGTTCTTGTCTGATTTGGCTTATAGCAGCAAACAGCTTGCAAGCTATTAAGATTGTACAGCGTTTGTACACCAGTAATCTTTCTCATGTCATTCCTCAGACGTACCCTGAGGTGGGTTTGTGTGTGCAGGAGAGGGGAGGTGTGGTCGCTACATTCTTCTCTCATAGCATCTTGAACTATTTCTGGGGTGCCTGGTTGTAAACACATCAGAAATGCCTCACCTCTCCACAGTATTGTGATGCACGGAGCCCTGGGAGCCCCCGACAGCATAGATGCAGCCATCCATCTCAGCCACCCCGACCCTGTTCCTGGGGATGTTGAGGGACGCTCGCTGGCTCCACTGGTTGGTCATTGGGTTGTAGCAGGACAGGGTGTTGGATTCTGTGTTATTCTGAAGTGACAGGTTTCTGCCTCCAACCTCAGTGAGAAAAAAAAGCAATCAACATATGAGAATATGAGGGTAACTAATAAATGTACTAAGACATTTTTGCAATTACAGTCTCAGAGAGCTAAATGAAAAGCAGTATGACATAACTGATGCAACCTACAGCGTAGACTAGTCCAAAGAGGGCACATGCTCCCAGACCACTGCACGGGGTCCCCATGTCGGCCAGTTTCAGCCAGACATTCCTCCTGGGATCATAAGCCTCCATGATGGCCAGTGAATGTTGTCGGTATCTGGACAGAGGAAGAGCGTGGGTAAATTTCAGAGGGACACATTGAGAAAACTATTTTTACCAGAAGTATCTAATTCATTACAAGTACCAATCATTTTCACCGTTTGGACTGAGTAGTTGGAAAGGATCTAGATCTAGAATTTTTACATCAGTCCTTACTTTTGATGAATAGTATCAAAATAATTTATTCACTCTTATTCATATATGTTCATCGATTTTCCACAAAGGGGGGCTGGAGCCTATTCCCACTGCCATTGGGTGACAAACAGGATACACCCTGGACCGTCCCCCCATCAATCATCGACTAGGCAAACATACATTTTTTTTAACTGTGGGGAGGAAGAGAACCCAGCCTGACACAAAGAGCATTAGCAAACTGCTGTGCAGACTTTGGTTTACACTGAAGTATTTCAATATTTACTGTAGAATACTGTTCAATTCTAAATGTCTGTGTTTAGCTTTACCTCAGGGATATCGGTGGACTCCATTGGTACTTTTAGGTTGTGCCTTTTCAGAAGGAATGGTCTCTAACTTACACTTTTAATAAACATCTAAGTTTTTAACTTTTACTTATCTGCAAGAGCCAAGCCACCACTGACTGGATGGCAACAATTCAACAATGTGAAAAAACAACACCACCATTTATAAAGTATCTCACAATTCAGCCCTGTTATAACACATACAAAGATGTGTGCTATCATCTATGAAGCATTCAGAATAAGCGCACAGCTGTTGAACATAAGTTTGATACACACCCGCCGGCCACATAGATAAGTTGGGTGCCACGGATGGGTGCAGGAGGAAGCTTTCTCAGTGTCATTTCCTGGAATATTTTAGACAGGAAGTCCTTACAGGAATTGGCCTGAAGTGAAAAAGTGTTTTTTTTAATTGAACGTTTGCAGCAGATCACATAACCTGCTGTGTGTCCTCCTGGGGACACAAGGGAAACACAAGGGTTACAAGGGCTGAAACAAACAAATGGGATCAATAGCCTTACTGTGTTTAATCAGACAATTCTACATTGTGCCTGCATTATTGTGACTTGATACATGTAATATATACAGTATATATATAGCCTTCATGAAGACCCACAGGAATATACCAGTTATATTGATAACTTCTTTACTTTAGGAACCACAGATGGAATAAAACTCAGAACGAAGCATGCAGCAGCGAGGCTGCAGTGCAGCAACACGCAGCAGGAATATGGTGTGAAGCCTGCCTGAGGCTGTGGCTCACCTTACTGAGGATGGGGCAGGACAGGAGCTGGTTCTTCAGGAACTTGGGAGGCAGCGCATAGATGTGCACAGCATTTAACAGTGCGTGCAGATACTGGGCTCTGCCCTCCATGTCCCAGCGCACCCAGTCTGTGCAGGCCTTATACACCTAGTGAGGATGTTATGTTTATGTAAATACGCAGGCCCTTGATTATCTGAGACACATTTTTCACCTCAAGCATAAAAAAGAATAACAAATAACAAGAATGTTGCCCACCTCAGACTCACAGAGCACCTTAATACTGTCCTGGCTGATGAGCTCCAGCAGCTGGCAGTGAGACAGGCTGAAAAACTCGTCTACTTTGGTCACCTGGGTCCAGGAGAACAGCAGCAGACATTTCAGATTAATTTAATTTCCTTTTGAAAGATACATGCACGTAGTTGGCGGGGGCACTCACAAATCTAAACATTCACTTTCTCACTTTTGTCCTTGACACAAATCAGCAGCATTTTATCACCTGTGCCTTTCTTGAAACTAATCAGAACTGGGAGAGAAATGTGCTAGGAATATCCAGGACTTAATGCACACCAGACAATGAGATCAGCTGCTGAGGTGTGACTGCTTACATGTGCAATGGTGAACAGAAAAAAAAAGAAAGAACTTTTTTCCATAAATTGATCCACATTTGATTTGATTGCAAATGCATAGTTTAAAGCATAAAATACAGATCTTGGTAAATAGACGACAAAAATCTATTTTTGCTCGGCTCTCTTTTCCTTCCAGTGCAGGATTTTTCCCAGCCCCTGTCGAAGGTGCTTACTGTTTCAGACTCAATGCCATGGATAGCTGGCAAAACTACCACATGGGTGCAGCATTGTACAAGAACAACCAATTCAACCAGTTCTCCTCAACTTTACTTGGAATCACTGGGATGTCCATTACTTAAGGCTAATTGTATAATCCTTTAGCTTGCTTTGGGTGATGCTGTGTACACTTGTCTTCCTGCTTGCTATCGAGTCAAAGAATTTGACATGAACAACTTTTATTTTCTATTTTTAAAGTCTTCCTTCTTTTTTCCATGTGAGGAAATAGCCCAACTTTCCTGAGAAATGTTACAGGTTTAATCAAGACAACCTAGCCTCACTTGAACTTGTCAATAAAAGCAGGATAAGCACAATTCTTGTGCGACTTGCCTCGCTGAAATGAGTGTTAATGTACTCTCGGCACCGCTGATGCAGCTCCGTGCATCCAATTTCTTCTGCAAAGCGCGCAATTCCGATGACATTAGCCGGTTCCAGGTGCTTGGTGAGGAAATCGCAACATGCTTTGGCCACATCCTCCATCTGATACCTGGCAGAAAAATGGAAAAAGAGGAAAGCAGACCTTACTTGACACAAAGTCTGAATTTCCCCCAAACACTGCATGCTCCCGTCGAAGAATGCTTACCTCATGGCACCCAGGAGCACATGCAACACGCACTTCTCCCCCACTGTGATGTGGGAGGTGTAGGCAAAATCTATCAGTCTTCCCACCACCTCCGGGCACACATCGCGCAGGGTGACCTCTGAGGCGCGGCACTCTTTGAAGCCTCTGGTGAACATTGCTCTAAAGTAGGGGCTGCAGGAGGCCAGCACCACCTTGTGCACCTGAAACAAAGCGTTTTAAGATTGCGACATATATGAGATGGAGGACTGCCCGAGAGATCCCTTACTAGGGCTGAGAAACAAATGATCAAGATTGCTAACAAAGGCACAAAATGAATATAATGCCATAAATAGAAATACTTATACATCTATAAAGTCTGATTGTTTCATTAAAAACAAAAAAACAGGCTTTAAAAGCTTCAAATTTAACACAATCTCTTTTATAATCATATCTGTGTTGCAAAACAAGAATTTATTTGATTTCATCAAGCAGCATTTGAAACTGGTTCACCAAAAATAATATACAAAAACTGAAGATTAAATCTGAGTACCGTTAATTATCATTGGTTCCAGCAACGCTGGTGCTCGAATTGCGCAATTTTACAGGCTTTGCCGAAACCTGCTGATAGACCATCCATCAAACAGACAAGGATGGTGCTTTAGCTTAAGTTAGAGCACACAGATGTTATTATATTGAACCAAGTTCACCGTGGAGACATGGCAGTCCCGATTCCCTACCCCTCTGCTGGCAACACCTTAAAGTCATCCTCCTTCTTCCATCTATTTGTTATCAGGTACATCTGTTTTCGTTTCAAGAGTTTGAAGAAAACAACTTTGATGCACTTGGGCTGCACAAAATCTGTCCAAGACATTGGAGTTTTTTCCCCCCACAAATAAATAAATATGTGGTTTGTGGCTGATAAATAAAGACAAAAAATGATGCACAAATCATGTACTTCTAGACATAAGCAGAAAACAAATTCAACCACAAATATACAGATTCACAAAGATATTGACCACAAAACTACACGGTGCTCATTTCATAGCGCACTAAACAGACTGAGTAAGTGCATGTGCAGTGATGTGGAAATGAAAGTTTTTACATCTTTGCTGGGTGATGAACTTCTTACAAGAGTTTCTACTTTTTGTAAAGGGCCTCCATGTGTTGCCTTTAATCAGTTCACAGATCACGAGTAAAGCAGGATGTCAACAGCTGAGCATTTCCATTCTGAAACTGCAGAGTGTATTGAGAACAATGTCAAGTCTAAAGATAATTAAAAAAAAAGCCTATATATTTTACCAACCAAAGGAAACTATTGTTGTGCAGGATGAGACCTGAAAAACGTGATTATAAAAAGAGACCTATTGTCTTATCAAGCATCCTTTTCCAATTAGTCATGTCTAAAAATCCAGGCTGACACACATCCTTCTTTGTGCAGCTCTTCAGAATAGATTTCTGGAAATATTACGGAATCAGAGTTGTTCCGTACAAAATGGTCACATTATTATTTTGTTTGGTCTCAAATAAGTTCACTTTGTCATCGTTAAAGTAATTTGTAATACTTTGTTGTGAAACCTTTTGAACTGTAGTTTCTGCTGCACATTTCAATGATGAAATGAATAAATCACATTTGTTGCCTCATGTTGTCCCAACAGATGCCAGCCAGTGTTAACATGGGGACTGTTTTGGGTAACAATAGCTGTGACATTTACGTGCAACTGAGGTTTTTCTTCATTTCATTTCATTCCTTTTTCATGAGACCAAATTTACATATTCTGTTCAGACAGCTTTGCAGTGAGCATCTGTTGGCATTTCAGAGATTTGGCTAAAATAAGAAATTACTGTGATAAACGAGCAAAAACTATATCACAAAAAAAAGAGGAAATTAAATTGTTCAACAGTGTGATCAGTTTTTCATTGTTTTGAATTTTTTTTTCACTCAAATGATAATTTGCAGCCATGAATCAAAGTTGTCTGTTTTATGCTTTTTATGTGCTTTAAAATGTGCCTTTAAAGTCTAAAAAGACTAAGAAAGAACATTATGTTTACAGGTTCAGAGTGTTCGGTACCAAAAGCTGGTTTCATTCAATTGAAATATGAAGTCAATCTGTATTCAACTGAGCTACAAAGTGCTGTAAAACACAGAGAAAAGGGGGAATAATGAATTACACATCTTCTAAAATTCCATGAATGTGACAGGCCTGGTTTCTGGTTCACTTATGTCAACGTTGAAATTCTAATTTAGCTGAACAGGCCACATACACAGTAGGGCCATAGTGACATCTGACTGGGCCATTTCATTGGAACACTAATCTTGTGGCAGCATGTCCGATGCTGCAATGCTCTGGACTGTGTGGGAAAACAAGGTACTCAAAATCACTTTTCTGCATGTATTCATGCAAACATCACTTAAAATGGATTTTATTGATAATATCGCAACTTCCTGATATTTTGAAGCTTTCAAACAGCCTTACCTTGAAGTCCACTGTCCTGTCCTTGTACGTGACGTGTAACACCAGGTCGCACAGCATATCCTGCCGTCTGAACTCATCCATGACCCCAAGAGCTCTAGAGGCGTGGTTCTCGAGGGTGTAGTCCAGATAGCCAGACCCCTGCATGGAGGGCACCGCGATGGCCGAGAAATCGGAGTCGCGGGTGAGACGTTTCTTCCGCATTGGGCAATGCATATTGAAGATGGTGAAAGGGGTCTCCCCGCACTGTTTCGCATCTATTCCAGTCAAGTTCAAGGTCTCTTGTTCTTTTCCTGCTGGAGGGTAGACCTTTGAAATAGGGGAGTTATTTGGTCTTTAGCTCATGAATGTAACAACTAAAGTGAGGAGATGTCCTTAGGTGCTCCATTTTGCAGGAAATATTAATACTTAACATAAAAATCTATTCAATCAGAGGGGATTTTACACCCCCCAAATAAGGGATCTCAACAGAAAAAAGGGTCTCCCCGCTGGTGCTCACAGCCATAGCTCGCAGACATGAAAAGCAGTTCTGAAAAAGGGCCAGTTGCGGCAAATAATAACTTACGGTGACGTGTTTAACCGCACATAAATGTTGACCTGAACCACATAATGCTCCATCATCCACTACTTCAAGCTCTGACATGGCTGTCAGCATTTGCGTCCCGGGCAGCCTCAAATGTCAAATCATCATCAAATGATTTTTTGGCCCAGATTTGACAGAAATTGTGGGTTTGTAATCCACACCAACGTTTCAAAGGTTCCCCATCAGTGGTGTCTCGGTAGCAACTTCTTTAACCTGATGCGTTCTGATGGTTATCCTGTAAAGCAGAAAAAAGAGAGAAAGAAGAAATAAGGAACTAACATCTGATGTGATTGTGTTCTTTTCCCCCTGTGCATTTATTTGTGGGTGCATGTATGTCACACACTTAAAGTTTCACTTCCCCGCAGCTAAAACGGAAAAGATGCATTCAGAAACTTTTGCCTCAGAACACGGTCGATGCGTTTGTCTTTTCAGATTTTTGGGGAAGCTGCAATAGTTTCTTTCGAAACCTTTTCCCAGCAAAAGGTTTTGATATTCAGTTTCCACATGGTTATTCACAGGTTCCATCATTTTCTCATTTTTAACTGCTTTACAGGCTCTGCTAACTTCCATTAAGCCTCAAACTGACAAATGTAAGATAAATACATTATTTATTTTACAGGCCATTTGAATATTTAGTCAATTGATATTAATCAATTTGTTTGACATCATATATATGATAAATAAGTGTGAACAAGCAGGATAATGAACTTGGAGATGGTAGCATTTCTATTCCTGTGAAAAAAAAGAACACTTGAAATTTGATTCCGACAAACCTTCCCCAATGTAATGACAGTGGTAGTGAACATATGATTTCACTGATTTATCTCAAGTTAACCTGCTTCTTCTTCAGACAATACAGTTACAATTTTCCACTTCATTCCCTTTGTCCATCAACTTAATACATTTTTACCTGGAAAACAATCTCCAGTTTCATTTTCTGATAAGGCAGACAGATTAACCAGTTCAAAGTCTCGAGTTAACAGGCCAACAGTCCATGTGTGACGCTGAGGTTTTCCAGACAGCAGAAAGCCGATGAACATACACAGACACCCAAAGCTGTCACTCTACTTTCCTGAATCAAATTCCCCTTTCTGTTCTCACTCATTATGGATATGAAGTACAACCGGTTCTCAGAGCCAGAAAAAGCTTGTGTCATGTGGCTGATCTTTTTGCTGACTGGAACCTGTCTGACATCGGTACTATATAAGTAAATGTTATTACAGGAACACACTAATAACATTAATCCTCCTCTGACATTTGAAGGCAGGAAATGTGGTAAAACTACATGATCTGACAACTGTGTTCAAACCCTGTTCACTATGAAGCCCTGGGGTTCTGATTTTATTGTGAACATGGACAAAAATAGTATCAATAATTATTTTTGTGTGATTTGAAGAATCTTTCTTCTAAAATTATTCCGTTAAAGTTTCAAATGACATAAGCAGTACATAATGAATAAAGGCACCGCCTTCTCTGATGACAAATAACAAGAATGACACATCACATTGGACACATGCCTCTTCATAGGTCTAAAGCAAAACCTGGTATTCCAAATCTGAGGATTAAAAAAAAAAAAGAACAATGGCAAACAATTAACACAAAGAAAGTGCCATATTTACTTTTTTCTCAGAGAAGGTGTTGACTGAAGATCTAACTGCAAATATACATTCACACAGTTTTAATTTTGTGCCGATTTAAACCGGGATGACTTTTCTAAATTCCTCATATTTGTTTTAGGATTATAGGTTATTTTCATGGGTGACATGTACAGTTATAAACCAGCTCATGTTTGTGTTGGATTCCCCTGTGTCCCATTCACATGAACACAACCTTAACTGTGCAACTACTTGGCCAGACTCGTCAGCTAAATGTTCCAGTGTGGCATTGTGTAGCCGACACGCAGAGATTTGCAAACACACACATCTCGCTTATGAATCTCTCTCTAGCCGTTTACAGCTCCTGAGGCTGAAAGACAAAGAGAACGTATCACTGAAAGGCTGCTCAGGACAACTTCCAAACGAACCCTTAAGCAATTTTACAGCCTCGTCAGAAATGGTTTTCAGTCTAACATGGCTTATCAAATGCATTTTTAAACAAATGCGAATTTGTGGGCATTGTGTGTGTGTGTGTGTCGTAAAGACTTGCTTTAGTAGTTTCTTTTCTGAACTGCCAATCAGTCTGTATTAAACAGTCAGGCAGCATTTCAATTTAAGCTAAATTGAGTTAAGGAGTTTGAGGAGGGCCTTTGAGTGTGACTCTGTGGACTCTGTGCTGGTTACATTCCTACTTTATGAAAAACTTTAAAACTATGTCAAACCCGCTTCATGGCTCCGGCTTCAGAACAAGTCAATAGCATCCATAAAAAATACACTTGCACTAAGTAGTTCAGAAATGAAAACTGTTCATTTCAATGTTTTTTTTTCTAATGTATTTCATTTACAGAAAATACATCTGTTCAGTAACATGGTGCAATTCATTTAAAGGTTCCAAGTGGCAGAGAGAGAGAGGGTCCTGTGACCTGGTACCATAGTCGAGAAAACAGAATGTATTTGCTATCTATAGTTTTCATCATTTGCACACAGATGACCTTTCTGTTTTAATTTGTATGCTGTTCTTCACAGTACTTAGAAAATTAGAAATGTGATCTTTTTGGTAAAACAACCCAAAAATACAAGGATTTACAAATGCAAGGCCCAAGAAATGCGAGTCTAGAACTACTTCTTGTTCAGCAAAGAAGATATTTCAACATTCCAGAGTCTATTGGATCAGTTTCCAGCAGAACAAATCCACACTTTAACCGCTGCCTGTTAGTTACAGTGTGTTTGTTTGTGTAGGAAGCCTCAGAGTCAACAGACATGCTGATGTGTCAATTTATATAATGAAAGGAACAACTTTGGATCCTCTATGTGGTAAACCCCCCCAAAATCTTTGCATAATCAGTCTCGGATCATCACACTTTTTACCGTCCCGTTTGCATGATTTCCTGAGCAAAGTAAAATGTGCCCTGTAGAGAAGTTCTGCAACTTTGTGAAGTTACAGAATCAAATCTGCTCGCATCACATCCCACCCTTAAGTCAGCCAGCCTGTTTGTTGATCACATGACCGATAATAGTCAGACACGGCAGAAAGGAGAACAGCACGACGGAAAACAGACTGCCAGGGGAAGACGGAGGGGAAAACAATGTAGTAGAGGAGAGAAAACTACAAGGTTGAAAAAGATAATATTCAGTTGGGGGGGGGGGGGATATAAAGGGGAGAAATCAGGGTGCAGGGGAAGTAAGATTAGTCAATACAATACAGCTACAGTTTTTCATAAAGGCCCATTGTGCATGAATAAGTCCACCCCCCCTTAAAGCCCGATTAAGAGGACAGTGAACAGCACAATGTGCAACGCTTACAACATTTCCTCGTGTTTTTTGGAACATTGGCTTTAGTTCTGATCACTTTATTGATTCCAGCTCTAAACGTGGAAAACCTGATTGACCAGAGACCTGATCCCTAACACCACAAGACATAGTACAGTCTGGTTTCATCCTTTTCATTCTGAAACCGAGGAGCATGTTGGGGTGATATCAATAATAATAAAAATCCTAATTCTTATATTGGAAGCAAATAGACCTATTGGAACTCTCTCATTTAGTCATCATTGGGGGTTTTTTCTGCTGTCTGTGATTGTTGCAGAATTGAAAGGATAAAACAAGTGGGTCAGACCGGGAGCAGGAGTTGATCATTTACAGATTGGTTCAGCTGCCAGGTTGCATACAGGACAGAGCAGCAATCTGCTAACTCAGCCCGGTACAGCCTCTCTGCAGCTGCACACGCACCGGCAGCATTCCAGCAGAGGATATTTCTATGAACTCCCTTTGAAAATAGGCAGGCAAAACCTGCTCAGCTGTCATGACGACACCTCTTCTGAAACGTTTTATACCTGCAGTAACCATCACACCAGTGAGCATAGCTCAATAACAAACGGTGGACAGTGAATCCCACACAAACACACACACGCAGAATAAGAGCAACAGGCTACACGTGACATAGTTTAAAAGTTATATTTTAGAAGAAAAAAGAGAACGGTTTCTCCCCCCCCCCCCCACACCTGGTGACACAGTTCACACTAGGTAAAGCACAGTGAGCTTCAGCCCAGAAAACACCTCCATATCACAAGTCTGTGAAGTTACACGTGGGAACAGACTGAACTGATAAGCCACTGATAAGTGAAGTCCAAGTCTCCAGCTATGTCGAAGCAATATAAGCTGGCAGAGCTGTCTGGTGTGATGGAATCACGCGTACAGTGTCCATGCCATGTCCTCACTAAGTCAATAAGACATGTGGACATTACTGTAGATACTAAGTCCTATATCATAGGAAGTATTTAAACCATTTTTCACTCCTATTTTAAACTTTCCACTCTAAATATTTGATCTTCTGGTTTGTGTTTAAAGGGCAGCAGCAAACATTTTTAGGTTTAGGTAGTTTTTTAACAAAAAAAAAACAGATTTTATTTTTTACAAATTTCCATTTTTTGGTGTTTGACAGAGTAAACTCAATGGGAAAACATAATCAATGAACAGTTAGAGAAAACTGAATTGTTTGGAGATCGGATGTGATCGATAAACACTAATCAATGTCCACAGCTGCTAAGCGTTTGGAAAGAGGGCAACAAAAACTACCATGTCATCTGTCAGCCTCAGTATTTAAGGTCCCACTCCGTAAACTAAAGTTTCAATTCCCCTTTCCTGCGCACCCCCGAGGAAATAAGAAATACGACCAAAACTTGCAAACTGTCGCGCATTTGGACTTGGTTCATGAATCCTGTTATTGTTGCTATAAAAGTTAATGTCACGAGTGCCGCTGTGGGAGCACTCAATACTTTGGATCTATCCAAATTGGCGCGTCAAACCCAAACGAGTGAAGCTGAGAGAGAAAAAAAAAACGGCAACGCGTTTCGCTCACCGAGGGGCACCTGAAGTCAGCTGAGAAAAGTCAGGGATCACGACAGGACACGGAGACACGGAGGGCGGCGAGCTGCTGTCCGAGCCTGGCCGTTCTTCTCTGCGGGATATGCGTGTGCGTCAAAGGCGCAAACATGCGCCGTCGTGGCCGAGGTTGCGTCGCCTCGGGCGGGTGTCCAATGGCTGAGCGGTGACGGGTAGGAGGAATTTCTGCCCCGACGTGACTCTGCAGCCAGCCCTCTGCGCAGGTAACGCGCATGCACGCAGAAAACAAGTCAGGGGCGGAATCCTTAAAACTGAAACCGAGCTCTGAGCGCAGGAGAAAAAAAAAAAAACCAGCGCCGGGGAATTATGTAAGAGTTACACAGCTGAAACACAAAGCTGCCGGGAGGAATATGAACAATGTGTCCACCCGAAAACACGCACGCAAACACACACACGCACACACACACATTCCTCCGTTCTGATTTCAAGGAAACAACTCCACAGAGGAAGTCAAATAGTACAGGCCTCTTTATTCACCCAGCCTGCCACGATCAATCGTCTCAGCAGGTTTCCTTATTTGTAATCTCTCAGCAAACAACGAGCACAACAGTCAAACATTTGTTACCGCTAAAGGCATGATTCCAAGATTAGAGGGCTGTGGAAAAGAATTCCATTCCATGACAAACAAGTCACACCAAGAAGCCAAGGGTGCAATCCACCATCCCCACCATGAGAAAACACGTTGCCATGCCATGGATACATTTAATGGATGAAACAACATCATTTGTATTGGAAAAAAATAAAGGGGGCTGATAATAGGTGCATAGATGTAATAACCTAAAGGCACACGTATTGGAATGGATGATTCCATGGCCAAAAGCAATCAAATGAACATAGATGTGAAACAATCTGAACTGTAAGGTACCCTGAAATAAGGTGAGAATATTAGGGAAAAAAGAGCAAAGCGAAGAGAAATGAGAAAAAGGAAATCACCTTCTAGATCTGCAGACATTTGAATATTTTCCTGTGTAGTTAAGATTGTAGCTGTAAATATCCATGACAAAAGAGCTTTGCGTTAAGGAAGTTTTAAAGAATAATGGAGCATTGTTTGTCTAAGGTGTGAGGTAACCAACACTGTGAGGGAGCACATTAACAACTTGTATAATAAAGCCTGATAAATTACTCCAAAGTGCTAGTTGGAGTCTATATAAATCCCTCACTTAGGAACATTTCCATCACATTAGGCCCATTATGCACACATGAACCACACAGACAGCAGAATTGGTCACAAGTAAACAAAACTGATCACAAAACAGATAGATTATTGTTTAGATCAGGAAATTAATGACAACAACATTTTTGGCGTCAGTATTTTCCATGATAATTCATTTAACAGGACAGAGTAAATCTAGAAATATTGTTAACACATTAATATTGGCGAGACCTTATGTTAGTCTAACATTGAAAATGTATGAAAGCATTTTTCTTTCGTGGAAAATTAGAGTAAAATACACTCCTGTAAGAACTATATTTGCATACTGCAGTTTCTATTCTAAAGTGATACTGAAAAACCAGCAAAAAATGTGAATGAAGTTCCAATCCACCACGAGTTTCAGGTGTTTGTGACGCTGTTGGTCAGACAGCTCAACTGACGGACAAAAGCCACTTCCTTAAAATGACTTTCAATGGTTATCTGTGTATTTGGAAGTCAGGCATGCAAATAGCTTTGGAATATATTCCCCAGTTCACTTTGTTTCCTTTAACCAGAGTTTGCAGTTCAACCTGAGTTAAGACACTTTGATTTTTTTTTAAAAGAGAGAAATTACATTGCCTAAAAGATTAAACAGTTTTTTCCTTTTGTATCTATTTCTTTGTTAGTCACACCAGTGAAAATACTCTACGCTTGATTAAAGTGACTCCAGATGAACATCAGACCCCAAGCTCATCTGGTTATGAGATCCTATGACAGTCTTATTGTTAATATGCCTGTACAATTCCTTTAAAAATCATAGCCATTTTAAGACAATACCCAGAAAAGAACAACATTCATAGTCATGTCTTTTTTGTCAAAGAAAGTGTCCACATGAACTGTAAATTCTCTGTCTTATCAATCTCACCCAATCCTTAGACATACCTCAGTATCTTGTCATGTAGTGTTTGTGGACCCCACCCTTGGCAGATGCCCAGGTTTCTAGTGCGCTGACTCAGTCAAAAACATATAAACGCAACTAACAAACCTCACACCTGCAAAACGCACAGTTAAACACAATCTTGGTCAGAAGCCCACCACAGTCTTGTGAAAACCACAAGGAGTTATTTGCTCTTTATTGTTTCTGAAGACATCGGATTCCATCCTTTTATGACAATGATAGAAACTAAAGTCAAAGCCCAGTGATTAGAATGATAGGGAACCATTGAGTTAAAGAGTATTTTTTTTAAAGATAGGTCATTTAACCTGGATGCTGTCATACCTACAGTCAGCCCGCCCCACCTAGCAACAGGAAACATACAAAAGCAGAACGACCACGTTTAAACTCCAGGACGCGCTGCTTCATACTGATAAGATGTCCTCAACTTCTTATCATGCGCTTTTTCTTTTTATGGAGCTTACAAGAAGTTGGTTTTCCCAAATCCTCATTCCTCCTTTAAGGCTGTTTGAGCTGCAGATGCTCATAATTACACCAGAATCAATCAATTCAAGCCATAAAGGCATAAAAGTCTCATCTTAACTGAAGTTATGAGGCAGACACACAACTCTCATTAACAGTAAGATACTTATGCTGCCTGTAAAGATTTTATGGAAGGTGATTCACCTCTCATGAGTCATTTTGGAGCACCAACCTAACAATAACATCACTGACAAGCTCTGCGACACTCATAAGAACTGTCCTTTGGGTTCATCTTTCTTGATGTGGAGCTACGCCTAATGAGTTCATAACCTGCTGACTTTTTTAATATATAAGAGAATAAGTGTATTTTCCATCAATCCAACTGACACGAACATGCACTGTTTTCTTTTTTGTGGCCACTTGCATTAAAATAACTTATACATCAACTAAAACCTTTCCATGAGCATAAAATGCCGTATCAGCGAACAATGGCCCCTGTACTTCCATATGCAGAATATGCAGAACCGGGCATTATTTAAAAGAAACATTGACCTGGACTGACAGACATTCTCTGTTTTGGATCATCTGGGGATGTGTTGTCCACTTGCTCCTCAGTTTCATTGGTGGATCCGACCGCCACTGGGAAGTGATAAAACAAAGTACAACCGCATGGTGACTCAGCGTTATGCCGGCCAAGTTGACTGCTGTCAGAGCTCACCTCTGAGCTCTGCTGCTCTGAGTCCCCCCCCCGCCCCCCCCTCCGGCCTCTGGCCCTCTGCTCCCATGCTGCGTGGATGTGCTGCCCTCTGCTGCATGAACCCTGAGACACAGGCTGGGGGGGGGGGGGCAGTTACTCACACCAAATTAAGTGCCAAAGCAATGCTACAATAGTGACTTTATCCAGCTCCTATTTTTTTGGATCCGGTCTCAAACACGTTCTATAGTTTTTAGTTTTCAGTCCAATTCGTGTACCTGACCGCTTAATAAAGCATGAAAAAGGAACCCAACCCAAAGGCAACATAGGAAAAAAAAAATGTTTTACTGTATCTTTAGAAACAATGAACAATAATAAAAAAATATATATATCAAAAGGTAAAACCTTACAATATTACCTTCACATTCCGAGAAGGAAACATTTCGAATTACAGCTGATCCATCAGCCGCTGGCCAACGTCTCATCAGGAGATGTTTCCTGTAAGACGTTATTTATAAGGAAACAAAACAGGACACGTCTAATGAATTTACTGCCTGACAGGATTTTCTGTGCAGAACAAAAAGGGGATTTTTTGCCTTATTCACTTCTGTTAGTGATTAACATTAAGCAGTTCTAAATTAAAAAACTTGTTTTCCTGGCCTTAAAGAAATAAGGGCTGGGTCAATAATCGAGAGAGCTCCAAATTGTATTGTTTGAAAATATCAAATGAAGCTCTGCAGTGATTCTACCAGGATTCTTAGATTTTGTGATAGTAATTTGGTACATTAAAACATTTCTGATGAAGTATAATGAAGACACAGGATACATTTAGCCAGGACTGAAACCACAGAATGCCCTTAACTGTTCTGATAAAAAACTACACCTGAAGGGGTTTGATTCTAATCTTTAATGATTAAAATGTCAAATATTTCAGTGTAAGAAAAGTCAACAATGTGGATTTCGAGGAGAATCAGATCGAAGACGCTGAAAAACATGCAAAACAAGTAAAAATGATGTAATCGGGCACAAATGGAATGTTTTCTCACAATAATCAATTAGACAAATTAGAGGAAGTGTGAGCTTGATGCCTGCTGCCCTGAAAAAGGCCTTAACCTCCCTTCAGTTTATTTTCACCAGCAAATGCTGTTAAATCCATTGAAACAGATTTAATTTTCAAGGGGATTCTGCACGCGTGAAATCATCAAAAGATAGTCTCCTAATAATGATGTCCGGGAAGATTTAGAGGCATTACAACACCGTTTACCAAAATGAAAGATTCCCGCTCAAAGAAGCTCCGCTTTCAAGCGAAAAAACATTCTCATGTGAATCATTAAGATCACTTATCTTCTGGAGGCCGAGGTGGATTTGCTCAACGCTGTGCTCGATCGGGATGGGAAAAGCTGCCCGACCTGATGAAGATTTACCGCCTTTAGAATAAGCGCTCAATCTTTAGAAGCGGAGAACATCACAGACAAGATCATAATCCCCTTTTTCTCTCAGTTTAATAATGGTTTATGCTTTGATGCCCATCACCGACAACATATTGGGTCCAGATGGGAGGAGGCCGAAAGAGAAGGAAGGAGAGGGCGAGGAACGCAGGCCCAGAGACAGAGCCAGAGCACGGTTGATGTACATCTGTCATGCATTATTGCCGCAAATGCCAGTGCTGCTATCCTGGCTTTAGAAACTATGTGAGGGGGGGGGGCAGCCCCTCTCTGATTTGTCCCCCTCTCTGCTGCTCCTTTTCAGTTCCTGTTAGCGCACAACAGCCAGCAGATTCTCCCTCTCTGGCCCACACGCTCTCACAGACAACTGCCTCTCAAACACCCGCGCTTCCACTTCTGCTGTCCTCACACCGTCCCTCACACAAACACACACACACACACACACACACACACACACACACACACACACACACACACACACACACTCACACAGCTATCCCGAAAGGAATTCCTCAGGAATGAGTTAGCCCTCTTCGTTCCTCTGGACATAACTTTTCCTTAACAAGGTACTGATGGTCTTGACCTCCTCTTCAAACAAACCCTTCCCTCCAATCAGCGAGGATTGTGGAGCTGGGGCTCAGCCGAGGCCTGTGGGTATTCCAGAGGAAGCGTCCTGATTTTCCTTGATTACTCCCTCCTTCTCCGTCTTTCTGTCCGTCCGTCTGTCTGTCTGTCTGTCTTTGTTCCCCCTCTTCCTGCCCCATGTGCGCCGTCTCAGTCTCTGTTCGTGTGTCTTCCTGAACCAGAATCTTTTCTGTCCCATCACCGTCTGTCCGCTCCAGTGTTCCGTGTTTTCTTCAATAAAAAAAATCATTTTTTACTTTTTTTGTTTTTGAAATACGCATAATGACCTACTGCTTTTTGTTTCAGAGATTCAGAATGTCTGGAGTTATTTCTATATTGATGATCATTTCTACTGATTAGATGTTCCCCCTGGATTTGAAAGTATTAGGAGAAATAAAGAAAATGTTCTAAATTCATCTAATCTTTTCTTTCGATTTTAAACCCATACACTGATCATGTGGGGAAACACTTCTGCATAATGTAAAGATTGTTTTGTCAAATAGTGAAATTAATGAGACTTTCTCCATTTGCCTGACATGCTAAATTTCTATCATTCTAATGTTTGAAAGACAAAAGGAAAGCTTTATGAAGGAATAGCTAGGGTCAAGATTTTACCAGAACTGAACTTAAAATAAAATATTTCAATTGATTTCTTTGAAAAACATCCAATTTCTGAGTATTTACAGGACACAACATGTCTCTAAACTCATCCTCATCATGAACTTGCGCCTTGGCTGTAAACCAGCGTACGATGCAACTAAACTCAGGAGACACTTCCGATTTTGAATCTGACAATATAAGAGTTTGATTTAATTTCCTCTTCATAGAGTAATAGAACATTCACTCTTTAATATAAAATGGTGTTCTTTGTAAAACCGCCACTTGTGCTCCATTTAAGTTTTCCAAAACAAATCTGAGACAGACAACAAAGAGTGTGGCTGTATCTGTGAATGTGTAGTCCTAAAAAATGACAAATAATGCCGTCTGAGACAGAGACGCAGCGTTTTCATCAGTGAATGCTCGTCTTGAATGCTGTTCACAGTCTGTCGCACTCAAAGGGCAAAAAGAAGGAAGTGACTGGGGAGTGACAACAGAGTTGTGACAGTTTCGCGAAATTCTTTTCACATTTCCTGGACCGTACGGCGGGACGCGAGCGGGAATGGCCCGTTGATGAAGAGTCCCGTCTACAATGAGGGACATTGTGGGCCGGGACCCAAAGGTCACCACGGCTGTCAGGCTGACGATCTGGACTCCTGCTGAGTCAGCGCTGCCTGAAGGGATTCCTGGACATCTCCGGCCATTCATTATTCAAATATTAGTCACAGCGTCCATTTAGATGACAAACATGAAGAAGGTTTCTGTTCGCCGGACACACTCTGGGGGGGGCAAATGTGGATTTCTCAATCCCAGTGTGAGCTGGTGGGGTTGTGTTTCCTCTCCCTGCCTGTCGGCAGCCTCTCTAACAGCCACCGTGGGCAGACTCACACTAGGGGTCTGACCAGTCTCCACTGGACTTAACAGAACTTAACAAACCTTCTCCCTGATGGAGAAATAGTTTCCACAGTAGAAAAAAAAGGTTGCCCCACTTGCCTTTGTGTTCTGAAGAATGTTATCTGATAGTGGTGATGTCTGAAAACAACATGGTGGTTTTGCTTGCGATTCCATAAAAATGATCTTATTTTTTAAATGCTTTCCATCAGTCTTGATTGATTTTTAAGGAGAAATGATATACTGCCACAATCCTAAATTATTTGGAAACACTGATTATTGCAATCATGTGATCTCCTTTGATGTTTGCAGCTGTTCTCTTGTGTGTTTAGATTTTTGAATCGTGACAAAAAGTTTTTGTTATTCTGCTCATTGTTAAACTAAATGCAATCAATTAATAATGAATACTGGTGTGTTTACTTTGGACACTTTGTTGAAAATATAAATGGTTGTAATCCTTGGCTCCTATGATAACAGGAAACAGCACATATTTGGAAAAAAAGGAGAGAGAAATACAATGACATCAGCAAAAGTAAATGTTATGTCAGATGTTGTGTTTCCTCATTCATGCTTTTCCATATAAAAACAAATCTATTGCTCTGATCTGTGTTGGGTTTTCAGTTATGTGTTGGTGTTTTAAGAATGTTGTTCTGTCTGTTTTATTATTGTTCTGTTGTGATGTTTGTTTATTTATTTGTTTTTAACTAGAGAAATATTTGGGTGGTTTTGTGATTCTTGTGTTGTTTCTTGAATAGTCGTTTCCTCTTTTGTTGTGTTTCTTAAAATGTGTTGCATAATATAAAAAATAAACTTTCTTTGGACTGTTTATGTAAATGTTACATGTCCTCCTGCGTTACTGTGGTGTGTCAAATACTCTCATTGGCTAAATTTATTTTGGAGTCCGTTTGAGGGCATTTGGAATGGAGTTCTCCGTCAAAATATCGACAATTTAAAATAAACGAAGTAAAAATAATGTAATGTATTCCAATTCTCCAAAAGACTTTTTTTTCTAATCTTGCTGTTTGATATTTGTACAATCTACCCACTTTGTGATTCTGAAGCCCTTGATCCCTTTAGTCTTTACATAAAGGATAGTTTTACGAGACTACAAGTTCATGAAAGATTCAACCCAATCAGCTGCAACGGAAGCAGTTTGTGGGTGTTTTGAGTGCCACACTTTCTTGACTCATGCTTAGTCAGCCTCTTAAGTAACAGCAGATCGAGATGCAAACATCTCAACAGGCGGAGCAAATAACATCCTGACACCTCTGTTTATGCTAAAGCACCAACGCAAAGAGGAGTAAGCCGTTCTTTGTGTTCCTCCCACAGAATAAGTCACACCGCCATGACTGGGCAATATCAAAAGCACTGAATCCCGTCCAAGCCCATTTTCCACTTTAAACATAGACTATGTAAATGTGGGTAACAGATGAGCCTAAGTTTTGGTAAAAGAGCAGAGCGTTAAGATTGTCCCACTACCTGCCTGTATGGGTATTTATCACTTCATTTAAAAACTCAACACTCAGATTTTTAAGGTTAACACCCAATGTCTGATAAAAAGTTCCACTTTCACAAACCATTTTAGCATTGATTAGAAACACGAACATTGTTCATATTTGGTTGTCTTCCTCTGGGCTCAGTGCCTTTACAGGTTCCTCTGATGTCTCTGTAAAGCTGAGACCTGAGGCACGGAAAATAACAGACGGGGTGATTCAGTGAAAGTGAATGGCTCTGACTCCTACCCATCAATGAAGGAGGGGAAAGGGGGGCCTGGAGAAAAAAAAAAGAAAGAAGAGAGAGCAGGGGAAAGGACGGCAACAGGGGGGAAATGACTGGTGACTGTGTGGGAAGAGAGGGAAGAGAGAGAGAGGAGGGGCTTAAAAGTATGAACTTGTGTATGATTTAGCTGCAGGAAGCATTAAGAAGGGAAAAGGCTGCAAACGGGACGTGGTAACCCCAACCTTACAGGCGCCCGTAAGGAAAGGACGAGCTGCTTTCTAACTTCTTTTCCCACCGGCTCACACTTTTTTTTTCTTTGCTGCGCTCCCTCACTCCTTAAACTTTATCTCGTTAATAAAAATCCGCACCTTCAGCCCGAGGTGTGTTTTTCTCTCTCTCCGCTGTGCGTAATTTTGCGCCCAGGACCGAGGAGACGGCGACACCACAACAACACGAGGGCTCGGGATCAGCTCAGAAATATCAGTAACCTTTTTTTTGGGAAAATGCAAGCCGTCTTGGATTTCTGTGTGATTTTCCTCACGCTGCACACTCCCGGCGTGCTGTCCCTGTCCACACGTAAGTCGCACGCAGATGTCCACCGATGCGCAAAGCCGCGGTCTTTCTGGGGGAAGTGGCTGGGTGTTGGGTTGTGGGCTGTCTTTATCGGCCACGGATCTGTTCAGTTCAAGTGTCAGCAGTGTAAACAGCACCTTGTGACACTGCCCTGCTCCGGTATGTTTGGCTTTAAAGCCAGACATGTTGCAGGAGGGCATTGTTGAAGGCTTTAAACATTATTTTAGTCAATAGACATCCGGTTCGTGTCTGTATTTAAAAATTAAGGTAAAATTAAGTTATGTTTTCAGGGTGGAAGGTCGTTTCCATATATCAGAATTAAAACAAATGGGAATATGTTAGATATTTTAGAATGAAATAATTTCAGTAGATATACTTAAGGACCATTGGCTGGGGTTTCAGTGGGATGAAAGTTTACATAATGGTGTGTGAACCCTACAATGTGAACCCAATAAATGAAAAATGTGTTTCTAGAGCAAAATTTCACAGATTCTGTATTAAGTTTCCTTATGTCACAAGGGATCACTTACTCACTAGATCCACTCCGGTTGATTTAAGGAAAAGGACAAATGCCACTTTGTCTCCCTGACAGTTTCCATTATTGATGTGCTCCTGCTGCAGTTGTAGTGGTTGTATCCCCGCTGAGAGAGCTCCTCTCCCAGGAGGCCGGATTTCAACAAGTCAGGCCATGATTCGTTTAACACATGGAGAGCATGGGGGCTTTACGAACCGCATCAAAACAGTGACATCATTTGCTCGGGTTTTGGAGAATGTTAACCGCCAGCTTAATGCACAGTAACATAAATAAATCAGAGTTATGTCCGTTTCACCCACTAAGTGACTGGATTAGTTTTTATGGCGCGCTCACTTGCGAGCAGCAGCTTCCAGGAGAGGGTCTGCTGTTATTCGTCCTATTAGAAAGGTGCGGATAAAAGGAGGTATCGTTTAGGGGTTTAAAGACAGAAAAATATGCCTTGATCGTAAGCCTCCCTCCTTTTTTACTACAGAGCTGAACTGGTCATTACTGTTTATAACGAACAGTTCTTGCCCTACTAACAGGGTGCTGTGGTTTACTCACAAAACTGAAGTATGAGTTTAAATGTGGAAATTTCTTCTAAACTTATAGTTAGTTTTTATAGCAGCGCATAACCTTTTTAAGTTTATGTGTTTTCCTGATGAATAATAAAATGAATATGTTGGGTCTGATGATTTAATGGCATAATTATAATTCCAGAATTCCTAAAAAAAAAGAAGCTCACAAGCCTGAAATGAGCTTTTTGTCAACAACACTTCCCATTTCTCCTGCCTGTGCTTGTTCTTATCTGATGAGACGTTAAGAATAATAAGCTTTTCTCTCCCCCGGATAAGAGCATCACTTAAGCAGCCATACCGAGAATCTGTGAAACCAAAAAAAAAGAGGGGAAGAAATAACCCTTTGCTTTTTCCTCAACCTCTTTGCACAGAACGTTACATGGCTCATTGTCGTTCAATGTTGCATGACTTTTTCCACCCAGCCCATCTGCACTGGCCCTTCAGGACGCTCCACATATATATATGTCACATATATATGTTTCATATCTCACACATATAATATGTGTGAGATATGAAACAGACAGAGCAAAGTATAGACTTTCTTTCAGCTCTGGCACGGATGACTTATGAATAATTTTTTTTTCGTGAAAAGGGAGGTATGTAATGTACATTTGAAGGCTAACAATTGAAAGTCCACATAGGGCCACCGCAGAGTAGGTAATCGTCCACTAGAGACCTCCTCCGCTGTCTGGAGTCGTGAAACAAAAGTTAAAACGATTTCCACTTTCGAGGTTGAGCTCCATCCTCGAACCGGTGCGGGGTTAAACTCATCCCCTGCCCTGAAGAGGCCGGTGCTTCAAGCAGCATTGGCCTCTCCAAACAAATCATATTTTACAAGCCATTTCCTCCACTGAGAGAGTGGAGCAGAGACAATAAACAGCAGTAATTGTGTCTCTCTGCAGGGTTTGAACTGTGGAAGAAGGGGTGTTACGGGGCTTCACACCCCGCTTTGGGGCATGGTCCCGTCCCCAGCGCTTGGAATACATAAACACTGATTGTTATTCAGCTGGAGCAGCATATTGTTGGCTAATCACAGCAGCCTTTAGTCCACTGTATCCAGTGACAAAGACAAACAGCCTCTGTGCATTGGTTTGTTTTTGTTCGTGTGTGCGCATGAATGTGTGGAGGTGTTGTGCCGAGGCTGGAGAGGAGGTTCCGATATTAACACTGGAAGGGAGTTACGGCTGAATTAATGTCTTCAAAGGCGGCCGCTCCATAAAAGACCACACAGTGTCTGTCAGCATAAGGTAGCTGGCAGCTGAATAGACGTGGCCCCAGGCGCAGATTTGTAGTGGTCTGACTAAGTGTTGAAGCTCTCACTCACTAGCTTATCAGTCATTTCCTCGTGGGGAGCGTTTTCCGCACATGTTTTCACGATGCTGTGAACTTAGGTGGACACTTTTTTAAAAAATAATCCGGCAGTCTTTAGAAAATAAACCCTTTTATTCCCAACTTCTTTCTTTTCTCCTAGATCCTTTTCTTTTTTTTGCCTTTTGGTGTTTCGTTCACCTGGGAGATCAAAAGCTTTGTTTTTGTTTTTTGCTTTTGGGTGTCATCTAGGTGTCAAACATATGATGCGATAAATAGGGGGAGCATTTATGTTGTTGCCTTTATTTAACTTTAATAAGACAGTCAAACTGAAACTGATTGTTAGAAAAATGAGTGACAGTCTTATGCAGGAATACAAAGCAAAGCACAACTTAAAAGTGACTTGCCTTTAAAAGGTTTTTATCACAAATAATCTGCCATGATTTTTCCAGGGTGTCTAATGTTGCAATTCTGTCAGAACCCTTATGAAAAAACAACAACCTCTTCTTACTGAGGTTGGAGTCCGGTGACAGAAAGTTACAGCTTTTAGAATCATGAGACTTGAGTTTGGAACCAGTTTAGCACAGTTATGTGCATCCTTTACCCTTTTCTTCTCCCCTGTTCAGTAAACACATTTATAGCACGCAAGAAATAAATTCATTTTTGTGTTAAGCCCTTAGAAACATGTTAGCTTAACCAAAATCTTACAAGGACAGTTGTTGTATTCACCGCTATGTAGACCTGTCACCAACTCAAGTGTGTGCTTAATGTTTTCATTTCTAAATGACTCATCTAAGACTTCTGTTTGGATTTTTAATTTCCAGTATTAAACATACATGATACGTTGACTTGTTCAATTTACACTGAATGTTCTCAAGTAATAGCAGCATGGTTTTGTATTAAAACGTACTGTAAAAAAGTGTAATTAATTATGAAAATATATGGATTTGGTCTTGACAAAATGCCTGAAAGGAGCATTCCAGTTATCAAGTGAGCCAAATCTAAGAAGCTATGTACTAGAAATATGCTGACCTCAAACGAAATCGCAGGTGTTGCCGTGTGAATTTAGTAAAAAAAATTTTATTTTTTGGGGTGAAATTAATGTATGTGGCTGTTCGTGTTTAGACTGGAGAGAGATGTTGTCATGGGAGCAAAAAGGAAGATGGGAACTTGAAAGTTTAGTTAAACAGAAGATCCAAATACTGACATAAGTAAGGCTCTGGTGCACAATGGGATTATTTTTTCAGTCTTAAGCCTCTCATCATAATGATGCTGACAAAGAAAGGTTTAAGTCATACGGATAAGAAGCTAATGGAACCAATGGAAACCGAGCAGATTTTCTCTGCACGTCAGACCTTTCAGCGTTCAGTATATCAGCTACATGAGATTGCTTGTCTTTGACATTGTGATTGATGCTTACTGTTGATCAAAGCTCATCCAATGCTCTCCATACATTTAGCTAAACACAGAAACATTGAAGATGCACATGGAACAAAGGAGCTTGGGTAACAGTTAGGTTTCTGATGAATCTGAGGTCTGGGACACAGTTCATCTAGTGAGTTGCTTCCAAAAAAGAAAGCCGAAGCACACTCCAAAAAAACAACAAGGAAATTATAGTTGTGCGAACTTTGTAAGAAGCTGTCAAAATGTGGGAGGATGCATATTGGAAATAGACTTCTGAAACCCCTTTTTATCAGAAAAAATACAAAAATTGAAAACTGAATTCAAAATTATGACAGAAAACAACATGTACCTTATGTATCTTATCAGATTAGAATGCAGTTCTTCACTCAGTTCCACAAAAGTTCAAAAGTGAAGTGCGAGTTGTGCCAAGAATACGGATGTCTGGAATCTGTAGAAACAGATCTGAAATTGAACCGGCCAGACATAGTGAAATGCAATTACAATGCTGGTTACTATCTGGAGTTGATGACGAAATTGGAATGGAATGTAGAGAAGGTTAGTGACTAGCAGTTCAGAGTGGTGTCACAGAGATAATGGCATGTTTGCTATTTCATCCTTGGCTGAACATTATTTAATCTGGAGTGCTCCTTGATAGCAGGCTGTCTTGTTTTTAGTAATTAGCCGAGACTTTAGCTCAGTGACCGTCAGAATATACTCATGCCATCAACTGTCTTCCATTCTCCAGATGTAGCAATTATCTACCCACAGGACCCTGTGCTTCGCATGGGGTCCAACCTGACCGCAAGCTGCTGGGTCCACCCCGATCTGGGCTTCCATGCTAGTTCGCTGTTCTGGACGCTGAACGGTCAACAGCTGCCAAGCTCCCTCTACAGAGTACTAAGCCCGACCAACCTCAGTATTACACTGGCTGGACTTAATGCCTCAAGGCAAACATCTGGTGACAACCTCGTCTGTCACAACCACAAGGGACACATATTGGCTGGCTCGTGTCTTTATGTTGGGAGTAAGTTCAAGTCTAAAATGTCTAACTGCAAAACTTTCAATTGTTTCTTTATCTTATGTATCTGCATTTGCCTCTATATTGCACAGTGAGAAGATAGTGAAGTATGGTACACACATTTAGGTCACTAAAGAGAGCCTATAATCAGACTGAAAAGGAAATGGGAATAAAGGGGGAACAACAAGGAAGTAGTGGGAAGATTTCTAAGTGTCCCTGCACAGTTGTAGCTGTATTTCATGTTTAGTATCGCTGCCTTCACAGCCCATGAGAGGCCTCAATGAGTGTGTCAGTGTGAGACTCTTTAACCACCTGTGTGGTCCATTACTCGCACTATCATTCACATGCTTGGGAATTGACATATTACACAAGCATATTTGTACTTCCACAATGATGAGAATTTACATTAGTATATTTTAGCCAATCGTTAAAGTTGTTGTTCTGAAAGCCCTATGTCGTTAAGATAAAAATAGTTTAGCATCATAGAGATGCTTACATTTTCACTTGTGTGCAGGAGCTAAATGAGCTAATATTGACTTGAAGAATAGGATACTTCCAAAACTTTTTTTTTTTACATTAGATATATTGTATAGTGTAGGATCACAATTTGCAACCTGTTTACTCTGTCATCTAGCTACAGCACAGAGATGACAGATCATTGTTACTACTAAAAAGTGAACATAAAATTAGAAACTTGACATTGTGCTAAACACACAATTTAGCTCTATGCCTTGGTCATTTCTATTAGCATGTTTAGTCCACTGCATACATTTTATTGTAGAGTTGATCTTTTTTTTTCACTGACAATCAAATTATTATTGATCAAGCTTTGTATAAGCACTGTAAGTATAAATTGTAATTATCCATTAACTCTGAAGCTTAAATGTTCAAAAGATCTTCCTTTTTAATTTGTTTTAAGATAGAAGTGTAGATGCACATTTTTACTTTTTCTTATGTTCACTTGCTTCTCTTCTTCCCTATCCTGCAGAATGCATGACTTATACTTAGCATAGATAGGCGATGAGTCTAAAAATTACATTTGACGAGACACAAGAATGTAACCGCAAAGGGGTTTGAGCATGCATTTTCACAGGCACACACAGAGACATAGAGAGGCAGTCGGGTTCTTAATCTCTGTGTGACACTGGTGTTGAGGACCCTGTGTTCTGAGAACCGAAGAATGTTGGCGGGAATCCCAAGTCTGACCAAATAAAGACTGTGTGCACACAAATGCACAAACTCACACGCACACAGACCAATTAAGAAAAAAACAGCAATTTCTGAGGAACATCACTAGTGGGAGAATTACAGTCCGGTGGATGTAGCTGAGGTAATGACTGGATAAAACTTTGTACCCTGCTGCCTCCGCTGCTCCCCTCTTTCCTCACCTCATATTCTTCTGTTCTTACCTACATTTTCTCACCTACTGTCTTTTCCCCGTCACTTTGTCTCCATCCCGTTCTTTCCCAGTGCCTCCAGAGAAGCCGGTCAATTTAACCTGCTGGTCCAGGAACACCAAAGACCTGACGTGCAGCTGGGCTCCTGGAGGAAAAGGAGAGACTAATATCAGCACACAGTACAAGCTCAAGTACAAACTCAGGTATACAATCTTTAAAATAAAAATAATTTAATTTGTGATGTACTTACCAGCTTTGGACGTGATGATGTGTAACTATTGGACGGGTTTTATGCCGTCTCACTTCTCTTGTCATGTGAAATTAGATGGTTTAGGAGCATGTCAATTGACAGAATTTCTGAATTGGCTTAATTACTTTGAAAATGAAGATCTGTCAAAGAGGTGAGGCAAAAAACCATCACTCAAAGGTTTAAGTGGATAATTCACCCACTTAAGTGAGCCTGCGCTAGGTATCAGATTTTAGGAGTTACAGTTTGTTAGAGAGGAAGCAAGTACAAATGGAGAAGTGCCTTATATTTTGACTGGATGTGTTCTCCCAAAAATGAAGAAAACAGTGAGATCTGGGAAGAATGTTTTCTTTTAAAAAATTTGTTCCAGTTGCAACATAGCTTAAACTTATTTTTAGAAAATGATATCAGCTATTTGAAAACACCAAAATGAAAACAACTTGACGTCTTTGATTCCAGCTTGCTGACATGAATATTTTAGAATTTATTCAGGCATGGACTTAATAAAACCATTAATGCCGTAAAACTTTTTAACGAATAACATATTTAGTTATGAATCTGACTATATAACCATTTTTCAAGGCTAAAAAAAGGACTTGCAGAGTTCTTTTAGTCATTTTTGCGCTCTCTTCTCAGATGGCATGATACAGAAAAAGAGTGTGTGGATTATACTCACACTCAGCCATACTCCTGCTGCATCACAGAGGACCTGCACCTCTTCACACCGTACGAGATCTGGGTGGAGGCCACCAACCAGCTGGGTCGGGCTTCCTCTGATGTCATCACCCTTGACATATTAGACGTGGGTGAGTGTTAGAGGAAACTTTGACCCTCTTGCTGATCTTAGAGCTTTGATCTTTGTGACGGGGTCACCTAAAGCCTTAAGCTCGGACAGTGGATAGTCCACTATCTGGCTTGTGAATCTTCAAAAGAAGGCATCTACCTGCAACCCTTCATTATCAGGCAAATATCCGGAGGCCAGATAAAGTTTCTTTGGCCTCAGCTTTAAAATGGGCAAATGTTTCAAAATGCATTTATTGCAATGATTAAAAAAATGTCTTCTTTCCTAAGTGGAATTGGCTCAACACGACAGAATTTCTAAAAAAAAAAAAACTGCCTCCAAGTAGCCTAATCCGTATGAATTAATTTACATGCTACGTCTGGTTTTCTAAGATCCTACGAAAATTACGGTGTAGCAACAACAATTTGCGGTTTGACGCCTTAGTTAAGATGCCAATTTTTTCATAGCCGGCAGCGGTTTGCCTGCCTCCAGTGTTTTTATCTCAGTTAATTGTTTCCATGCCTTTAAGCCTTTTATAATTCTCACAAACGTGAGAGTGGTAGCAATTTTAAAATGTACCTCTCAAAACAAATATGTGACGGATAAAATTTGACGACTAAACTAAAAGAAATGTTATTTTTTTAGAGGGCCACTGGAAAGTGAAATTAATTTAATTTTCTAAATTACTCATGAGAGAAGGGTCGGATCTCTACAATATTTAGATAAAGATACTTGTATTGGCCTCAACATCACGCTCAGTATATAGTATATCATTGTGCAACATTCATGGGGTAAAACCAATAATTGGGTAGGTTCACATAGAAATGGGAAAAATAAATTCAGAATGTAACACTGTCAGCATGGAATATATTTTTCTTTAGTGTTACGGGTATTTTAAAGGGTAACAAGAGAAAAGAATTGAATTTAAGAGTTTGATTCCCTGCCATCACGTTATGACCCTTCCTATTTATCTCGTGGCCCCCAAGTTACTTATATTCCAAATGGCTCAGAGCTTTGCATATCACATATCACATGCATATTGCTTTGATAGGATCTCAGTGGTATTCCCTTTTAAAGCTTTGTTATGTGCTGTGTTGCCTAGCTTAGCTCTGTTTAAGCAAACAGAGCATGCACCAAGACCAAACCCTCTCACTCTGCCAAATGCATGTGTTCACACTTGTGTATGTGAGTGTGCCCACACCTGGAGATGCATAGTTATTTTTCTTGGGGAGGGGGGGTTGTCTCAAGTACCTTTAGATCCCTTTGGTTATTAACTGATGCCACATGAGGAACTTGAAACTGAACTGAAAATGTCCATCTTCCCTTGGCGAACAAATTTTCACGTTACTCATGCTCACTGGACAAACAGACACAGCAACACGTACACACAAACTGCAGGAATGTTCCGGGCTGATCCTCCAACCTAATCCTGTCTCCAAGGCGGCTGCAGACCCTGAGGCCTGTGGAGTTTGGGCTTTGAGGCTTTAAGAGCTGGACTTGAAATAATACAACATGATTAGCCTGGAATTCTTCACCTGGTATACGCTTAGCTTTCTCCAAACGGTGCTGGGAAAAAGTCCGGAGAGAATATTAGATTTCGAAGGTGGACATGCCACTGGCAAGGAAACAATCATCCCTCAAACTATAATACCTTTCTCCTAGCTAATGTATGCAAGCACACACCTGTTTACACACCCCCAGGGCAGGGCAGTGCCGCCTGTGGAAACACAGGGGCAGGAAGAGAGTGGGCGTTTTCTGAATTGACATGCGTGTGTGTGGGGGGTTTTGCCTCTGTCTAGCGGACCAAGCCTTCTCGTTCACTCGGGCTCTGTGCACAACAGAAACGGGTCATAAAGAAGCCACACCTGCGTTGAGCTGCCATGAGTCACTCACATCTACAGTCATGTCCAATCAGTTATGAAGGCGAGGTGGAAACACCAACAGTTTGTCTGCATTCCTCAGTCCCAGGGAGATGCAACAACCAGGAGGACTAGAGGAAACTTGCATTGCTGTCTGATTCTGACACGGTGACGTGCTGAAGAGTGACATGGCATACATTAAGGATGAATCATCAGGGATTTGTCATGTCTCATTGACTTTTTCGTAGAAATGCACGGCATGTGCACGCATTTGCTCCTCTCCTACCGCTCACTGTCCGAGCACGCCTTTCCTAGAAACGCATTTATATTGAAGGCAGCGGTGCAGCACATACCATGACGGCTGCAGATGCTCTTTGAAAGACAGATGCTGCTTTACCAATCCACAGTGTCCACTTTCAGTCTGCAAAGTACCATAACATTGCAAATTCAGCCCACATCAATCACATTTTGAGGAGCAGAAGGCTCAGTCGTCCCTTGGTTCTGCAAAGAGAGCCACACAAATAAGATAGATTGCACTCAAAAGAGCAATATATTATTATGTATTAAATACATTTTTGAATTTTTATAGCTGCTCTTATGTTAACTTATGTGAAACAAAAAACCTAAAATGTCACTTATATGACATTCTATGCTAAATATGCAATCCATGAAAACTGTATTTTTTTGCTAAACTTTGTGTTCAACAGGGCAGCTCAAAAACAATCTTCATCCTGTGCTGTGAAGCATTTAAAAACAAGCAAAAATGCAATGAAACGCATTTCTATTTGAGCTTTTATGCCCATTGCTGTGTACAAGGTTGTATTTTGCAAAGAAAACAGGAAACATATGCAGTGTAATACTGACGCGTGCAAACATAAATGGAAACGTAAATTAAGTTACATTTTTTTTCTAAACAGCCTGAACCCTCTTAGATAAGCTGTGCGGTTATTTGTTTAAATAGTAGTGGTACTAGAAAAAGTCCTCCATGATTTTTAAGGACATTCCAAAGCTGTTCTTTGGATGTTGGTTACATTTTGTCCGGTCTCGGTCAGATAGTCCCACACTCCTTCTATAATGTTGAGGTCCGGGTTCTGGGGAGGATTCATGCCTCCATCAGACCTGGGGGCACTGATTTTCAGTCTGCTTCTTGTAGCCAATTCAGTCAATTTTTTAAAAGAGACATTCTGACCATTCACATGTGACTATACTTTAAGGGGGAAAATTGTAATTGAATTTCTGTCAAACTGTCAAACTTTGGTTTGGTCACAGATACAGTTTCAGTAATGGGAGCTAATTATTTTTCTTCCATAAACTTGAAGTGCCTAAAGATATTATTTAAAACCGGTTCTTTGCCAGGTTGTTATATGTCCTCAATTGAGTTAAGTGTTTTTACATTTTTTTTATTGTTGATAGGTTGATGGGGTAGTGTTACATATCAACAAAATAGTAGATTTTGGAAATGCCTTAATATTTATATAAAAATATTTAATTTTGAACCACAACTTCAATGATGAAAACAATTAAAGCATTTTGTTATACACTAATGTTTTAACAGCAGTTTGACTTCCAAAATGAGAATAATCCCTTATGTCAACATTTAAATTCCCCGGACTCTCATACTTTTATCATCTATACATGGTCTGGCGCTGTCTCGTTTTGGTGTTTATTTTGATATTCTACATCCATTAGAAGAGGGCTTGCCAACTTGTGTTGAAATCCACGGGCAGAGTGCTCTGGCTCCTGCTCGCTCTCACTCATGTGGAGCAGGGGAGGAGAGGCGAAGTGGTGCCAATGCTGTGGTTGCAAACAGTAACCAGAGGAATTTACTCAAGCTCAAACCCAATTACTCGCCTTGGCTCTACCACTCTATCTCCAAGTGATAATGCAGCATTTTCCTTTGGAGATCAAGGTGTTGTGGACACATTTACAACAAGCTGAAAGGCTCTATAACCACTATTCTCAGACCACCCAAAGGAAAGAAAGACTTTATCCCTGTAAAATTGAGGGATAGAGTAAAAAAAGAGGTATTACAATTTCATCTTACTTTGTCTTTGAAGTGAGAAGGAATTAGCGAGACTTTAAAGTCTGGGCCTTATCTTAATGACTGTAAGTTATCAATAAAGTATTTGTAGAGGCAGTAAAAAAGTGGGCTAAAACACCAAAAGAGGCTTGCAAGAAAACTGACTTTAGACTTGCCAAAGTCTAAAAATGAAATGAAAAAAGTAGAACTTTGAAATGTAAATACCCCCATGTTTAAAATTTTTTTTTTAGGTGAATTTTTTTTTTAGATAAAAAAAATGGTAGTTTTTACTCCACAAGCCACATCACTCCACAGTGCAGAGTTGGATCACCTACATGCAACTGAAGAAACCACACATAAACAAGTCTCCTGAGCTCAGATCCGTGGGGAGCTATAATTGTTTGCTACATATCTGCATTGTCATCTTGTGCATGTTAACAGTATGAGCAAGTTTGCATCCACTTTCTTAAGATCACTTTTTTAAAGCTCAAATTCATTCCAAAAGAAAGAAAATCATTTTTTTCTCAGACAAATGAAAGAGCATGCCCCCGATACATTTACTTTGAGAGTCCTGGTGACCAGAGACAAGACTTCTAAAACTGTCAAGCGAGCCCCCACCATTTCCCTCCATAGAACATCTTCATCCTTCCCCTGGGCTCAGAGTCTGTTTACTTGTATTAGATGACATTCTAAAAAGGAACTGCCGTTGATATTGAAATCATTTCCACCGCTCCAAACAAAGGGAGAGTAAAGCAGAAATAATGGTCTGTCACTGTGTGTTTGTTTGTCAAAGAGATAATTGTTGTCAGATGAAAAAATCTCCACCATCTTACACAAGTGAACCTTTCCGAAACCAGAAGGCCTCCAGAAACCTCGCACTGTGCCGAACAATCCTCCAGTGTTCTGCGTTAAGCATCCACGGCAAAGCTGCACCTTTAAATTGAAGTTGAAAGGGTTTAATGACCCCTCAAGCATACGTGCATTAGTAAACCCTAAAGATAAGAAGTTTTGTTGTTATTCTTGGCAGAATTCACAATGTGAATCCTTTGACTTTATTGACGTGAAGTGTTTGTATTCTTCATCTCTCGACGGAAGGTTTCAGTGTCTCCCGCCCCAGTCAGTGAACAAAATTAAGCTTGAGAAAGTTAGAGAAAGGCATATTTAAGTTATTTTGCAAAGCAGCTGGAATCAATCTACGTGGTCATTCTTCAAAGTGTACGTTTGCGGTCAGAAGAAGATTGTTTTGGGCAAATGAGTGTAGCCACCAGTGTAGGACCACCAATTCCAGACTGTCAGCTGCCTTTTTGGTACTCTGCAGTTTGACTCCCACAGAGTGTAGCGTACATGTTATAGCTACATTTGAAATAAAGACTTTTTCCAGAATATCACCGTTCCCCTGTATAGATCTGCTTGGTGGAGGTTATCCCATAATAGACAAGGAGATATAGTTTATCCAGTTACTTTTTTAATTTGTCCCTCAATAACATCCTGGTGATTTTTGTGTAGCAAATCATTTGGCTTGTCAGGTTAGCAGAAAAACCATAACCCCTTTGCAGATGCGTGGATTTCGTCCTCTACAAATTCCTATATCTGATCTTAAAGTTTTGGAGTTTAAATTCTAGAAGAAATGATCTTACTTACTGTCTTTTTGCTCCTCCTACAGTCACCACAGACCCTCCGTCAGGTGTGACGGTCAGCCGCGTGGGCCAGTTGGAGGACCAGCTCAGTGTTCGCTGGGAGGCCCCACCCGCCCTCAAAGACTTTCTGTTTCAGGCCAAGTATCAGATCCGCTACAGGCTGGAGGATAGCCAGGACTGGAAGGTAAAGAACACAGTATTATTCGGACATGAGTCTGCCCTCTGTATCTATTACATGCAAACATAAACAGAGCTGCAGCACCGGGCCAGCTGTTTCCCATCCTTAACTCGTCTGATTGAGGCCACCTGTCATAAACTTTCCATCAGGAATCTGGTCAGGTTTCGATAGAGAGCAAAATCACAGACCAAATTCCCTCTGTTCAAACCTTTTGTGAATGAAATGGGTTTGAATCAGTGGAGCTGTCAGTCATTCAGACGGCGCTTCAGAGCAACTTGTTTCCTTTGGATAGGAGCGAAAGCCTCTTCAGTAATTAGGAGAGAATTGCTCGGCTGAAACATAAGCAAGTCTTTACTCGCAGAGTGGAAAAAGGCAATAAAGGGGCGTGGAGGGGCGTGGCGGAGGGCCGATGCCATTCGAAGGAGGAGAGAGGAGGCTGAAATCCAAGTGGCTTTAAGAGCTGATGGTGGAAACAAGGCGCCTCTCTACTGGCCCTAATCATGAGGTCATACTGAGGAATGGAGGGATACATCTCAGCTGTTAATGTCTTCAATATGGCTGCAAAGACGCTCAGCTGCAACTTCTGCCTATTTGGCTTCCTTTACATCACATCATTAGCCCTCTGATGCCTGTAATTTCCATGCTCTGTTTTTTGTTGGAGTCCTCCTTCACGAGTGTTTACAGACGGGATGCCAGGGAGAAAGTGGGGATTATTAGACGGGAATATTAACTGCGGCATGTGCGAGTTTTCTTTCTCTCCGTTTTGTTTCTGTGTTTGTGCGACTACCTGCTCAGGCTCCCATGCGTGTGTCCCAGCATATCCAGCTCAGTAATGAATAATAGAGACCAGATTTCCCCCGGCAGGCACGGCCGCATTAAGATAGCTTTATAAACATGCTGATCAGGAGTCACTAAACAATGTGGCATTCATGCATGTTTAGGTCTGTTCATGGTTTGTGGTTGTGTTTTTGTGCATCTTGATTTTGCCCCGTGTTTGAGTTTGTGCCCATTGGTATTTAATGCTGTGGTCAGACCTCCAGCGCTCCGCACTTCAGTGTTTGTGTCTTTTCTTTTGCCACGTAGGTGATGGATGACGTTGGCAATCAGACCTCTTGCAGACTGGCCGGACTGAGACCTGGAACAGTGTACTTTGTCCAGGTAGGCTGACTTGCCGACTGCGTGTGTACACACTCGCGTTCCAGCGTATTAAAAACGTATTGAAGAGTTAGCCACTGGTAATGGATGTTGTTCTTTTCCGTAGGTTCGCTGCAACCCCGTGGGCATCTACGGCTCTCGCAAAGCCGGGATCTGGAGCGAGTGGAGCCACCCCACAGCTGCCTCCACTCCCCACAGTGGTGAGCAACACTCACACACTCCTATACCGTCACACACTCACCGTCAAAGATCCACTCACAGGGCTTTTTTTTCTTCTTCTATTCTTGATCTCAATTCTTTGAAGCACATTAGTGCCAATAAGAGGCAATTTCTTGCTCGAAAATTAGGTTTGTATCATGGTGTACCATGTATCCTGCAGTTATTCTGTGGCCGCCTCATAAAAGCAGGAGACGGTGATGTCAGTCTCCCTCTCTGTTTTTGTTGTATTGGCAGCTTTTTACTCATGACAGATGGATCAATCTAATCAAATGAGAATATATTAGTCTAAGAAAAATCAAATCATTGGCAAACCAAACTTTAATAAATCAAACCAGACATCTAGCATGTATTAGTTTCAGTAGGTTGAAATGGAAATCATTTCCCGGCAAAGACATTTTGAAAAAGATCGGGTCAAAAAAAAAAAAAGAAGAAAGGAAAAGAGCACTTGTGAAGATTGCCACTGTGGATTTCTCTCCCACTGTGGAGTCCTCTCCCTAAGCAGACATCCAGTGACTGCTGTATGAAATTAGATCATAAACGGACTGCAAAGGAGACCACAGTTATGAAAACAAAACGTACAAACACAAGTTTAACTGCAAGGCTTTCAGCAAAGGAAAGCTCAGAATATCCTGATCTGGGCAACTTGTTTTATTTCGTTCTTTTTAAGTTTTTTTAGGTCAAGGCATATTTAAAAAAATAGCTTCTTCTCAAAGTGAAATAAAAAGTTAAAAACGTGCAATATGGATACACGTGGCTACAAATAATTACACTGCATCATATATCAGAGAACCTGTCGAATTATTAATTTCTGTTCATTTTTAGCTACAGTCTTTCTTTGTATCACTTCTAAATAGTCTTTTTTGAGCTGGCTCTGATGTGTCTGTAATGTGGATGGTGCCGTGGGGGTTCAAACTGATCCACCATCAAGGGAGGTTGTAACAGAGGCAAAACAGCTCCGTCTGGCGTGTGCTCATGCACTTCAAGCCAGCATTGCAGAAAGTGCCACTGTACCTAAAGCAAAGGTCATCACTCAGCTAATTCAATTTTGCATTAGCTGAAAAAGCCGTCGTCTAGCAAAATTACTATTTTTTTAAGACACAATCAATGTGTGAAAGATGTTAGTGATTTTTATATGAAGGCCAGCATCGATTGATGGACTTAATAGGAGCACCAGAGACAGGTGGAGCGATAAAAAAAAGCCTTGGAAAAACTGCAACAGAAGTCGGTCAAAAGGCAGAAAATGGAAAATTTCCAAACACAGATAAAGCCTGAAAATAGTAGGTAAAGGTTAGAAAGTCACAATGATCTACACATATTGAGAGACAGTGAAGCAGTCAAAGAAACCAGCAGCAGAGCCCAGGTGCCAACCACAGAGACGAGGCTAAACTTACCGGGATGCACACAGGAAAATAGTTTTCAAAGCATTCAATAGCGAATTACTAATTACATTCACTTCTGATGGCATCTTCTCCTCTCAGGATTGTTTTAACATTTTTATGGTTATACCTTAGCCAAAAAGGACCATCCCTCCACATTAGTCTTTAGGATTTTTGTTTCTGTATCATTAAATGAGAGGAGGCAACCTTTAAATCAGAGTGCGCCTCTTTTAAGTTGAAAACAAGGTTGTGTCATGTCAACCTTTTTTCACATCAGTGCATATTTTGACTACGATGCGAATAGACAAGCTGAAAAACACTCAAACCATGAGATGCACGCCAGCTTTAGGCAGTCAGGTGCTGCTTGGTCTTCAGTCACATAACAGCTCTGTGTTCTGGCTCTCTGTTAAGAATGTCTGCATATTTAATATTATATATGCCACCTATACTTTAATAAACTCATACATTAGGATCTTCCTCTGTTCATTTTTTCATTTAGTCAAAATAAAGTTTGATTATTGGACAATGGCCTAACTCAACCAGGTTATTTTGGTTAAAAAATAACTCAAAATAGGATATTATATATGTCCACCCTGACTTTCCTCCTCACCGTCCTGCAGAGCGTCTCATGTCGGGCTCCTGTGACTCAAAGTCCAGCGGCGACTCCAACTCCACCCTGCGCAGGGAGCTGAAGCAGTTCTTCGGCTGGGTGCGGAAACACGCCTACGGCTGCAGCAGCATGTCCATGAAGCTGTACGACCAGTGGAGAGTGCTGATGCAGAAATCCCACAAAACTCGCAACCAGGTAGGTAAGCATCACTAATGCAGAGAAGAAACACGCGTACACACATATGCAAACATGTCCTGCACACACACATATATAAAAACATCGTGAAAATGATTTTTTTTAACGAAAGATGATATGTAACAGATTGTGTCTTCAATTTAGGTTCTCCAAGGGGATAAGTCATAGCACATGCTGACAGAAAAAACAAAGAACTGAGTGAATGGAGCTTGTGTTTTTGTTTATACGTGTGAATGCGAGATGAGAAAAAAGGAGACTGCGTTGGTATATCAGATTTATAAAGACAATTTGCGTCGCCAATTGAGCTGATGCCAGCCGTGGCTGCGAGAGGACATCTGAAGGAGAACTGTGGGATCTGCCCCTTCCCTGCAACATTTCCAGACAGCGCGATCACTCAGGCGCACAGGTGCGAATGGCTGAGACGGTTTCCTCATCACCGACATCCGGGCAACTCTGCTTTCAAACCACATTGTGTAACGACTATTTTTTGGACAGTCTGTAAACCCAATTGACGTGTATTTGGTGTGAATTTATACAGATATGATCAAATCAAATGCAATCTTGCCTGAAGCGTTTGCCGACGCATCTGAACGTCTCGAGTGTTGCGCTGTGGTTTCTCCTCTGGATCCAAAGCACCATCTAGTGGCTGTTCAGCGCCCATGAATCCGCCAGTCGATGCCTTCCCCAAGGTCTCAATGCCAAAAGAAAAAAAAGCAGTAGATTTATGATGCAGTATTTCTAATTTCTAAAGCTTTTGTTATATAGATGGTTCATGTGCCAAACTGGTTCACCCAGCATTCATGTGTTTCTGAGTGTATGAGACTGATGGAATGATGGCGTTGTGTGTGGAAACGTTTAATTGCCTTTATTTTTGTACTGAAATGTAACAGCATATTTAAAGTATAAAGTTAAGTTTTATAATTGTTAAATTATGTTTAGTTAGTAAAGACTGTACAATGACTGAAGTTGTTATCAATCACTAACAGTGCTCTATAAAGATTCTGCCAGAAACACTGGGTTTGGAAGTTAGTTGTGTATGCACTACATGGGAAAAGCACACACACTGCAGGTGTGCAGGCAGGTTTGGTGGGCTGAAACATTCTGTTAAAACAATGCCAAGACATCAGCTGTGAGCACAGAGAACCAATCTGGGAATGGTTATAAGGCCCCTTACAAAATATTTGGAGTCTTATTGTTCTAGGATGAAAGATTACTCAGAAGTTGAAAAAAAATATTCATGACAGCTACAAATCCTCCACTTTGGAATGGACTGAGCAAGTCTTAGCAAGTCACTTAGCAAGTTAAACGATCATGGGAGAAGAGACTGGACAGGTCACATATTCACACAAACACATAATATATATACAGATAAGGGTGGTTTTGGACCATTTTAAGGTCTGACCATAAACACCAAAGTGTTCAAGGATCAAATCTGTCTAACATAAAGCTTGACCAGTGACCTCAAACACACCTACAAATCTACAACAGAAAAGCTGGGGGGAAAAAACAAGGTGTTGCAGTGATCCTATCAAAATCCAAAACTCAAACCTGATGGAAATACTGGGATGGAACATGAAGAGCGCTGAGCATAAAAACAAATGATGCAAACCTGAACAGGCGCCAGCAAAAAGTAAAGAAGAGTGGGACAGAATTTCTCCACAACAGACAATTTTGTCCCACAAGAGACTAACATTGTCATACAGAAAATAATGGCTCTTTAAGCTACTGAATCACAGAGTGAATTTAGCTCTTCACACACTGTTTCGGATGGGTACATAACTACAGGTCATGTAAATACATAAACTCTCAAAAATGAAAATGAGTGCATGTTCTTCTTTACATGACAACCATTTAATACATAAACTCTAAATTTACCCAACCAAAAGTTACCATCAGTTAAATGTTATTAGGGTCTGTGGGTTATTGCCAACGAACAGAAACTATAATATAAGAGGCTGACGTCTGTCTCTTGAGTTAGGTTTAAACTATTTATTTGAACACCTCTCTTTGGGCTGTTTGAGTTAATCTCAAGAAACTTGAGACCCTGGTTGCGTTTCCTGCCAGTATCCTGCCGTGCAGCAAATTAATCTCCCCGTGTTGACAGGCCAGAGTCCTGTTACTGCACCTGTGATCCCTCAGTTACCTGTGCTTGAAATTTTAACCTGGTTGGAAGGTTTTTCTTGGTTAAGGCTCTGAGCACAAGGCTTTACTTGCCTCTGTCCTTGCCAAAAATCATGCGAGCAATAAATGGCTCTCTCCGGACCATCTTTTGCCACAGTTATAATGTTATAAGTTATAAGTCCCATCAGCAGTAGAATGAACACATATCTTGCACATATTTCACCGCATATAAATGTTATATTTTCGGGGAAATTATTAAACTAATCTAAAATGTTTACAGAGAATTTAGTATAATAGAACTGAATAGAATAGAAATTATTTCATTATAAAAATATCAAAGTCTGTTAACCAAAGTCAGAGAGAGTTTAGCATTTTAATTAAATAAATGATGATTTAACGATTAGAATAACAGTAGGAAATTAAACAACCTACCAGAGTTTTACTGGCAGAATCTCTTGACCTCTGAAATGTTTCCTGAAAGGTAAATTTAAAGAATATAAGACAGATACAAAAGAGATTGGGAAAACCAGTTAGTGTTTAACCACAATATTTACCAGTTCAACCGTAATGAACAAAACTACACGAGAAGCTGGTGGATGTTTATTGCTCACAGGTCCATGGTGTTCAGTAGAGTAGTTTTCATATATCCGCCTGCAACAGAAGATCAGTGTAAGTTTTTTAATTTTTAATGGTGTGTGTCCTGAGGCGATGTTACTTTCAGCATACAGGCTGCAGTGGAGACATGTCACATACATCCTATAGTACAGAAACCTAATACATTTAAGTAGGATGGCAAACTCCTTTTGGTATTTATAAATGCATATTTGCTGTTGGCATGATTAATGTCACAGGTCTGTGTCAGTATTTTCAGTCTGAATGAGTATATTCCCTGCATTATTCCATCTGCTGTGCTCATTTAGCTTTTTAATGAACCTTTTGTAATGCGATTCCAGCCAAAACAAACACTGATTGTCCTCCTTTGAGTCTTGCCTCCTCGTGGCGTTGACTTGCTAACCACTGGCCCGCAGAGAACCTTGGAGAAAAAGAGGTGGAGAGGAAGTTTGGGTGCTTCAGGCCTATGGTCAAGATAGGATTTCTTCACTTCTTGGTCATGAATAATTCACCTGGAGCGAGCAGCACAAGAAAAGGATGTGCCTTCTGGGACAGTGGACCCAAAGAGGAAGAGCAGGGGACGAGGCAGAGGCGGTGGAGAATGGAGGAGGCGGTGAGGAAACGACCAATAATCTCAGCTCGTGAAAGAGGTCAGTTTGGAAAATCCGTATGTATGTGCATGTTTGTACATGTCTATACATCCGCATGGACTAAATTATAGCTCGACTTGTTTTGCGACGAAACTTTTCACAGCCTTACAAATGCACAGCCCCAATACTTGTTTGAGCTTTCCACTTTGTTTAGAATTCAATCCCAAACAAGCAAAGGAGGAACGTTAAAATGCATAACCGTTGAAAATAAGTCAGGGCTCTCCATATGGAAATGATCAGAGACAAAGCAGGCTAGGCCACAGACTGGTGGGTGTGCAGCTCTGCTGCTTTGAGCTGAATTTGTTGCATCATTTTTGTCACTGTCCCCCTCCTCCGCCTCTTCCTCCTCCTCCTCCTCTTCCTCCTCCTGCCGGCTGTCAGGCCCAGGCCCTGGACGCTACGCTCTGCCCCCTACAGTTGGATACATGAACCATGACTTCACCAAGCCCAGCAGCCCGGCTTATTCCTTCCACAGTCGGATGAGCAGTGCCAGTGAGTCCAGCCAACTTAAACAGTAAATTTGTCAACACCTTTTTTTTTTTTTGGACACAATGACAATGATAACTTAAAGGCCCTGACTAAAATATCTTATATCGCTTACATGATTGTAGATTTTGTTTCCTATAGTGGTCTCAGTAGACTCCAGTCCAGGACCGAGGTACCACGTTGGCGCCAATGTTACCCGCTTTGGCAGAATGGACATGCCGTCTTACTCAATTTCAGGCAGAGGAAGACAAATTGGGAATAAGGGTAATAAAAATAAATAAAAACTTTAAGCAAGTTGATATTTATCATGGATACAGACTCAATAGCTCCATTGCAACCTAGATATTTGTCAAGCGAAGGAATGATTAACAAAACAGCTAAGGTAAATATACACAGCCTTAATGACATATTGGAAGCTCTGTTTCTATTTAAGAGGAAGGTCGGGACATGCTCTTAAGCTGTGTGCCACTCTGGTGCACGGTGTCTTTCGTTTCAATCAGTCTTTCCTGTGGAGTTTTCTGTTTGTGTCAGCAGTTGAGCAGTTCCAGACTCCCGGACCAGGGGCCTACAGCCCAGAGCGGGCCCCACCCCTCACCCCTCACCGAAGACCACCATCATACACGATCGGAAACCGAACAAGATATCGCTCAGTGGACGCCGTACCAGCGCCCAACAGGTGAGGGGAAAGGGTCAGACAGGCTGGATTTGCTCCTGAAAACCGATCCCACTGAGAAGTACACGTGTACGAATGCGTGTCAGTTGTCCTAAAATGCAACACTCTTCATTAAGAACAATTTAAAAGAAAAACTAAGAGAAAAGTCAATATCGAAACGTAAAAAAAAAGTCAGTATAGTGGTTTGACACTGAAAATAAAAAAGAAAAGAACGTAAAAGAAAAAAGCAGTGTTTGGGTGTGTTGTTCTCAGATGGTGGCAGGAAGACAGATGCTGTCCAGCTAAAACTAAGTTCCGCTCCATTTCTCCCAATGAAACGTGCAGCTTGTCAGGGTTAGGCAGAAAGGGTGAGCTGTTGGTGAACGAGTGACATTTTTTTGGCAGATTTTTCATGCAAATACTTGAACTTCATATCGTCTCACAGCAGCCGGCCTCTTTGTCCACTGTGTATGCTTTGAGTCTGTGCTTTCAGTGTTCCGGTTCTTTGTCAGTGTTCGGGCACAATGCCGGATTAATCAAACTGAGAAGTATTCCAGCTGAAACAGTGACATAAGTTCTTAGTTCAAATCTTTACATGGCCCCCCACACGCACGATCAATAATCCATCAATATTACAACAATACAGAAATTACATATTTTTTGGGTTTGGAGAATAACAATACTAAGGCAAGAAAGTAATTGTTCAGGTCAAAGAAATCTTTTACAACATAACCTTCAGCCTGATGAAAGCCATTTTCCACCACATGCAGTTACTCTTTTGACCACTAGAGGTTGTGCTTTCTATTGGGGGGAACAAGAGGTCAAATCTGCTGGAATGATCACATTTCATGAGTTAGTTTTTCTTTGTGTAAATAAATATGTTTCTGTAGTGTTTGAGGGGTTGAGGGCTGAAGGCTCTTAATTCAGGCATTTCCAGCTGTTTCAGAATGACTCAGCAAACCACGATTCAGAATCAGTTCTGTGACGGGACTTTTCTTCTCTGTCAGCTGAGTTTTTTTTTTGTAAACATGAGGCCGGTGTTTGATAGGGTTTTTTTGGAGGATGGTTTTGCTAAATTTTGTGAGTACTTCCTAAAAATTCCGGTGAGACACAGTTTAGTCATGTTTTCTGTGATGTGTGCTCCTTAAGTGAAAGAGTAAAAGGTTTCACTGACTGATTTTTCTTTGACCTTTTAAAATTCTGTTTAACAATTTGGTATGGCATGTTTTTCACTGATTATGCTCGGTCATAGGACATACTAAAGGAAGTGAATTTACCTTAACAGCTCTACAATAAAGTTTACAGCTTTGATAACTAAAGGAAGGGTGCCTTCTGACATTTGTTTTTTCAAATTTCCCACTTTTATCATAAAGTGTCACACCAACTATCAGTGAAAAAAACATTAATTCTGGTTGTTATTACTCCACTGTAATGCAAAAAAAAAAAAATGCAATTGTCCTTTTTTCTCTGTGTAGATGTTAAAGATGAGGTACTCAGAATGTTACTGTAGATTTAAGCCTGGATTTCCACAGCCTTACTTAAACTGCCTTTGCTTACTAAATGAAACATCAGACACAAAACAGGATGTAATTTGCAATCACAAATTCTTACATCTTAGGCAGCTGCAACAACTGTCTCAGCCACATCCTCTAAAGTCAACTGTCACAAAAGATAGGAAAATGAAAATATATAATATATAAAATATATACCGGTACATATAATTTGATGTTATTAAACCGCAGATATCGTGGTGTTTAAATTAAGAAGCATTGGTGGAACATACGCATATAGATTAGAAGAGATAATGTAACAGCTTTGAGTAAAGTATGTTGTTTTGCTAAACTAAGGCTTTCTGATCTCTCAGCTACAGCCTCCCTAACCTGCTGGGCTGTCAGGTTCCCCACAAACCCTCCAGCGCCAGTTACAGCTTCTCAGGGCGTAGCGCAGTGGGAGGGCCCACTGAGGATCTCGCAATGACCCCCGGACCAGGAAAGTACAGCAGCATAAACCCAGATATCTACAGACAGCGCCAACCTTCCTTCTCCATTCAGAGCAGGACTAAGAAACCCAACTATGTGTCTGGTGTCCCAGGGCCGGGCACATACAGCCCGGAAAGGATTCACGTGCACCTTCCCAAGCCCCCATCTTTCACTATGGGCATCAGGCATTCTGAGTTTGTTACCCCTCTTGTGGTGCATGTGACTGACTGACTGACCATGCTTTAGATTTACATTAGTTGCCTTTCTTTTATTTTTCACATGATAAAACAAGCTTTTATAAACACCACATAAATAATACTGACAGTCAGAAAAAAGGAAAGACAATACAATTACTGTTATACCTGAAATGATGATTTCAGGACACTGTACAAATAGTGGCTCTGTGCATTTCTTCATAAATAAAACGAATATTAATAACTCTTTGCATTGTTTGTGCTTTTAAAAAATAGAGTAAATTGTTTAGTCTCTGTTTCCTTGAGAGAGAACGGGTGTTATGGTTTGGTTTTTGGTATTGTGAAATTGACAGGTGAACTCCAGTCGCTGCACTGGCCCAGACCCAGCAGCTCCTTAGCACACACCTGGAACAGGTAGGCCCGGCCGGGCACCAGCGCCTTCAGCTCGATCTTGGTGTTCTCAAATGGGCCCAGCTGAGGGAAAAAATATACAGCTTGTTTAAAAAAAAAAAAAAAAAAAAAAAAAAAAACTCTGGGAGATGTTTTTTTGTAAGACATGCTACAGTGATTTTTGCTCAATAAAAGCATGTTTGGCATTCTATCATGAACACCAATTTAATCAAAATAGAGATTTCAGATAAGTCACAATGTCTTCTTCTTTGTAAAAAACCACACACCTCACATGCTTACATACTTTTACCATCATAATCAAAGCAGAAATTTGTTTGGTTGGAGATATCCGGCCAAACAAGTAAATACATGTAAAAAGAAAAAGAAAGGTTTAAGGATGTTGCGAAACCGTTTTGTTAACAGAAAGATGCCACAAATATTCAAAGGGAATTTCTGAAACTTTTGACACTGACAGAGAAATTAAGGTAGTTTTCTGGACTTGAGCATGTGACTGTAGTGTGGTGTATTGAGGTGTAAAATGTGGTATTTTGAAATCACAGTACGTTAAACATATTGTTTCCTGTGTGCGATGATGAGGACTTTTCTTACACTGACAGACTTAGGGGTGCCCCTGTGGTCCCACTGGTACCGTATGTGGTACTTCAGGGGGAAGATGTCCAGGCTTGTCCATGTGGGGGGAGGAGACCATTCCACCAACAAGTCTTTGGCATTTTTGGAAGAAACCCGGACATCTACGGGGGACTCTGGCTTCACTGCAGGCAGATTGGAGTTGGAATGTTTAGGTAAAAATCAGATATGTCTTGTAAAGCAAAGCGGCACAACTTTTTTTTTTTATCAGCACACTTTGTATGTACAGTTGATAAAATTTAGTTTTGAAAAAAAAAAGTTCTCACCTATATCCTCCAGCATAAAATTTGTCAGATGAGAGCTGCTTCCACCAGAATACACTGCAGTGATGTTGATAATGTAGTCAGTGAGAAGTTTCAGGCTGGGCAGGTGGCAATGCCAAAGCTTTAAAAAAAACATCAAAAAGCACTGTGGTGATGATTATGCACTTTACTCAAAGCTTTGCATCGATACTGTAACAAGGAAAGACATTCCGGAACAGGCAAAACATTTTAGGCTTTAGCCTGACAACAAAGCACATACAATGAGGGCAATAGTTATTAATAAATATCTCTGATATGACAATAATCCACCTGTTTCTCAAAAAAGCTGATCTGTGGTCTGCTAAAACTTTCCAAAATTAAAAGAAAAAAGAATGATGTGAGAGGGGAATTTAATATTCAAGATATCCACTTCAACATAGGACCTCATGGGTTTAATCATGCCCCATCTGAAAATCCCTGAAGCAAATTAGAATACACTTATACCTGCTCAGAGTTTGATGATGATGAAAGTCCAGCCGTGTGAGCAGACAAAGATCCAGGCGGGATGAGATGGCAATGCTTGGGGTCTGCCTGACTGTGTCTCTCACTGTTGTACAAAAGACACAAAGAAAAAAAGTCTCAGTGTATTTCGATCAAAAGGATTTAATGCATGCCTCTATGCAGACACACTGGGCACATGTTTACCTGTAAGTGGCGATGTAGTGTGTTGGAGGGGATGGGGAAGGTTCAGGCCAGGAGCAAAATGTCAGATTTGGGTAGCTGGAGCACCAGCAGTGTACCGAGGGTGTGGATGGAGGATCTGGTTGGAGAGGGAACATTTAATAAATCAAGAGTTCAAATTATAATCATGCAGGTGGAGCTTTGATACTAATTCAGGTTCAGTTGTTTTAATTTTGTGAAGTATTCATACACTTTGTTTATTTATTTATTTTTCTACACAAGTTCTAGTTTAATTAAATTAATGACAGAACAGTCTTATTCATCAGAGACTACATCATCATTACAAACAAATTTTAAAGGAATATGTCAAGGCATGAGAACGATTTTCAATTGTATGAGCTGAATGGTTTTGTAGATTAAGCAAATTCCAATAATCTAATAATGTACCACCTTATATGTTCATTCACATTGAGGTGACCAGTTATCCATGCATCCATCAGTATGATGGAATTACTATAAATATTACCTTCACATGCCTAATTGAGAAATATCAACAATTCTAGACAACAGTTGCTTAACTGTCACTGGTTTAGGACATGCCCCTCTAATCCCCTCCACCCCACTCCTCCACAGAGCCCTGGAAGCTGAGACATACTTAACTCACACTGGTACTCACCCCCTGATCTTGCAGTCGCTCTCAACAGGTCAAGTGCTTGACTTCCCAGGGCACTCAGGAGGAGAGCAACAATGAGACTCACGCCGCCAAACATCGCAAAGTAGCTTATCAAAATACTTTGAGAAATGTTACAGGAAGCTTTCACTTGATCAGAAAAAAGCCTTTTTGTTGTCCCTCTGCCCCGCGATCTCTTTCTCTAACTGAGGTTCTCCTCTATTCCAAACGCCAAAGCTCAGAGAAAACAGAGGGAATGCACACTCAGCAGCACAGCTTCTTGGTGCGCTTAAGTGGTGGCTCAAGTCTTTTTAACAGCACATCCTGAAAACGAAAGAGGAAGCGTGACTGCGGCTTTTTTGCCCCAAAAAACTCCTTTAAAAAGGAACGTTTTGTATCACACTGCCATCGATGTCTTAAGTTTCTCTACATCACACATGTCTTCCTCACACTTTGTTTTATAATATTTACAACTTTCATGACTGTTAACGAATTACTGTTGTAATAAGTAAGCGGGAAAGAAAGCCCCTTCATAACTCCACCTCTGCGTGCTGTCAGGTACTCTCCAAATCTTGTTTTCAGGCAGATTTCAGCATAGTGCACACATAAGACTGTTACAACTCTGATTGGGTCATGTACATCATTTATTGTCAAATTCAAGTCGCACTTCAACAAAGGTCTTATCCTCCTCTTGTGTCCAGGTTTATGCCGTGTCTACATACACGGTCCAGCCTTTCAGCTATTTTCTTCTCGACTGTCTCTGTGAGGCCACAACAGCTTCTTGGAGCTCCAGCCAGAGAAGGAGGTGCCTTGGAGGTGCCAACGCACCGTGGGAGCGCCGTCTTTATGAATCCCAACACTGTGAACTCCTCCGCTGGAGGTTCGCAGGGAGGTGAATGCCTTGCTGATCCAGCTGTTCTTTGCTTCTTGGAGATCACGAGCCAGGACTCCCTTTTGGTGCTCCAATTCCTGCAGGTTAAGGTCACAGGAGGATGATGAAACCCATGCATTCAGACATACAACGGACTCTTAAAGCAATATTTCAGTAAACATATCTTTAACCTGCAGTAATGATTTTAAGATATTCAAAATTTAGACAGAAACAAGTAACCATTAATGAGTGTACTAAGGAAATCTAACAGTAATGTATATATTATTAAGTATATTTTAAGTTGCACTGTTTTGACACTTTCCGGCTTTATACAGCGCATACATTTACTTCAGTTACACAGAAAGTGAATATAAAAGCCTAATTCAGACATATAAGGTTACATTTTTTTTAATATTCAGACTGGTTTGTATACATGTAGTATTAGTGTGTTTTTAAAGCTTTTACTCAGAGTGTCTGATGAAACTTTTCTAAAAGGTAAATGGGGTCACCTGCATTTGGCAATTGCTCCTTTAGGAGTGTTTTTTATGCTTTTTCTTCTTGAAACTATCACCTTTGTCACATCTGCTTTCCAGCCCATTTAAACATTGACCAGTCTAACATGCTCTCACTAAAAGGAAACAGAATAAATCCACAGCACACATTTCTGCTGTTCTCATGATTAAGTAAAAAAGAAATATAAATCAAAGAGGATCTTGGCTGAAATGATTTGTATCAGCATTTTCCAAGGAAATTAGTCATGGCTTTTCTGGGGTGTTTCTCTGGCGGACAGATACGTTTTTTGACTTTTCGTCCCAACAATAGCTGAAATTTTGTAGCAGAATTTTTCACTTCCCTTTCTCATTAGGATTTTCATTTGCTGCTTGCAGATATCAAAGTGGATGTTTGCAAAAGAGAATTATAAACCTATGATAGTAGACCAGCTTTGCATTTTCAGGTCCTACCTGGATCTTGCATCTGGCCTCAACCATTTGCAGTTTGGTCTGTGCCAGCTCCTGTTCCAGCTCCCTGATCTGAGCCCCGAGGGACTCCTTCTCCTGGTCCTCCTTCCTCTGATCTGCCTGTGTGGGACCCTCTTTTTTCTCCTCTCTGCTTTGTTCATTCAACCTTGGTCCTTCTGCTTCCACTGCCGTTTCTGAATGATGATCTGAATTGATTGATTCTGCAATGTGTCTGCAGTGTGAGCAAGCCTGTATTGCACTCTGTAAGATTAATAGAGAGTGTGTGAAGCAGGGACAAAGGAAAGTGAGACATCCACCACACTTCATCTCAGAGGCCATAGGTGCCTCAGTCTTTTTAAAAAATCCCATCATATGAAACCTAACTGTTAAGACAACAACCAATCACCTGCTGTTGTATACCTTGAAATAACTGTGACTTTACAGGCAAAAAAGGATGTTTTACACAGCAACAAAGACATTTGAGATGAGGTATGCAGGTAACAAGAGAGATAAAGGCAGGATACATGGCATTCGAGAGCTGCTTTTACCTTTAGTGAGACTAACTCCTCTCTGTGGGCGGCCTGCTGTCTCTCCAGGCGCAGAGTCAGCTGAGAGCAGATCTTAGAATAAGAGCATCAGATTTGAGCATCATTAGGTAAAAAACTTTCTCTTAAAGTCTATGCTTCTGTCCATAGCAGCAGCTAGTTGTTAAATTCCTACAACACCAACAATGCCTTAATTTCCCTGTACCTGTTTGTAGTCTGCAATGATAACAGAGGACCTTCTGATCTCCTGCTCAGTCCTCTCCAGCTCTTTTCGACACACCTCTTTCAGCTAGGAGAAGTAGAGATGACGTTACCCCTTTACACATACACGCCTGCAGTTATATGTCAACAGCTGTAAAATTTACTGTGCACAGGTTAACATTAAAATCTTCTATTTACCATGCCAGCTTCCTCCTCCTTGTCTCTTTTCTCTTCTTCTGTGGCCCGAAGATTTTGTCGGGTTTGTAGAAGGTCTTTGGTCAACTCGTCCACTCTGTCTTCGGCCTGCAAAAACACAGCAAACGATGACGATTTGCCCAATTACAGGGCAATACCAGAGGCAGCAGCATCTATCATAGCAGCACAGCTTCACTGTAGAAGAGTTTGGGTGCTGCCCTTCATCCAGACCCTCCACCAACTAAACCCCATGCAGCATCATGAAAAGCCAGAAAAATGAAATGACAAAGAAGACCCAGGGTGGCTGAATCCTATATAAGTTTATACAATGTTACGAAAGAAGAGAGAAAATTTGAGAGCAGCAGTCTGGTCAGCTTCTAAGTGGAGCCTTAACATTTCTCTTTCTTTAGTAAAGGAATGTTATTTATAGTACCTTGTCCAGAGCATTCCTCAGAGCGATCTTGCTGGTGATCAGTCTGTGGGCCAAATTGTCGTTTTCCTGCTCCAGGCGTAGGCTGACCTTCTGAAGGCGACGGTTTTCCCTCTGCAAATCCCAGAAAAAACACATCAGGCTGAGAAGAAGGGAATTTGAGCCACTGAAGAAGAACGGGAAAATAAGATTGATTTCTGACCAAGTATTTGTCTAAAGGGTCTTCCTTCTCGTCATCCATTATTTGAAGCCGGCCTCCCCCACGTTTTGCTTTCTTTGTTGGAACCTGAGGGGAACCAAACAGGGTTTATTGTAAAAGTAGTATTAAAAAAAGATTTACGCTGAAGAAAGCTATCTCTCCCAAACAGATTTTTAGATATAGTATAAGCTTGACAAATCAAGAACATGCCCCAGAAAAAGGCTAGGGATAAGCCAAAGATAAGATAAAGCTGTATACATGGGGGAAATGTTAATCTTCAACACAAAAATAAAGAGGGGAGGGAAGCATGAAATGGATTGCCATATCTCAAATATCTAAAACGAATAATCAGAATTCATTTCACTGTATCTTGCCTCCAAAATCGGTCTAAAAGAAGAATGTGCTTTTGTTAGGCTCGAGCTTGCAGTTTCCAGTCAGTAATAGCTCATGCTAGGAATGTAGAAAACCTTGTAAATACAAATAGTTTTCTTTTTTTCCCCCAAGAAAATCCAAGACAGTAATTTAGAGGAAGTAAATAGCACTTATTATGACATATTGAAAATAGTTTTGGGGAAACTCCACATGATATTTGCTTGCAATGAGTACATTAAAAGCCAAAAGTGAATGTACCATAAATGTAGCTTAAATGACAGACTTTTTTGTATGAAATGCAAAACTCAATTAAAAGTTTAAAAAGTTAAGTAAATGTAATACAATGCTACTAAATTACACAAGTAAATTAAGCTTAAACATGTGTGTTTTTGCATCTTCTGAGTGAATCAGTGCAACCAGTGAGTCTCACTGTGAATGTAGGTCCGGTTTCAGCTGCCAAACAGGCAAGGATTTCCTCTTCTGTCATCTGGTCCATAACCTGGGCATCGCAGGCCATCGCCACGGACATTTCCTCCATCATCTCGAACAGATATCCAGCAGCTGGGGGCCGCCACCACTCAAAGTTCAAACTTTTCAATGTGTAGTCTCCAATCCCAACAAGGAGGCCCAGAAAATCCTCCTGTAGACACTCAAAACCCTTTAAGTGAATTCAGAAGAATGCACCTGATAGCATATGAGCGTAACTACAGGGAAAATACCAGGACAAAGTCCAAGTTATCCGGAAATAAGGAGCATGTTCATAGTCCAAAGGTGAGCAACAGAGCGAAACAGTGTGAGTCCACTCAACAAGCAGCAGCCACTTCTCAGGGTGTCTTGGACAGGTTCAGCAGGGTTTATATACAACCCGAGACTGTGTGAAACAAAGACGGCTCTAAACACACCCACAATTGTGCATACATTCCTTACCACCTCACCTGTCTCACACACACAGATACACACACAAACACCTGCTAATGATGCTAAGCATGCAAAGAATCTAAAAGCAGCTGGTGGACTGTACTTCACGTGCAAATGCGGAGCTAACACCGTTTTTGCTCACTTTCATTTTCAATCTTTTTTCCCCCTGCTCACGCTAACCCAGGCGCCGTGTAAACCTGTCAGACTTGCCACCTCAGTGGTATTTATGCGTGTCAAGAGTAAATCAGGTGGTACCACCCTGGGGTGTTGGTGTTGCAGCTCTATTATTGTCAGGGGCCGGGCCGCCTGACAGAGAGGCAAACGAGTCCGGCAGGTAAAACAGTGGATGTCAAAGCCAGAAGGCAGAACAGCAGGGATGATGCTGCACCGCTGTCAGTAACTGAGGCCCACTCATTCCCACATTTTCCAAGCATCACTTTCATGTGATGATGATGCAGTTTCTCAGAATTTCTTCCCGTATCTGTGTCATTCAGTATGTTCTTTACTTCTTCCCATTTGTGATGAGGGATCAGTTCTGACTTAAGACGAGTATTTGTGTTCCTCTGTGGTTTTGTGACACTTCCCGTTGATATGTATTGTGTCTGGACTTTTCTTTTTCTCAACCCCAGAAACCGTGATTTCGAAATCTCATTCATCTTGGTCCCTGAAAGGAAGGGGGGGAAAAAAATCACCTAAACCAAATGCAGATATATAAACATTTATTCTTCTTACAAAAAAGGAACATTTTAGTGAAACACTGGATTTCTCACTATTTTAAGTTGTGTCAAAATCTATTTTATGAATACTTTTAAGCCAGAAATAAAAACAATACAGAGGAGCCACAAAAAAAAGAAAAAAGAAGCGCTCTTCAGTTTTGTTACAGCAGTGGTACAACAACCAGTGAACACAAAAACTTGGGCTCTTTCACCACATAATGGAGATATTTGTTCGGTGAGAGTATAATAGCTATCTAGTAGTGAATACCAAACCTTTGCAATAACAAATAAAGCTATTTGATATATATGGTTCTTCACATACGCCAGAACTTGAATACGTGATGCAAAGGAAGTTAAAAAATATGATGAAGCTCAGTGAAAACAACGTGGTGTGATAATATGCATAATAAATATCCTAAATATTACTCTCTATGCTGGAATTGATAACAATGTATTTTTTCAACACACACTTTTCACAAAATGTATGAATAAATATAAATGTGAATATATGTTGACCAATGTACATTTGATTACTTTTATAATTATGTGTCTCTGTCAGAAACACAGAAAAACTAAACAAAATTGGAAGTCAAATGAAAAGTAAATGACTCACACACCAAATTACACTTGACCACTGAAATTATTTTTTAAAAACAAACAACTACAATGCTAATTAAATTAAATTAGTCTCACACATGATGTTTGTGTAGCAACACAGCATCTTGTATCTGTAGCCAATAAGATGACTTTAAAATACTGTATGGTACATGAAGACTTCTCTTCTTCCCATTAATCCTCCATTTTTCATTCATCTCAATCTGTAAACAAGAAAATCTTAACCACATCTACTTGTATGGAAGACACGGCAGAATAGATGCATGTTTAGTAATCGAATTCCACTACAGTTACACAGCAGAAACCTCTTTTCTTACACCGAAACTGCAACGGCAATATGCATAAAAGGCTTAAAGCTCGCCCTCAGTTTTGAAATGGCACCTCAGGATAAATCTCCATTACTAGTTTCTATAGTGGCAAACACCTATGCCATACAGTTTGACCTCATATGCTGTGAGCTGGAGGGTGAATAGGGGTGCGGGTGAAGGGGTTCACACTTGCATTTGACCATCTCAGGTAACACTAAAAGGGATGGGGAGGAATGAATAACAGAAGGTAAAGACATGGTAATGCCTGTGTGGGAATGCTGAGGGGGGTATGTTGAAATAAGACACAATAGACCAACCTTGAGTCTCAGCTAGCCCTCCATGGGATCTTTTGAGATACAAAATCCCAGTTTGAACGCATAGTTAAAAAAGCCTGATACTACGAACATTTATACAAAACTCAAAAGGACTCTACAAAAACAAAGTGCTATTCGAAATATGATAAAACTTTTAAAATACATGTAATCACTTTTGTCTGAGAGAAACAGCACAAAATTGAGCCACATCTGGATAATGGGGTTGGGGACTGAATGGTTTACCTTGGCACATGGACTAAGATGGACATGATGACATGCTACATGCTCCATTCCAGAAAAAGAAGAAAAAGGAAATATGTATACAAACAGATACATTTGTTTAGTATTTCTGCCCATTAACACAAAAGGTCCACAACGGTTATTTAATTCCCAGACTGTTGCTCTGTTCATAACCTGCAAAAAGGTCACTAATTTGTAAATTATATTCATGAAGCCGATACTGAAAATCTCACATTTTGTTTTTAGGAATTTTTCTTACTTCAAATGAAACAACTGCAAATTTTTTCCCGAAAATGACTTATAAGTCTTTCAGGAAAAACATTTTGACACCTACACACTAACTTCAAGACTTCAAGACTTGAAAAATCCCACTAATGATGCAATTTCCAGAAACACATTATTACCCTGGGTGATTTACTCCCGTGTTACACTAGATGAAGTTGTGGTTTGGTTGTGTACCGTTTCCCTGCTGATCAGATGCTGTCCCTGTTGCGGGCTTGCGGGGCTCCTGCTGGGTCAGCCCAGTGAATTTATGGCTCACTTCCTTATTCCAGTGAGTGTGTGTAAATGTGTGACCGAACGGAGGCTGAATACCCTGTTAAAGTGGGTGTGGGGTTTTGTGCTGTATCTGAAAGAGTTACCTCGAATAAGTTCAGAAAAACGCGCGTGCGTTTTCGCTGCGGTTGGCTACACGCGCACCTGCGCAGGGATGTCAAACGTCAGTGCTGTAGGGGCGTGGTGGGGGGGGGAAGATGTCTGTGGGGTTGTAGTAACTCACAGGGGAGGAACTCGGCGGGTTGACGGATAAGGGGAGAGCAACAGGGGGGTTGTCGTAGTAGGTGTGGAAGCCCAGCCGCTCGCCTCCGTTCCGCATGTTGTCTGCGGGTCCAGGGCGGAGGGGGCGCGGTGAGCACGTGGGGCAGTGGTTGTGGTGAGAGCCCGTTTCCAGCTGATCCAGAGAGACCGGGCTGATGGCGGCACCGTCCATGGCAAGGGCGTTACAAGTGTTGCACGGGAAGTGAGAGAGAGGGTCGGCTCCGGCAACGGAGCCCACGTCCACTTCAGAGTCATTTTTCTTACAGCAGTAATACTGCAGGAGGTAAAGAGGGGCAAGAAGGGGGCAGAAGGGAGAACGTGAACACATGTTCAGGCACTTATTGTGTTGAAAAACATGCTGTCACCATCACTTTCTTTGAAAAGAGGAAAGTCCTTGTTTCTCTGAAACTGGCCCTCTGACTCTGTCACTTTTAGTGTTCTCGATGGCTCCCCTAACATGTATACATATAGACCTTTGGCAAATTGTACACACGTTAAAGGCCTGAGCAACAACATTATCCATAGCAAGTTCACTATTTTACAAAAACAATTATCATTATTGGTGCTTTACAGAGCACATGGCCCTAAAAAGGAAAAATTTGCCTAAATTAAAACATTTTGAGAGAAAAAATTGATTGAGAAGCTTTTCTGTTCATTTATCTGTCCTCACTGCTGGATAAAAAAAGTTGGTTGTGGATTCAAGATTTGATTTGAGGTTGAACTTTGGAGACACAATATGCACTCTTTTTAGTAACAGATTTATAATCCTCTGACATTTGCATTCTCTCAGCAATCCCTTGTGCTTCCACACATACTGGATACAACTTCATGAAATAAAATTCTGATTAGAAATAATATTTTTCCTTCCAGTGACTGAGAATCAGAACTGTGCACACAATGATACCTGGAGTCTACAGTAACAGAGGACTGCTACGATGCACAGCAGTATCACCCCAGCGAGAATACCTCCAGATATGACAATAGTTCCTGCTGACATTCGACCAGCAGCTCCCCATCAAACCCTTCAGAGGGGGAAATACAGAGAGACAGAGGGAATCATTTCCATATATGAGAGAAAAGAAGAAAAATCTGGCCCCTAAAATTGTAGCTGAATATTATGTAGATTTCTATCTAATGTACTATTATGTTAAGACGACATTTCATGAACTTCTGAAAAATTGTGAAATTGTGAATAAATAAAACCAGCTGCTGCTGTTACAGCAGTCATCAAACTAACTAAGCCTCAAGGGTACAGATAGAGAAATTGTGGTTTACAACAAGATCACAGATCAACATTAAGGCTTAGAACAAAACTGTAGCTAGCCTGTGACGTTAAAACTCCCCCAAAAAAACAACAAAAAAACTGAAGCTCAAACAGAAGAGATTACAGCTTACATTAGAAGACAGTGGGAAGCCCAGAGATGGAAGAGAGTGAGAGGAAGGGAAACCATGACAGGCCTGTGGAGTATCACTCTCAAAGTCACGTCTCACTGAAACTCCTGAAGGCAGAGAAGAGGCTTTTGTCAAGGAGGAAATGAGCAAACTGCCCTGAGCTATAGTCAGCGATGATTAAAACCCATTTTTATTCAAGTTTTAATAAAGCCTATAAAATCTTAGCCGCGAGTATATCAGAGAAATGATGTTGAAACCCTAAAGTAAGACTGAGGTCATGATTTTTAAAAGGAAGCCACACATTTTGACATTTGGCCAGTTGTTAAGAGTCTATTAGTGAAATCTTAAAGACAAAACCAAACCTCAACTCATTAAGCAAAGACTCATTATACTTTTACAAGCTGTTAGCAAGATCATTTATTATCATCTGCCTGATCATCTTGCAATAAAACCCTTCAGTACCAGTAGTCATGACAGGATGTTTATGAGTACAAAATGCAAGACATCATGAGAGCCAGGAATGGTGATGTGAATGAATTAACATGTGTAATGCAGTGCCTTCACTTCAAATGAGCCATAGGGCTCTACCGCTCATGCAAATATGTGGTTCAATTTCAGCATACTAGATCTGACAGGTACTTGTATCTTCTGCCATTAAGGTTTCCCGTCAGGGAGTCAAAGTGCCTCTCAGAGCCTGAGTAGCTCCAGCTGTAGGGGTGAGGGCTTTTTAATTCATGAAGCAGAACCTTCATGTCTGAACTGATATGGATACAGCCGGCACCGGCAAATGACAAATGAAATAAACAAGTTTATTCACTCACTGCTCAAGACAGAAGTGGCAGAAAACAGACAATAAGTCTGGCTTGTCGACTTGAATCCTACAACTGTGAGATTGCCCAACATAAGGGGCAACGCTGCACACCCTCCACATAACACACCCTCAAGTCAGCACCTACAGGAGGCTAATCCTGCCCCCAACCCTCACCGTATACGCAATAACTCTTCACAACAATGAATGGCTTTACTTTTTTCTTTCTTTATCATGTAGAAATTAATTTCTCGTTTCAGATTTAGGTTGTTTTTTTTCCTTTAGCACAGTGCACACCACCTGTTTACAATTCAACATATAGCTACACTCGGAGGGGAACACAGCTCTAAGCATTTGCCAGATCGATGCACACAGCTAGTCAAGGTCAGTAACTGGTCAGGATGGCATTTGACGTGATTTATAAGGAAGTCTGGAACAGTTACCTACAATTCAGGCCAAAAAGGGCAGGGAAGGAGAAACAAACAGACAAGTTGTTGTGGGTGTGGGGGAGAGATGACGCAGGAAAGGACCTGAGCCCCTAAATCTCCTTTACAACCTAATCAGATAAATATGGGGTGCTACTCCCTTCGTCCAGTCTTGTCGTCTGTCCAGCAGTTATTTTATTTATGTCCATTACCTAACCTTTGTATCTGGTTTACATTATGTTGGGGAAATTAAATCACTTTCTGCATAGGGTAATGTGAGACAGGCCGTACAACACTCGGCCTTTTTTTCTCCCCTGTTCATTCAGCCCAGACCTTATACAGGAGCGTCTCCAGCCTCATCAAGGCTAGACAAGATAGAAAGGTCAGAGAAATGATAAGGGCAAAAGGGTTTATGCCATCCTGAGATTTAGCTTTTGTTACCATGGTTTCAGTCGGTACATAAGGAAGTGAAGGCCAGCCAGAGGGCCAGCTCCTGATTCAGTAACTGTGAGGACGAGGGTGTCAAAGTAAGCAAAAGGTGCTCTTGTTCTTGCATCGACAGGCTTATTTCTCTTACGAGTTTCTATTTTTTCTCTGTTATAACATTGCAGATGGAGGGGGAAATGACTTGACCATGCAGCCTCAATGATTAATCAGTGTCCTTGAAAAGTTGGAATGCATTGATCGGTATTTTGCTGCACATATACAAAGATTTCCTTATTGTAAAATCGAGACACAAAAACAGCTTACAAAAACAAACTAAAACACCTCCTGGCATCTTTTAGTCCTTAACCACTGAATCTCATTCGTTACAGAGCATAAAGAACAAGGAAAACCGAAGCAAGCGCACAGTCTGGGCTTAGATTCTCACTGTGCCACAGACAGCCCATAATGAGCATAATGAACAATCATGTCTTGTTTTCTGTCTAATTCTTCTATGACTGACAGACACATCAAAATATCAAATAGACACCAAATTATAGCCGCGAACACTCTGATCAGACAGAAGAGCCTAATACATTAGCCTGTGAAAAGGACAATTTTATCATTAAGTCACATTAATTTAGATTGCAGAGTTAAGGAAGAAAGATTCCTTTTAAGCACTGTTATTATAGTAATTACAACACCGGATGAGCTTGTTTATCTATGGTTCAAGTTCATTAACTAAATCATGCAGATATTTCTCAACAGTAGAGCAACATTTAATTATGACAGTTAATTAAAATTTTTTCCTTTATATCTCTTTTTTTTTCTACAGCTGGTAATATTAATGGAGCTCACTAAACTGAGAGTTATGAGCTCCCCCAAAGCTGTAATTTACAGTGAAATTAAAAACTGAGTAATATAATCATTAAAATACTCTCAAAGTTGATCTGAAAAAATCAGAGTTATGAGGGGGGAGTGCGGGGGATCTAGTGTGTTTACGGGGAGGATGGTGAAGGTGATCTCTGACTGCTGGAACTGGCTGGTTTTTCCTGCGTCCATGTTGCTTTTTTAGCAGGGAAACACAAGGCTACGGAAACTGTATCTTTTACAAACAAAAGAGATAAGACTTATGGTTCCAACATTTATCATTGAACAAATTCAATTTATGACTATTTTAAAGTTGTAAAACAATCACAGCAGGAACATGCAGGCTGGTAATGTGAGCGAGCCTCCCTCCCCGACAGCCCGCTCTCTGCAGTATCTTCCATTACGTCATCGTACTAAATTATATACACCAGCGCCACGATAATGTTGTTAAAAGCAAAGTGGGGAGCGAAGAAGTTTCTCATTCTCCCCATTTTTCTCTCTCCTCCCGCTCCATCACATATTCTTCTCGCTCCTACTTGTCTTTTCTCTCTGTCGCACATTCATCTTTTTCCACCACGTCCTCCCTTTTTCAGCACACTGTACATCATTCTCCTCCTGGCCAAACGGTTTAAATCCAACGCCCGTGCGAACATGTGAGTGGCAAAATGAGGGCCTGCTTTGACGCAGATCGATACAGACGGAGCAATGGAACCTTCTTTGAAACAAAAATAACCGATTCTGACTGGCATGTAAACTAAATTATGCGAGAATGGAGGTGCTAAGGTACAGACTCATATAGGAGTTTCCAGCAGACTAGAGAGATAAAGATGACAAATGACAGGAGTTGGACACTCATCTGGAACGCTGTCAGGGAATCTTATCCAACACAGTTCATGTGTGGCAGCATGGGGGTTCAGGATCGGCTGCTTCAAAGGAAAAACACACACAAACAAATTAGAGCAGACACGAGACAACTAAATATGGCCCAAAAGAGAAGGAGATCTGCCTGAATCCCCAAAGGGAATTTGAACAGCTAATAGGCGCTTGAATTTGGCAAGGCAAAACATTTAAGTGAGCCAGCCCCAGGTGACCAAGTGACAACTTACACTGTGTGTATCTGTAGAGTGAGCTTTGGCCATAGTAAGTAAAGGATCTGCTTCCTCATTATATAACAGAAGGGTTATGGCAATGTTAAAGTGGGAGATTTGCAGGGATTTCTGAAGCTGCCAGAAGTTGATGTGATGGATTGTTTCTGTGAGCGTAGGAGAGGCCCTGTCAGCCCTGATACTCTTTACTTTCAACGCTGCAGACAGAAAGGCAGAGTAGAAACCAAATCTGGGCCTCAGCTAACTATCATTTTTTATTTTGAACATTAAGTCCCAGTCCATTCTTATTACCCTGACAACATCTTATGCTGGTGAGATTATTATTTGTGTGTGTGATATGGGATTTATGAGTAATACCAGCCCTCAACAGTACAGTAGAAGAAATCTGCTTTGAATCTGCAGAGGTATCCCTTTAGTCTTAGAAAAGGTGAGATCAACAGCCAAATGATCTACTATGTCTACTTGGAAGAACATTACTAGCTGGGTGGGGCATGTACACGTTATAGAAGGAGATAGCATAAATGGTCTTACTTTTTTCTTTCTTTCTTTCTTTCTTTTTTAATTTTTTTTCATTAAAACGTCTTAAACTACAGCAGGAGTTATCTGAACACATTGCAGTTTCCCGTCTAAAATGCTTGAAAAGACAACGTTCAGCAGTCTTACCTTTCAATCAACTGTTTCACAAATATAACCTCTTACAGCTTGCTTTTAGAACTTTACATTTTAGCGCGTGGGCCATAGTTCAAAAACATTCATTCAAAGAAAGTCTAAACATTCAAGTCCCAGAAGTCATCCTCATAATATTTTTTCTTTTAAGATGCTGGCTAAATTAGCCCTCTGGTGGCCGATTTTCCCTGGTGTGGGAGCTTTTTCTGGCTGACACAGATCGGCGTCTTCCCCTTTGAGAGACATCTCCTGCACGGGCACCGACTCCTGTCAGTTCTGACCACAACGACAGTCTGGTTTGCCACTAAACCTGTTATGAAAACGGAGCTTATTAAAACCATTTATCTAGTAGGCACTGTGGTCATGAGAGGGGATGACGGTTATGTTTCTTTTTTCTAATGCATCTCTCTTGTTCTCGCTGCGCATTTCATGCCACTAGAGAAAAACCTTCATAAACTTGTTTAATGTGTGGATGAATGTGGAAGGACAAAGCCTGGAAAAATGAGTTCTACACAGCTCTATTGTATTGCACTTATAACTGCTCAACATAAATTGAATTCTGAGCTATCTTAATTTACTTTTAGTCCGCTCACTCTGCTACAACACACAGCTAAGAGCAAATTAACTTTTTCTTTTCCCCTTTCTCATTCCTCTCTTTCCCACATAAAGATATACGTGCTTAACATGGAGATGAATAAACCTTTGTTCAGGTTGCCATCAAACCTTTTTAAAACGACCTCCACACAGCTAAAAATGCTGAGAGAGGTGGAGAGGTTTCACACTCCACTTGCAGGACTATATTTAGCCATTTTGTCATCTCTTGACTGAGTGAAAAGCAGGAGATGAGAGGGAGCACAGAGAGGTGTCATAATATAATTTGTTTTCACCGTGAAAAATGAAATAATCACAGCAGTCAGCTAAATGCACAGAAATTCACAAGCACGTGAGTAAACACATACACACTCCACAAGAGCAGCCTTTAAAAAGATCCCTGATCAAACACTGAAGAGGCTAAGGCTCCACCTCCCTTCAGACTCTGCGTGTGGGAAGATGATTTTGTTTTGCAATTATGAGCCTGTTCTCCCACACAATGCCAGAGTGAACTGTGGAAATTAGAGAAGCCTTGAAATGAAAAGTTAATTGGAAAACCGTAAATAAAGGCATAGTTTGACATTTTAGGGAAACCTGCCTATTTGATCTTTCGCTAAAAATGAGGTGAGAAGAGAGGCCACATGGATTTTTTTCGAGTAGTACCAGCACTTGCTTTGCCGTGTGTGAGAGACTAGTAATGAGGAAATGACAGGCCTTGAGATAACAAAACACACCTTCTGAAACCCTCTTCACAAAGGCTATATTTCCAGAACCGGCAAACGCTCGCTAACATCTGTCTTTTGATTACATGGAAAAAGGGTTTCACTTCAATTCAGATCCTTGTCAATTACTGCAGTAAACTGAAGATGCAGCACGATATGTTGATTTCTAAGGGGCTGAGGCTCAGACAGTCTTTGACAGCTACAATTGAGGCTCAAAAACGAACAGCAGAATTTTCACTGTTTGGGTGTGATGTCTGCTGTCCTGTAAAAAAGCTGTAATTTCACCTGCTTTGACAGCTTCCATCGATATGAACATTTTCTCAAATAAGTTACCACGTAGCAGCATCACTCACCTACAGTTGCAGACTAAAAATATTCATTAATGGGATCATATAATCTCACAATACTTCTGAAATATCTTTTAAGATTACCTATACCATTCTATAACATTCTCCACAAGATTACATTCTCCAAGAAATTTCCAGAAATGACACGTACTGGCACAAGACACCTCAGAAATAGAGAGTACATCTGAATTTTACAGAATATTCTTTCATTTTGACTAGAAAAATTAATGGTGCAGCCTCAAAGCAGGTCAGGATGACTGCTACGAACCCTAACAATGTCATCGGTTTCTGCCGCTGTCCCAGACAAGGCAAGCTTAGTATATATATATTGCTTAGTGAGTCATTACTACACCGTGTAGACATCATTGAGAATGCCCTCTGTTTTTACATGAGAATAAATGCCTGCGGGGATATCCTTCAGATGCATATGTTCGTGTTCTCTGTGTAAATTGAAGAAATTGAAATGTTCGAATCTACGATTTCAAACGTGAAATGTGGACACTGCAGAGACTTGGCCACTTTGAGACTTTCATCACAGCTTCTCTTGCTCTTATCAAATGACAGCGACCCCCTTTAGAATCTTTAACAGCTTTCATCCCTATCTTTAAACCAGTAGTACAGTTATCTGCATGAACATCTTTGGAAGCTTTGGTCCAAATTACAAACACAGAGTACTGCTCTCTGCCCCCTCATTTTGTAATGACATGCTCGGGAACTCCTCCTCAAATAGCCATAAAAGCATATAACAAGAATATAGCAATAAGAAGAATGTGGAAAAGATCATTTTCAGTCAAAATGAAAGTACATTGATCAAAGCTACCGTATGATACGGATATTTTTCTTTCAAACTGCTCAACTGCAGACAGATGGGACAAGGAGGACGCAGGAAAAGAGTACGAGAGCAGGAGAGGATGGAGGTACCTGAACGGCTCCCTGATATGCCCATTCTTAAGTAATGACGTGAATATTTTGTTGAGGTGGCCGCCAACTTTGCTCTGGAAATCACAGCGAGTCCCTGCAAAATTTACAGCTTAGGGGCTTCAATTATTCAAGTATCATTCCTTTAACAATATTTTTCCATCACGGGGCAATTTAGCCATGTAGTAAAATCTGGACTCTTCAGCCTCATCCGCATCTGAGAGCACTCATGGCAGCGTGTGAGCAGAGGAGCGCATCCACATCTAGGACAGAGGCACCCGATACCAGAGCAGAAGGGGAACACGGGCAGCCAGAGCTGGAAAAGGGGGCATGGGGAAGTGGGGGGGGGGGGGTATTAATTTTGACACCTTTTTTGGGATTGGTTTGTTTTGAAATTGATCTATGTCTTCAATATGTAAAGTCCTTTTTAGAATTAATAAAACCTCTTTTTTAAACCCCATTTTAAACCCCAAGTATAATCTATTTCGGACCATTTTGATTGAATTCATCAGAACTGAGTGAAAGTGCAGATACTGCCACAGAAAATCAAAGGAGCATCAGTGGTCCAATGTGAAGATAGAAGCAGAGACCACATACATACATACATACATACATACATACATACATACATACATACATACATACATACATACATACATATGTACCAAACCAACCTGTAGAAGTCACCATCTGGAGGACGGCATCCTTGGCTGTGCTACAAAGCCCCCTGGGAAAAGAAACGAAAAGAAAAGATATGACTTCAGTCATCACCGTGATGTCAACAGACACCTCTGGCCCCAGCAGTGATGCAGTCAGCTGCAACTACAATACAAGAGCTGGTCAGAGTAAAGGTGGCAGCAGAAACAAAAGATATAGCAGTCAGACCTTATTCACATCAGACAATATTCATCATTCCAGCTTTTTATCATCATCTGACTCACAACCACAGTGATCGTGATCATGCAAGTAAAAACTGGCCATCCACAGCACAGAATTTTAAAGAATCAAATTTCAGGTCTAAATTTAATTGCAAATTTCCTATAAAGTACAATAAAGTGAAGGAAGGCGGACCATAATGGAGGTTAACAGTAAAATATGATGTTCACTCACCCCTCAGTGCACTGACAGCAATAGGCTACAACACTGATGCAGAGAGAAATAACACACAACTGCACTTTTCCATCTCTGAAAATCTAAAAACTGATATTCAAATCGGTGGCTACAGGTAAATGACACAGCTCCATCACTAACTTACACCCAATTATAACCCCAGCGAGCGGACACACAAAACAGAGAGAAAATTAAAAGTGAGATTACCTTTCACAATGAAGAATATCTCAGCAACCTGTTTGAAATACGGATTATTTCTTTTCTTTTCTTTTTTCAGAAATGCGGAAGGTCCAACAACCGAAAAACGAAAAAAAAAAAGCCTGGCTCCACACACATCAAACTCCGGTGACTTCCCCCCTCAGCACCTGTGTGAAATTAAAAGGGCGCGCGGAGCCCGCCTGTACTCGCTGCTGCTCCGCCGGAACCGTCACGTCATTGTCCGCCGGCTACCCCCGCTTTCCCCTCCGTTTACTCACAGCCGGGTGTCGGTGAGGGCCGGAGGGCTCGCTCCCTGTCGGTGGTGCGCCGGTGCACGGATGAGACGGAGCGGCTTTCGGGGGGGCTGAGTGTCATGACGGCTCGGCATTGTTGCGTCCTCGGCGGGGCTATCGCAGGGGGAGGTTTGGCACCTGCCGCCGCTGGTCCCGGGGGGGCGGGGTGAAAGAAAAAAAAAGGAAAACTCAAGAGGGAAGGGAAAGGGTAGGTTTGGTGTGTGTTAGAGCTTTTTTTTTGTCTTCCGGGGGTTTGCAGTGGTGGAAGTGAGCTTAAGTCCGGTAATGTGGGCGAACAGGGTAATAAATAGAGCTGTTTGTTTCCACCTGTCTAAGCGTGTTTTAGAAAGATGCCAAACCTATCCAACCTACAGTCCACATGTCCTGCAAAAGTGATTTAAAAAATCAATTTTGACAAATAACACAGAGAGCTATTTAGATCATTCAAGGCACTTTAAGTGTGCTAATGTAAACAAAGAAAAAGTACAATATATGAAATATATCTCTGAAATACGATATTTATATGCTAATTTTCCCCAAATATGATCAAGTTCAGCTACACTGAAGCATCTCTGAAGCACAATTAGAGAAATCTCTCAGTGGAACGTCCATGGTGCTAATTAGAGGTTCTGTTATATTCTCTCATAATTAACCATCACAATTTCTCCGCTTACAGAATTTGTGTAACAGCAATTACAAGTTTCTCCGATTTGGCTTGTGAATGCGCTCCAATTAAAGCTCAGATTCTGACACTGGGTATTCACATCCAAATTGGAGAAAATGTTTAGGAATTACAGTTTCTCTCTGAAGGACTGACATTTTAATTAGGTAATTAAATTGGAACCGTTTCATGGACTGGTACTAGCGATCACCTCATTAGGTTTCTATCAATTAGGCAGGTAAAAGGTTTTGGAGTTTGATTCCAAGTGTGACATTTGCATTCAGAGGCTGTTCCGGTGAAGCCTTGTCATGGAAACAATGGAGGAAAAGAGACTGTCCCTGTGAGATAACTAACTTATAAATGTAAATGACAAAAAATGTTTAAAGGACCTCTGGGAATGCATTTATATGTAAGACCTGAGAGCACTACCAGAATCCCTTTGTAAGACATTGTTTGGCAATGGACTTTTTAAAACAGGCTGCAGACATTAACATGAACGTTCAGAAGATAATTACTGTGCTGGGACTAAAAGCAAACCTTCCTGGTATACATGATACATGGTTACATGCTGAAAGTAACCATTTAATCTTTTAAAAACTCAATGTACACTACCGGGAACCCAAATGCTGTCAGTACGAATGGTTTTGAATTGATCTTGACATTTTGTAGTCAGTTACTAATGGAGTAGTATATCAGGAAATAATCTGTCGATGTGAAATCTCTGCAGGTCTTTGTTTGAGATAAACTTGGCTTTGATCACCTGATGCTCCAAATGTGCGGTGACATGTCAAAGGCCGCAGGAGAATTCCCTATGTAAAAATAGGGGAAAACAGTAATCCCAGCAGAGGAAACATGTAGCATGAATCTTTATCTTTTCCATTTCAGCTGCAGCCAACTAGCTGAAACCACTCATGCAAACAATGTTCCTCTTGTCCATAATAATATCCACATAATGAGGAGATTTAGTCTGCATGACTATACTTATTTAAGCATAATCTTGATCCAGTAAATGACTCGTCTCTTTAGCATTTCTCTGCCTCGATGTGCCTCCATGGCGAGTTGAGCTAGCTTTATAGCAGGGGGCTGATGAAGGCAGCGCCAGTGGGGAGCTCTAAGATTACCGCTCAATTGAATAAAGGAGTCGACACATTACACCAGCTTAGATGATACACCCCACTGCACTGATTAATTTAAAACCACCACTATGTTTTACACGGCACACAGAGGCACACACACACAAATGTGGCCAGCCCCTCTCTTTAACGTCCTCTTAACCTCCATCTCTCTTTTCGTTAGTGGCTCGAAACCACCGTGTGTGGCCTCTCCCTCACCACTTCAGTTCATTACTGCCTTGGCAGGGTTTCTCAGATGAAATTAGAAAGACAAGGGGAATGACACACCGTGTAGCAGCGGAAAGTTTACATGGGGTTAAATCACGAGAATGAGGGTGAGTGTGCACAAGCCGAACAAATCTAATCTAATCTTCGCTGATTCATGGGCAAGCCTGTCTGCATGCATTTGTGATACACTTCCTCTTAGCGTATGTATTCAGTCTAAGAGATGGAGACAGAGAGCGAAAGAGACAGAACAGCTCCTGACAGGGGAACACAGCACGAAAACAACTCTCAGGGACAAAGTCACAAAGCTTTTCCCAGCAGGACCACCAGTTACAGTGGACAGTGCAGCCCTGAGTTCATTTCTGGGCACCGTTACTTGTGACACAGGAACATAGCCCAAAGATTGGAGTAGGACTTCCTCATCTGAGTTGCTGAGACACTGCTGTTCCCTCTTACGTGGCCAAACAACAGGAACCATCCGAATGTCATTTTTCCTTAACACAAAGATGCACAATGAGAAAGCAAAGAAAGTAGAGACGAGCACCTTCGTATTCAAACTTCTCACACACTCCTAAAAGGAATGGTGACTGATGGTTGAACAGCATACTCTGGTTTGAATACTATGTTCTATTCTTGCTTTATATTTTTTTGCTCTGAGGCATCACTCTAACATATATATATACACACACACACACACACATATATATGTATAATTCAGCTCATGTCAGTTTAAGTCCTGGACCCCTCACAGACTTGTGAGTTTGAGCTCAATTTGAAAAAACAGTATGCGGGCTGAGAGGATTAACATCAGCTACAACAAAGATTACAGCAGGATTTCTGGTGAAGATGTAGCCATTCAATCAAAAAGACAATTTTGGTTTTCTCTCTTCGTATACTCCTGGGATTCTAAACTTTGCGGCCACAAATTCTTAACAAAGTGAGATGGAAACGTGAAGAAAATGGAGAATTCAGAACAACTGTCTATATGATTATCATAGCTTCTCTACTGTATAACCACTGCTGAAAGGCTTGTGAGCCCTTTAGTTTTCTCTATAATTCTGTATTAAAGCAACCAGAAAATATGGACATGTTCATTTGACGGTGAAATTAGAATCTTGGCTTCTGGAACAGTGGGTGTTTTTGGGCATTTACTTAAGTTAGAGAAGATATCTACTCACAGTGTTTTTGTGGAAGCCTGTCATTGCACAGGAAATTGATTCATCAACCCTTTAAGAGCTTTTATATATGAACACTTTAAAGTCTGATCCAGGCAAAAAATAGAGATCAATTTGTATATTTGTTTGAGTTTGTTATTAGATTTTACTGATCTAATTATTGAACATTCATAATTTATTACTGGGCAATAGACAAATTGCACGGTGACGAAACCTCCCAGCATAACCAGTTGAAGCTGGTCTGTGCAGAAGGATGCGATAAAAGGTGATGAGCGAAACTAAGTGCAAGAAATGTTTACATGCAGTTGTCTGTCACAGCACATTAATTCAGACAGCAAAGGTTTGGGTGTTATGTTTTAGACTCTCACAGTTGGGTTGTATTTGATCCATTTCTATGATGAAAGACAAAGTCTAATGTATGTTTTAGGCCCTATCCATGCATTGATATAGAATTTTTTTATAAAGGCTAAAAACTTTAAAGCACCAAAGAAGAAACTTCAGATAAACAGAGCAACAGTCAATCATGTCATGCTTGTAAAAGCAAAAAATGATCCTCAATGGCATCCAATAAACAAGATCAATAGAGGAAATAGAATGATAAATGAGTAACATGGTGAAGTGCCTTCAATAACATCAGTCGATGAAGAGATCACTGAAGCTTTGTGTGAATTCCTCTGAGACCAGACAGTCAAGAACAAAATTAAATTTTCTAGTCCTTCAAACACTTGGATGGAAGGCAGCGCAAACACTTGAGGTGAGACACAGTAGGCATGGAGGGAGAACTGATGCATTCCTGAAGCTAAAGACAGCTGTCCTTTGGTATTAGGTAAACACTAGAATGGAATTCTTCAGCTTTTCCTATCAAAGCTACAGTTTATCAGGTCTGGCTTTATATAGGACAAGTAACTCGTCCTTAATATCCTGTATTCTCCACAGAGAAGATGACTGTGGTTGATGCACCAGGGAGGCAGTACTGAGATCACAATAAGCTGAAACCTAATTAGATCTGTTTGTCATCACCAGAATTCTCTGTGGGGCTGTGTACCACCACATCTTGCAACCATATACCGGAACACATCAAAAATGTATTCCACATTGTATCATAAAAAAAAGGCAGCAGCAATAGCCTTTTCTATTCTGACTTCATTTAAACTGAACTTTCCTTTTTCTTGTTCCTTTAATGTCACAGTGTTATAATAAAGGTAGAAATCAGTTCTGAAAGGAGCTCTTATTGGGCTGTGGGTGTGTGTGGTTTGTTTGTCTGTGTGTGTGTGGCCCCTGGTGACGGACTGGCAACCTGTCCAGGATGTATGCCGCCTCTCACCAGTTGTCAGCTGGGATAGGCTCCAGCCCCATCGTGACCCCATTAGGGATAAGTGGTCTAAAAGATGGATGGATGGGTGTATGTGCTGCTAATTGTCTTTTTAACTTTGTGAAATTGTTCACACAGGACCTAAAATCTAATTTACTTCACACTTGAAGCTTTTCTGGGATAGATTTAGCAGTAATTCAGTCATTTATAAGTCGACGGCTTTCAGTCAGTGTTCACCCCAGCATTCCTTAAGTTTCAGAGAAATTGCACCTGCTTCAGTCTTAAAAATGCTTCATAAACTTCCTCACACATCAAGGATTTATTTCTTTGCACTTTCATCGCACCGCATAATAACAGCAGCACATGCATGAGCTGGAAATTTAGCAAACTCTCACTCAAATTCACACATCCGGAGCTCCAAAACACTCCTGCAGCTTTCACATTGTGATTTGTTTCTTTAAAAAATGGCAATTAGCTTAGTTCGGCCATCAAAAAAATACGTCTAATCCAAATCAAGAGAATAGTCCGTTTTTTAGTCGTCAGTCAATTTTGGCATTCTCAGCATCTGAGAAGGCACAATAGAGAGCATCATCTCACTCAGATAAAAGGTTATCATGAAGCTCAGTAGTTTCTGAACATGGTGGATATAAATCAGTAGGATTCAGGACTAGAAAGCAGTCGAGGTCGTATCAAGAGCCTTCTTCTTTGATGAGGTGGAGTGTCTGAGTGCGGCTTAGCAAGAGGCAGAACTTGCACATCTGTCGCTTTCAGAGTCTGAGTAAGAGTTTATTCGAGTATCTTGTGGTATGGAAAAAGAGGCAGGCCCTCAGTGAAAGTCGGAATGTCCATGATGGTGATGGCCTCTGCTATCTTGGGTGAGGCAGGAAGGAAGGTGAGCTTGGACACCTCACCGTAAGTAGAGCTGCTTCCATCCTCCTCTTTGCCTCCTTCTTGTTTTTTACCGCCAGCTTCCTCCCCGTTCTCCTCAACGCCGAAACCCACCACCTTCAGGAGACACACAGGAATTCAATGATGTGCATTAAAGGGAAAAAAAACCCCAACTGCTCCCCGTCAAACAAGGAAGAGACAATCTTGCTCACATGCACGCTGAGTTTGCGGCTGCTTAGTCCACGGTGCTCCTGGAACCAGGAGACAAGCTCGGCTCGGGTCATCTGCTTCAGGGCCTCAATCTAACCACAGGGATATGAAATCAGTCAATTGTTACGTTCAGGGATGTCAAAACTGAGAGCCTCTTTCTTCAGGGTTAATGTGAAAAAACAGAAATGGTAAAGACAGTGATGAATGAGGACACCGTTAACTGGATCTGGGTCTGTGTTAATTATGTTCTTGTGATTTACTGGAAATAAGATGGAGATTAAACAGTTACACGTGTGGGCATTTCTTAATGGATCCATTTGTGATAATGGTTTACTAGATGGTCCAAAAAGCTTCTGTGGACTGAGTAAAAGGAACCCCTTAGGGATCTCCAGATTTCTAAATCAGTAACGATGACCAACACATCACGTTTTTTCCTCCTTAGTTGACAAAAGCACCCGACTGTAAAGGATAAATTCAGCAAACAAAAAAACGGGATGTTCCACAGATGACAATGTGCACCTGTGACGTGCGTTTGTGTCCTCCTCACCTCTCTGTTGAGCCTGTCAAACACATACTGCTGCGTGACCACCTCGGCCCAGTTTCTGTCCACCTCCTCTCCGAGGTGTGTGTCCTCACACTCCTTCAGCTTCACTAAAGCAGTGACCTGCATAAAAAGCACACGGACACCGTTTGTCTTCAACACCAGTTTGATTTAGTCCAAAATGCAGCAGAATTAGAAGAATCCTCTGGTCGGAAAATGTTTACTTTATTTGCCAAGAAACTTTTTACACCTGAAACTTTTTGGGGAGTTGTTCGCTGTAACTTCCACATGAAAGTAGGAGTCTCACAAACACACAAAATAACACACAAACCTGGGTATTAAAGGCCTCCTCAGTCAAAGCATTGAGCTTCTCCCCGAATGAAACCAAGAAATCCTCAATCTTTAACTCCACCAACTCGGTGCTGAGAGAGATGAGAGGTATGAGATATATCAGAGGCTGTGGGTTGAATTTGATTCGTTGAGTCATTCATCAGTTTCCCTCGCTTCAGTTTCCAGGGGCACACAGATAAATTGTAGCTTGGGAATAGGTGAACAGAAAGATATATCATACCTCAATTTTGGGAAAGCATTTAAGATAAATCACATCTTGCTTTGGGCAAATTAAAGGTTATGATTGTATTGCAGACACACCTAAACTTGGTGGCTTGCGTTTCCACAGTGACAGAAAAACCCAGGACACCTGAGGTGTTCCTGCAGGTGGGGTAGACGTGGTATCTGTGGTCGGAGACATAAAAGAAGGCAGTTATCATTTGGAGGAGAAGCAAAGGAATCGGGCATTTGGTTTGGACTTATTATAAATCCATGTTGGAAAGCAGAGAATTACACCCTAAAGATGAAAAGTATCACTGTTAGTGGTGCAGTTATGTGATGGTTTAAATATCGCCAAACAGCACAATGAACAGACAAGCCAAACAAACAATAACTCATTTTAACAACCTGGCATCAGAGCATAGTATCAATAAACTAAACGTAAATAGAATGCTTTTCCACCCACATCTTTGATTTGAGCAAAGTACTTAAAACCACCAATAAAAAGATATGCAGGCAACTGTCTAAAGCACAGTTAAACTGTATGCAGTTATTAATGGTTTAACCAAATGCTCTACATGAAAACACATAAAAAAAGATTAAATCTGCAAGTGCTGAAAAAAAGAAGTGTTGATGCCCAATACACTTTTCGTCTTGATTTGAATTAAGTTAAAACCCTTGTGGGAAGTCACAGTGACTCACCCCAGAGTCTCTTTGGTTCTGAGGAAATCAAAGCAGGGCTCCTCCATGTGCATCTGAGAAGCAACAACAGAATCAGAGATGGGGGTGGGCTGACACGATGAAAGGACACATACAAACAAGTCTTTTAACACTCACCACTAACAATTCCATCAGTGTGTGCTCCCTTAAAGCTTTTGGTCCAGACTACAAAGAACAAGAAGAGCAAATGGATGTGAAAAAAAAACCAAACTTATTGGCACCTTTAAATTGAGAAAATTAAAGCTTTTAATGTGTTGCATGTGTGGGCGCTTGGATGCTTACCTGGTAATAAACGGTGACCTCAGAGTTGGCGTCCCCCTTGTTGAGCGACTTGACTTTACAGATGTGGTGCTTTAGAGGAAGTTCCACCACTTGGAACATCACTGGCACCTCCGCTGGCAGCTTGGAGAACTGCAACTTGCTGCCACATGCAAAGGGCAGAGGGGAGGATGAAGAGCAACACACAGGAAGGAAACAAGTAAGGAGGTGAAGGAGAAAGAACCATGGAGGCTTCTTTGAAGCCAATAAACGGAAAAACAGTGAGGAGACCGAACATCTGAAGCCGATACCACCGCCGTGTGGGTCTGTCTGCGGATGGATCTATTTGACTGTGCAGCATGGATGCTCTCATTAGCGATGTGCATTGGAGGTAATAGCTGACTTACTCTGTGACATACTGCAGGAACTGCTCCGATTCCTGTGGACAAAATACATTAAGGCGTAATGAATAGGTAGAGATAAGAAACCGTGAGGAGAGTACAGAAGTCAAGAATCAGCAAAACGTGAGGCTAATGTCAAATACACTCAGCGTCAACTGAAGGGCAGACATGGGCGTCAGCAGATTCCTTCTAATCAGCCGATGTTATTGTCAGTTGGTCTGCGTGTGTGAGAGTTGTGACTGCTGTGCACTCACAGCACTGCAGAAGTTCCCCTGCACCAGTCCCTCCGCGTACAGCTCAGCCCTGAAGGCTCGGCTGAACTCCGTCAGCTCTTGGCTGGTTAAGCCGGCGGTCAGAGCCTGGTACTTCTCCACCATGGACCAGCGAGAGTGCTCCAAGATCAGCAAGCGCACATCCCTGAGAGAAAACGGAGGAGGACCACTTGAGCGATGGAGAGGATAAAAGGGACAACAGGTGTCGGGGGCTTTTCCATTTGGGGCTGTCACACATTTCACCACTAGAAGGCAACACATGCTTGCTAATGACTCACTAAGGGAGACAGAGAAGTCAGGGAGGAAAAAACAAAGCGGCTGGTACACAACATACTTGCTGAGTTTCTCTGGTTTAATGAGGATATTGAAGTAGGTTTTTTTGAGCTGCTCTGCGAACATGCTGAAGACGTCGGGGGAGGCAGAGAAATCAGCCAGGTGGTCAATAATCAGGTGGAACAGCAGCTACAGAAAAAAATGTGGTCAACAAGTGAGAAAAAAAAAGATTTACTGCGGACAGATATCTGTGGAGTGTGGGTGGACTCGTTAACTCACGGGCAGCTTGTGGTTGAACCCTTTCACCTTGATGACCAGGCCGTGCTCGCCGGCCACCAGCTTATACTCCAGCTGCGCCACTTCAGCCTCGTAGGCTGGCTCGGCCAGGTTGTGGCCCAGGATGTTGACCAGCAGGTCAAACAAAACCACACTGACGGCAAGAAAGAAGGAGAGGGAGTCAAGTTTGAGAGAAAAACATCGGGAAAAGCAAAGGAGAGTGTGGTATTAACACGAAAGAGGAAGGATGACCCAAGGACAAAAAAAGAAGAAAAAGATGGAAGCAGTTGAAGTTGGAGGCCCAGAGAGGGAAAGCAAATAAAAACGAGGAGTGGCAGAAATTCAGCAGGCTACAACAGAAAACTAATAAGATGTGAACTTACTTCTTAGCTGACTGCTGGATTACAGGAGATATTAAGTGGAATCTGATGAAGGCTGCGGGAGGAAGGACAGCAGTCAGGTGTCAGCACTTCACTGCTGATGCTAAATGTCTCTGTGGAGGCTTCTTGCACACTAAATGAGACAAACAGCACCAGCACTCCCTCACGCACCTTTTGGGATTTTGAATTTGTTGTCCTTCTTGTACCACAGGCAGCCCTTGTCGCTGTCGGCTATCTGCGCAGGAAACTCTGTGTCTGGGCAGTCAGGCGGCTTCAGGGTGAAATCAGTGGCTAAGGAAAGGAAAAAAAACACATCAACAATAATTCATCGTTGCTCCATTCTGTCCAGTTTCATAAATAATGTGCAAGTTTCAGCGTGTCAGTGTGTCTAGTTAGGACACAAACATGTGACAGAAAAGGATGCTGCCCTCCAGAAACTGATTCAGGAAGTTTTGGGTCAAAATGTGAATGCGGCGGCTATAAATATGAAGCTGCCTCTGTGGGTTTGTCGCTTCGTAAAGTTCCAAAGGCATAAAGGCAAGGTTCCCGGAGTCCCGTACTGTGCTCAGGAAATACAATTAGCTAAATTAACAGGATCTGTGCAGCAATCCTTGTGTGGTTCAGCCTTATTGTGTTATCTTTGAAGAGGAATCGCATAGATTTCACCAGTCAGTGTGATTACAGTCTAGATGCTACAAAAAGCAGCCGTCCTTTGTGTACCCGAGGCAAAAGCAGCAAATCTGATGAAAATGCTACAACTGTCATCTCTTTAGCGAGAACAGGCTGGCACTTAGGACTGAATGTGCTGAATAGTGATTGATAGTTGAGTACCAATGTTGATAGTAGACTACCGGGCAGATGCAGCCATGATGAATGGCTGCTAACAATGGGTCTATCCTAGACCAGGAAGGTGGAAGAATGTCCAATTTTTTCATATTTTTAATCAACTCATAAAACTTTTGCGGTTTAAGCTAAGTATAGAGTCATCAATGCGGTACCTTTATTGCTTCAATACTCGATCAAAAGCAATACATGTATTTATTCTTTACTTTCATATCTTTGAATGGTTGTTTGTTTCTGATTTAAACCCAGGCTTTGCAAAAAAATTCCATGTCTAAAGATAAAAAGTGTGTTTTGGAACACACCTTTGAGTCTTAAAAACAATACACTGTATCATAAAATCTCACAAAAATATAGCAATCTAAAGAGAAGCATAGCAATAATTCTGTTATTGCAAATGCAATCCTAACCCAGCCTGGTTCTCCTGCCATTTACAATGGCAGGTATTCTCAAATGTCTGAATGAGTGCTTGCCTTGTCCAGTTCGATGACTGTCCTCAAAATACAGAAACCAGAACATTTAGAGCTGAGCACCAGCACTTCGAGGATTACGAGAGGTAATTAATACGCTGCGTGTCACTTATCAAATGTGACGCTTTCCGGTAGCTTTAATGCTTGCCAGACCACAACGAGAAAGGGCTTCCTTAAAAAGCAACATACATAAATCCAGCTTTGCTACAGAAAAGCGGACCCAGTCACAAAAACGAGAAACAATTATAATTAAAAGAAGCTCTCCATTAGGCATAAATGAAAGGATAATCAGACAATTAGCTGAGTGAAAGTGTGGCTGTGCTCACAGAGGTGGTTGATAGAAGTCATTTGAGCTCCTGTTGCAGTGACTAACTAGTTTCAAATGAGAGGTGTACCACAAAAAGCTCCTTTTCTTTTTTTTTTGCCCGTCGTGCACAAACAAATCCATACACCCACCGATGAACTTGTTTTCTGCTGGAAGGTGGAGGTCGCTGCTCAGCTCCAGGTTTCCTGTCCACTGTTCCATCCACTCCGGCTGGATGTCTGTGTGGATTTTAAACATAATTCATTCATCATAAAAAAGAAACAAACAAACCAGCAAACAAAAAAAAGACTACAATTTATCCACTACATTGTGACAAATATGACCTTTTCTTTTGTACTCTTTATTTATTGAAATGCTGCTCAAACACTGTTGTTTGCTACCTAATAAGACAAATGCTGGCATTTAACTGCTGGCTCTGCATTATTATCAGAACAAATGTCACTACAATAGGAGAAAAAAAGAAGCTGGATTCTTATATTGTAGGAAGTGAGGACAGCACTCGTAGTAAAGAGCCACAAAGCCACACACACCTTCAATGCTGTACTGTGTGCCAAACCACTTCTCCCTGAGAGAACACTGGCCCTCGTGTTCTGGAGACAGCAGCATCAGGTTAGCTTTCTCCGGGGTGAGCAGGGACAGAGCAGCGCTGATCACCTTCCAAAACAAACAAACAGACAAACAAACAGAGGGAGACAAACAGAAAAGTGACATTGGATAATTTAGGTCAGTTTTTTCTTAACTTTCCTGAATAAGAAGAATTTCTGCAAGCAGAAAACTAAAAAAAGACAGGTACAAGATTTAACTTTCACAAAAAAAAAAGATTTCTCATATAGAATCATTACCACGCCAGACAGCATCAAAAAGAAGATCTATATTATTCTCACCTCTGAGCGATGTGTTTCATTAACACCTGTGTCTAAGAAAAATGTTGTTTTTTTATATAAAACCCTCACAGTGGCAGGCTCCCAGACTGACTGAGCTACTTACCTCTGGATTGTACTCAAACATAAGCTGATCTCCTGTCAGGAAGTCCTCTTTAGGGAACAGCTGCATGTTTTCACAAATGTCCTCTACATACTCTATGGGGTCAATCTGCAGAGGGAAGGCCAAGGGAAAATTTCACTGTCACTTTGTCCCAGATTCTAATAAAACACTTTCCATTCGTTCAAAATGCATCTTATGCAGCAGCTTCTGTGTTTTAGCATTCTTACCTGCTCCTGATAGTGAAATTCATTCGCCTCAATCCTCTGAATCTCTTCGTATATTCTGAATACAAACAAGCAGAGCATCATAACCTTTAGTCATTCCAGACAGAAGCTCGACTGACACATCACCGACACCTCTTAAAACAGATTAAGGGACACAACCGTTCCAAAAATGACAAAACACTTTAAAACAATACAAATAGCCAACCGGAAAGATTGAATGTGTGTTCTCTCAAAATGTTTCATTCACTCCACTAATGCAAATTTTAATTACTTTTATGTCTAGCTTCACTCACATGAAGTCTGTTCCCGACATAGCTTTAATTGATAAGAACAAATGTGTTAAAGTGATGATATTCAGGCACCCAGATGCTTGTCACTGTTCAGTTGTTGTTTTACACCTTTCAATCACGCGTATCACGTAACAGTAACTGAAACGGCTGTGGCCGAGCGCTCGATATTTGTGGTTGACTCGAGATTGGATGGTGAATGAGAAGCGGGATATGATAATTAAACAGCCCACGCAGCGTGGTGGCTTTTTGACAACGTGTCACGTCACCGCGACAGTTCATGACAGAGCGCCAAGTCAAAGTGATGGCGTGAAATGGAAGCCGCTGAAGGCATCACTTTTCTCCATGTTTAAGCTTGTTGAGCAGACAGGGATGTACTGGTGAGGGTTTAGCTGCTCAGCAGGAACAGCGCAGTTGTTTTGAACGTCAGAAAAAGGTGATTTCCCCCCCACCCTAAGGACATCAGCTCGAACCGAACCCGCTGTCTGCTCAAAGTGAAGCAACATCACAGAGATCTTAATAAGTCCTTTAACATGTTTTCCTTTTTAAAAAAAATAAACTTCTGATAAGAGTGCTTTATGCTCAGTGTGTGTTTGTGGCAGTGCCTTTGCTGTGGTCCGAGCATCTGCAACATCTTCAGATACTGGAACACCAGATGAGTCACCTGGGAACAAAAAAAAACAAACAAAAAAATAGGTTCAACTGAAAATGTCTAATCACTTTATAATAAGTGCATTGCTCTTCAAGCCAGAGTTTTAGCTGTTTTCCATTTTTTCCACAAGTCAGTGGCCCACTCTCTTCAAACCTTCATCTTTAGAGATTTAAACATCTAAATAAAAACATTAGGATTTCCATCATGCAGTAATGGTAATATCCAGGAACGGAGAACAAGCAGATCTAAAGCTGTGAGAACAAAAATAAGACTTTCCTGCTGTGTATAAAACATGTTTACGATAACATCTTCCAGTTGTATTGCACGTCTGAGCAATTTAAAAGAAATAGATTTTCAGTGGTACAGTGTTTACATACGTTGGTTTTATTGTTATTTGGTGTCTGAAGTTGACAATCTCTGAAAAAACTTGACCCCTGCTTTTGTTCTTGTGACATATTTTAAGATGTATGACGTAGTAAGCAGTTTAGATTCGAGGGGGGCATATGCATCTCTTAAAGAATGATCAATCTTTCTTTATTCATCTTTTCCTCTAACTTTGACTTCAGATCCTGCTGTGTTCAGTTCTGTGGTGCTTGTTTCAACAAATCAATCATGTTTAGCAAGTCTCAGGAGGGCACTGTAGACCAGGTAAATATAAGCATTTGAGAATAAGCATTGTGTCCCAGCAGCTTGGAGTGCGATCCGAGCCCTCAAGCTGCTCAATGTTTGCTCTCGTACCATAATAACATGCTTCGAGGGTTATGAAGTCATACAAAACACAAAAGTGGAAAACCCTGAGGAAAGAGTTTAAGACGTGTACATGTCAGTGTGAAACAAGGGGTAGAATGTATCTCCTTTCACTTGGCATGACATTTCTGGAACACATGTTTGCATTAGTCAGATTGGAGCCACTCACGTCAGTACGTCAGTGAAATGCTGCAGCCAGCAGCTGATTGCATTAAAACCGGAAACGCTGCAGTCTCATTAATTAACACATGATATATCTTGTTTACATTGGGGCAGGGCACTACACTATTTCTTGGCCAAGATCAGTTTCCAGGCAACCAGTGAATAAGAAAGTGAATAAGAAGAAGGATAATCTTCTCTGAAGGTTAAAGTTACAGAACTCAAATGTTTTTGCCCTTTGTTCTTTTTGTGCCATAGCTCAATAGCAGCAGAAAGGGAAATTGTGGGCAGAGGAGCGAAGGATCTCTACTGTTCCTGCCTGTATGAGCTCTTTTGGCAAAGTCAGAGCACAGTGTGGCTGGGAGGGGGACATCTTGACGTTACGGTCCGCAACGAGCACTGAACCGGCTGCTGGTAAAAGCTGAGAAAATCACGGCTTGGGAAACCTGCACTGAACCAAACTCCGAGCTTGCTTCCTGTCCAGGTGAACTCCCTGTTACTACAACACAACGACCCTTTGGACAGGTAACGCTGGCCAAACCGTAAAGTTGTTACGGTTTATCCCGCAAACATTTAACATGCAGAAAAATGCTTTTTATTTTCGGATTCGGTGTGTCATAATGTGCCTAAAGACAGTTATACAAATGTGACACAGTTGTCTGCTGAAGAAAATCTCTGGCTAAATGAACCCATGGAGCGGCTGTGCACCTGGGAGGGAGGGTTGATCTGAGCTCTGGAGAGTTCCTTTGTTGCCTCCAGCAGTTTTTCATCTGTTGCAACAGACTTGCTGTGCGTCTAACAGGAGGAAGGAGCACACTGGCATTTCCGTGAAGAGACTGACAGCTTTTATGGCATCAGTCACTCCCTCAAGTCCATTTACTTAAAGGGTTGAATGTGACACAACCGCATCCTCCCAATTCCATGTGGCTACATGTGAAGGCCACTGCTGTGCAATACTTCCACCAACAACAAAAGCAACACCAAGACTGTATCATTTAATTGCTTAACACCAGACTGCATATATCATCATCAGGGAGCTGTGATCCTTTCTGAACGGCAGCTGAATGAAACGGCTCTGATAAATTAAACTGTCTCACCATTAACACAGAGGTTATTGATATGTTTGCTGCATGAAAAATCAAAAGCAGATGGCTGTCCTGGTGAATAATCGCCCACTGTGCCTGAAGTTAACACAAGAGTTGTCATAGCAACTGATAACACAGGTATCGTCCTTGAAATTACCTGCTCCATTAGCTAAAGTGAGGGAAACAAGCCAGCTGGGTCATGCTCCCAGTCTCTCCCTTTGCTGTTATTAGTTCCTACCACTGAAGCGTACGTATGCATTTCTATGTCTGCATCACACTACTGACAACAAATAACAAACCAGAGGCTGCAGGTGAACGCTTCATGTGCTCAGTCTTAGCATTTCAATTTATCCAAAGACAGAAGAAAGAAAACCTGAATTAGGAAAGACACAACTCAACGCTTTCCTTTACCTGGTAGAAGTTTTGGAATCCCTCGTCTGTGAGCGTGATGGAGATAGAGAAGATGGAGTAGGTGGTGTTCTGGTCAAAGCCAGTCTCACTGTTCCCTCCAAATAAGGCCAACGCCCAACACCTGCAGGCAGACATGTTTACTTAGAACTGCAAACCGGAGACGGTAAGAAGATTAAATGCTGAAATGTGAGCAGGGAATTAAGCAGAAGTGTCGTATCCAGTTAAAAGATTGCACCAGCAAAACTGAAAACCAGAAGTGAAAAAGACTGTGTGATCACTTATAAGAGGGGTTTGGGAATGAGGAGCCGAGAAATTCCTTCTAAAAGTCTTCCTGCTGTACTGGAATAACAAACCACAAGAAGAGCAAAAAAGATAGGAAATTGAATAAATCTCACATAAACCAAAACACTGATATAGTCATTAGGGGCGGTAGTGCGTCTTTCACAGTGGGAACAAATGCCCAATTTCTTTGCTCTACCATGTAATCTAAATCCAATACAAAGAGCCACTCTCTTGTCTCTGTGACTTGTTTAGGCTGCAAATTGAGACCGAGCACACTTAGATTTCACTGTCATCATTAATCAACGAGTGAAAACAGCACACACAATAAGCAGGGATATTTTATCTCCACAGAATCCAAGTGGCATTGATGCTAAAGGGACTATTCTGCTGGCTCTTGGTACCGTGAGACCACATAGGCTTCTGCAAATCACTTTTTCAACAAGAGACTTGCACTCCTAACTGAAGAGATGAGAACGTATGAATCACATTGTCAAGAGGCGTAGCAAAGCGTACGGTTTGAAGATAAGGCTAAAAGACTCGGTGCTCGCCCCAAGCCATAAAATGCTTCTATATACCCACTAAATTGAAGAGCTTTTAATTGGGATCTGGAGTGTGCTTGAATCTGGAAAAAACAAACAGAAAGACGGAACGACACTCACTTCTTCCTCAGCACGGAAAGGATGCTTCCTGTGCCTTCATGGCCAATCAGCCACGAGATGTAGTGAAGAGGCTTGACTCTGAAAAGAAAATGGAAGAACATCAGAGGGAGAAGCGAAAAACGAATGAAAAAATGTAATCCATTGCGGAAAGCATGGCAACTTCATCTTGGTTGGATTATATATTTACTTTATGAGGCAGGGAAGTGTCAAAAAAAGAAAATACATTGGAGTCTGTTGTTGTTAATATGCCTTCTGCTGGGTGTGACGTACCTGTAGTGTTGCTCCTGAGGCGGAAGGGCCCAGGTGATATTCAGAGCATGAACCTTCCTGACAGGCACAACTGCAAGCACAGGTAGAGAAAAACTGTGACTGAGCAGAAATCCCCCTTATTCACAAAAAAAAAACAGGGCTCCATAAACTTCTCCGGCATTAATCATCTCACAACTCGTATCTGGCATTTACGGCACTGCAGATGTGCCCACTCAATGCAGCGAGGTGCATCCGTACCTCTGTAGAGCTTGCTGAAGGATGGTGTGTCAAAAGGATCCAGCATATTAGAGAAATCAGGCTGGGGAAGACCACTGCAGAGCCAACAACAAGGTGATGAGAGTTAGCCAAGAGACCAGCGTTTCATGAAGTTTTAAAAAAGAAAAAGTCTCAGACAGCACCATTTTTCTTTGGTTTGGCCTTAGTTCAAAACGTTTCTGTGGATTCAAATTGATTGAAATATAGCTAAATTTGTTTAAAAAAAAACAGGATTTTACAAGTGGGGGTTATGAGAAATCTCGTTAGCCATGTAATCCTTTAATTGGAGTGAAAAGCTTGAAAAAAGTGGAGGTGGTGCGGCTTTCATGCGACTAAGACATGCGTGCTGATTGCCTAAAAAAGGACTCATAAAGCAAGTAGAAGTGGAGCATTGTAAGTAAACACCCATTCAGCTCAGATAGAATGATCTCTTGCAGGTGAAGGAGGGAAAAAAACATCCAGAGTGGAACAGAGAGAAAGAGATGGGGGAAGGTTTGACATTCACATTTAAGCAAAGGATATAGAGGCTCCATCTACTTAAAGGTGGCAAACCCTTCAAAGTGAGTGAGAGGCTCTTGTGTGATACTCACTTGTTAGGCACCTTGCTGAAAATCTCTCTTACCCACTCCTCCAGAGTGTCCAACTTCTCTAAAAGACACACAGAGTGGGGGAGGGTACATTTGAGCTCAAGTGTGTCTTAATAACTGAAACCTAAAACCGAATCATTCTGGAACACACATATTTACATGTAGAAATGTGGAGCACAGTAGGAAACAGACCATAATGGACTAAAACCACCCACAGTTTTGTCTGCTTTCCAGAGATGGCGTTAGATGACGTTATATAATCTAATACCTTATTGTTAGCGGTAGAGTCCCCAAGATGATTACAAACAATGTGGTGCTGTGGCCAAGACAAGCCGAGCCAGTTTGTTCCAGTGAGCTGGAAAGAAAAAGTTCCTCCTAGTTTTTAACTGAACACAAAGTGTTTTACTGCCCTCTCCATCTATTTCTCCTCTGCTCACCATCAGATTAACTGACGGCTGCGGTTAGAAACGATGTTTTGCAATTGATGCTGCAGCCGGCTGCGATGTCACGTTGGTTTCTGCCACATTAACCATCTTGAAATGACAAATGGAAAAATCTCCCACTGTATGAGGCATCTCAGTTTAATTACATTCCATTTTGGATGCTTCATCATCTGACAAAAATGTTGGTTACATGTGTTTTTTATGCACAGTGAGGACACCTTAATTTATGACTTTTTTGTTGTTTTCTTTCTTTTCTTTATTTAACCAAGCTGCAACAAGCAGGGATTACATTATTACATACCACCAAAAACTCATTAGTGTAATGAGGATGGTAGTTCACGGCAGAAAATGTCAACATGTGTCTTTATTTTTTCTCAAATTAAGGATTTAATTAACGGTATGACATTTCCTGTGAAACCCCGCAACTGTGGCTTATATTTTGTATCCGACTTTATTTTGAGGAACACAGCAATTTCCCTTGACTAAGGAATGATTATCTCCAGCTGGTTGAACATGGATGAAGTGGATCCTTATTAGTGCTAATGAAAATTTAAATTTTTGATTAGTCTACAGATTGCCTTTTCAGTTAATTAGCTCATTCTTTTGTATGAACTTGTTACAAAATCATACACATTTCCGTCAGCCGACCGGGTCTTGATGTGTGATGAACGGGGCAGATTTCACTGACCTTTAGACTGTACAGCCAGGGTCATGTAGTGGGCAGAGTAGTGCTTCTTCCAGAAGGCACGCAGCCGCTTGTAGACATTGATCTTCATCTTTTTTGGCTCCTGCTTCAGTGTCTCTGCATTCCCTGACGTTACCGATGAGTGACCAGCAAAATTCCGCGCAATTAGGAAACGCAGAAAAGGGGAGAAAAAATGTTTACTGTGTAGGCAAGGGACTTGGCATCGTTTTCATACCTCCTGTGTGTTACTGTGGAACATCCTCCAAGGAGGCGCAGTGTGCATTAAATGTCCTAGTGGTTGTTTTGAAACACTCACCCCAGCAGAACTTTCCCATAGGGTGTCCAGGTTTAGCCAGACTGCCAAACAGCATCTCCTTCCTGTGGGAGTCGGACGGTTTAGCCAGCTGGTACTCTGACAGAAGGGTGGAGCGAAACAAAAAACGTAAGAAGGCAGGAAAGTTAAAAAAACAAAAAAACAACAACAACTGATGATGTGCAGAGGAACTAGAGAAGAAAACATCTCTGTCAGCAACTCCAAAAGCATCAGCTATTATCTTAATTCTCATAATGGGCGAATAATAAACTCTGGCAGAGAGACACACCGCTGTCAACGGCCTCCACCTCCCTGTCGATGGCGTCTCGGATCATCAGGGGGCAGATGAAGAACTGGGCCCACCTAAGGAGGAATTTAAGCAGAGAGGCCGTGGCCAAGAGGGAAATAGAAGAGAGAGGACACACAATTGATTTGCCTTTTAAAATGTAAAGAAAATCTTAATTCAGTGGCTTCCAAAATATAAATCTAAAACATCTTTTTCAAAAACTGGCTCCATCAAGTGGAAATATGTCAGTACACTCAGTGAATGCAACACATTGACAGGTTTAGCACTTTAAAAAAATAACACGCCGTGGAGTGTGTTATTAGGATCAAATAATACAAACTGAGCACACGACTGTAAAAGAAAAATTACTTCTTTGGAACTTTCGGTAGCAGTTACCCCATCTACTTCCTACTGTTCAAAAAAAGCATGCACTTTGGGGTTAGGGAGGATTCAAAACCTGGGAAAATTCAAGTGTGATTGCAAATCAAAAGCCGGCTTTTAATGGATCATCAACATTACGAAACAGTGCTGATCTTCTCAAACAAAGCACCTCGTTTCAATAACGATCAAAGCGGTCTACCACGAGCTGAGCAAATCAGCAGACGTGCTTAAAACCGGGATCCTGCGGAGCACCAAAATACAGACACAGCCCCTTTCCTGCTGCTACAAATGAAGATGCATTCAAGCATGAACATGATAACCAATTCAGTTCAAATACTCAACATGTGCTCTTTGGCTCAGATATTTTTTATCAAGTATAATTGGTATACTCCAAGAAAGTCATAATACTTTAGTCTTCCATATATCTACATTCAATTTTTGACTTATTCCTTTATTTAGTTAAGGATTTATATTCACAAGTGGAAATGTATGTTTCTTTTGGGTAAAAGATTGCAAAATCAGCAGTAAATTACAATCATAAATTTGAGTGAATTACATAAATAATCCCTCACAAATGTTGTGTTCGTAGTAGGACTTTCCTGCACATATGTAAGCCACAAGGCCACGCTGATAGACCACTGTGTCCATGTTTTATCGGCAGACACAATACAATCTACAAATGATTTAAGATTGGCTTTCTTCAGATTTTATGCTTTTCAGTAGTGGCCGATTTTTCAAATAACTGGAGCTTTTTTAGCTTTTAGTTCAAAACCAATGGGTGGAGCAGTTGTTTTTGAAATGCCCAAATGGTTGCTATGAATTATTTCCTCCTTTCCTTATTCCTTCTTTTTATGTTCATCTTTCAATCAGGGGCTGGCTCTGAAGAGATTCCCCTGTGAATGGTGGCCAGTCCAAAATACAGACAAACAAAAAATCTCCCCTCCTTCCACACCTGTCAAGAGCCTCTTTGAAGCTTTTTCTCTGCACGTCAAACTGAAAGATGGTCCTCTCGCAGTCGGTGGAGGCGTTGTCACTCCCACCGTGCTTTTTGAGGAAAGCATCAAAGCCGTTTTCCGACGGGTACTTCTCGCTGCCCATGAACACCACTGGAATGGGAGGGAAGATCGGATTATGTCTTTAACTTGTTTACTTTACTAGGACAGTAAGCCCAAAAAACAAAAAAAGATCGCTCCGCATTATATATTTTATCATCAGTAACAAATGGAGAGCTTTGTTGCAGGCATAACTATGAACAGTGCTGTAAACATTTGGTGGCATTTAAAAAGAATGACAAAGTTTCCTTTCAAACTAATCAGTTAGCTAAAGCTGCTTCGGAATAAGGAAGCTCTACACACTAAAAATGCTTTACTGTTGCAAAACCAGAGGATGAAGGTCTTGGGAGCTTGGAGGTGAAGGTCTGACACCAGCTAGAGAGTCCCAGGGCCCCCTTATAGATCAGTGCTCATAATATGGTCAGTAGGGAAATTAGGATTTGAAATTGTTACTACAATGTGCCAATTTCAACTCACTTCTAAGAAAGTGTCTTGAAGGTACCTGCACGCATGTCAATGCAAAAAAATGATAACATATGCCATCTGCTTTAGAAATGTATGAGCATTTGGAGGTGATGTTTAAAAAGTTAGAAAAGTAGCTCAGTGGGAGCTAAAATGCTTATTTTGTGCCTTTTGGCCCCACACTGGGCCAATCTGGCCAGAGGTGTGTTCAAAATGGGATTGGTGGTAGGGAATGTTGAGAATATCTGAAGAGTTTTTATAAATGATTAAAGATAAAATGGAGCTGCATTCCTTTTAAGAAAACACATGTCACTTTGAGTCACAAGGCAACTCCTCAACTCAGTCTAAATCTTTTTAGACTAGTTATTTTTCTTTTTACATTTTTTAAGTAATCCTCAGGAACTGTTCTCTTGGTTTCTTGAAGGACATTGCGATGGTTTTCTTCCACCACAAAGAAGGGGGGGATTTATCGCTCTGGACCCATTTTCAAAACAAAAAATCTGGTTCCTTAGAAACCAAATCTAAAACAACTGAAGTGTGGAGGACACTTCTGCACAGGATTGTACACTGGAGGCTGTCCAACACAACAGAAATCACATCTAGGATTATTCACTCACTGTGTTCAAGGAAGTGAGCGAGGCCAGGGAGATCACTGGGGTCGCTGAAGCTGCCCACACCCACACACAGAGCGGCTGCAGACTGAAACACACACACCAGGTCATCTTTGAGCCCGGAGCTGAGAGTTTAGGCGGAACTGAACTTAATCTACTTTTTATAGTGTCAACAAAGCCCAAAAAAAGGCATGTGGACTTTACAGTTTGCAAATGTCAGGTGAACATGTTATTAAAACATATTTTGTCAGTCCATCACGCTTAGGGACAGAAGCAAACGCTTGCACTCAAAGCTAATTTAGCAGCAGCAATCACTGCTGTCCGAATGCATTACATTTTTACTTAAGAATTCAACTCTGATAAAATCAGACTTGTCACATTTGAAGGGAAAACACATCTATACTAGGCTTCACAGTGAGGAGATAATTTGTCAATTTACATTCCCAATTTAAGGTCAGAAAGATTTTTTTTTTTTGTTTAATGTTTTTTGTTTGTTTCGCCATTTTTTATTTTTGTTAAGCTATGTTAATATCCATTCATCCATTTTCTATACCGCTTATTCACAACAGAGCCGCGGGGAGGGGCTGGAGCCTATCCCAGCTGTCTAGTTCATAAAGAATATTCATTTAGCCATTTATCTTTCCAAAATAAATGGACCTTCTCCACTCTGCACTGAGGTCCTAAGTAGGATGCTGTGCAGAATTTTTTCAAATAATTTGATTTGTGACAACTTATGAGACTGAAGCTGAATGCCAAGGAGAGTTTAGCTCATTCTGGAAGTAATATAAGTTGGACCATCAGAGGTGATAAAAGTGTGGCTTATCAGCGCGCTCAACTGAATGGTTCCCAGTTTGTGCTGGTGTTAAGCTGGTATTAGCCTCATATGAGCACAAACTCATTTCAACATGACTTATCTTAAAATCAGCTAAAAGCCTGCTAAAACATCAGCCTCCCCAGCAAAGTTTCTCCTTGTTACCTGCTTTTCTGCATTTCCTTTTTTCTTTTTGCCCTCATCATCGTCTTCATCATCACTGCCTACACCTTCATCATCCTCCTCGGACCCTTCCTCTGCTTCCTCTCCAGACTCTTCATCCTGTTCACCCTCCTCTTCTTCTTCTTCTCCTTCATCTTCTTCGTCCTCCTCTTCATCATCGGATGTAGCTGGTCCGCTGTAGTCGGAGATGAGCAGAGCTCGCAGCCCATTGTCTAACACAATGTACCTGAGTAAGACAAAGTCAAACATGTGAAAACAGCAGAGTCTGTGCTGTTGTGTTGCTTTCACCGTTTTACACTGCTTTCACAAAGGCTTTCACATTGCGTGCCACTTTGTAGAAAGCATCTTAAAAACCCCCTTTTGTTATGAGCTTTTGCACAGCTTATTTTCTGTCCAAGCTCAGAACAGAGGCCCGAGGCACTGATGTGTGCTTAGAGCATGAAATCATCTCATCAGACTCCAACAACATTGTACTGATCCAACTTGAATAGAGGCCTGATATCATTTGTGGATCGGGATGAAAGGATATGGGTCACTTCCTGAGCAACTTTCGCATAACAAATTGCGGGAATAAAAAGCTTCCTTATTCATTTCAATTAACATAAAACCACTTTAAGCAGCGTTACAATGCACCTGCTACTCACGAGGATATCAGAATCTTGTAAGAGGTTTGGCTGTGCCGTTTCAGAGCTCTTCACCTGTACTGTTTAGGGTCACTGGGTGACTTGATGATCTCGCTGTCTCCGACATTGTCTTCCCCTCCTTCTGCATCCCGATTCTCCGCAGCGGACGCCTCAGCTTGGGCCGAGCCCTGGGAGTCAGCGACAGGGCCGGTTCTGGACTTGTTTGTTTGCGGCATCCCCGCCAGAGACGATGACACTGTGGCTCCGTGGGCTGACAGAAACGTACGACCACAAACCAAAGGACAGCGCGCCGTCACCGGTGATTTAGTCCTCAGCAGGGCCACACACCGTGTCAGCCGAAAAAGGGCAATGATGAAGGCCCTTTATGACAGCCAGAAAGGATGGAGGAAAGAAAAAAAATCAAACCTCAAGTCTTGGCTGGACGAAAAACAACAACAGTGATTCACCAAGACTCTGTTTAGCACGGGCCGATGTTAGTAAACCTGTCATACACACACGAGCTCACCATCACAATACAGCTATTCACAAGAGATGTCTGGTGGCTTCGCCCCATTCAGCTGATTGTTAGCTAAAATCCAGCCCAGGCAGACCATTCCAAACCAAAACCCGCAACTCTCGTTTACACGAGTGAAGCAACACAGACCAACGTGAACAAGCAACTTTTAAAAACAGAGGAAGAAACGATTATCAGTTACACGCGGAAACAAAATTTAACCAGGAGAAATGTATGTCAACGAGCTTCAGAAAGCTGTCAGAGAGGTCTGCTATGAAGAAACGCTCGAACGAAGCCTTTGCGAGTGCTTCAGTGAGCCGGTGAAACTACAGCATCCATACCTTTTCCTTGCTGTTAGCAAAAGGACCTCAACATAACAGAACGCCGGGGTCCTCTCAACAAGGAGCGCTCTGATTCGCTGGGAGAAACATTCGCCGAACTATGACGTTTGCTGGTTGGCTTATCGCGACAGGAGGCGTGTTTTTCTATTTTTTTCAAGCTCCTGCGTTTAGTTCTGTGCAGTCAGGACAGATTTATTTGTGATACACCACTGAGACGGAAGTCACCACAAAAAAAAAAAGCACACAGCTCAGCTGTTGCTGGCAGCAATTCGATAGTGATTGTTGCTGCTTGATTGAGAGTGTTGATCCGATACCTTAGTGAGCTTTTATCCTCTTTGGTTTATTTAATTTATTTTGTTTGGATTTGATAATAAATGCGTTGTAAGACAGCCACAAAGTAGTTGCAGTAATCATTGAAAGTTTTGTCCCCATTCCAAAACTTTAGTTTTACGAAGATTTAGAGTGGTATACGTGGTGCCGGTAGGTGGCAGGCATGAGCAAAGAAGTTTGGAGAACTTACTTCTTCTGTGCATTAACATTGGAACTGGAACCCCCCCCCCCCCCCTCCCCCCAAAACACACGCACACACACACACATAAACACATAAACACACACACACACACACACAAAATTAATTTAACAAAATTTCCCATCTTTCACAGGTCGCAAATAAATCAATTGACATAAAAATAATATATCTTATGAACTCAATCTATGTCAAAGAAGAGGTCAACCACAAAAAAGACACTCAAGTGAGAAGACAGAAAATTACAGTAAGCCTTGAATTAGGAATGAGTTTATAAAAAGCGAACCCAAATCTTGAATAAGTCACACTGATATTTGTCCAGGGCTCTTCCTCAGCCTCCACTCTGCTCTGTGTTGGCATTTCACCCCTCTGCTGAGCCAATACGTCCTCCCCCTCACTCACCATCTCTCTCTCTCGTCCTCCCTGTCTCTTCGTCTGAAGCCAATCTGATTCGCCCCTGGGCTTCTGTCGGCGGCAAAGAGGTGATAAACACTGCAACCATGACAACTGGTGAGCCAGTCAAACATCCGACTTCATGTATCCTAAAGCCATCTTCCTTTCCGTACCTCATCAAACCCAGCCTTCACCTGAGCTGATATTGAAGCTCTTAGGATGGATGAAGGCAGCGTGGCTCTGCTGCACTTTCAGTCTCCCCGGCCGGTTTCTTGATAAGCCAGTGGGATGTCAGATAGTAGCATTTAAGATGGAACAGCGTTAACACAAAACCCTCCACATCACCCTGCAATTATCAGTGCAGGAATTAGTCATTGAATAAATATTTCCTCGGCCTGGTTAATGCCAGCTCAAATGTTTCTAAGTGAAAACTCTGACCTGGAACACTGATATGAGTTTTTCTCAATTATTTTATTGATCACCAATGGAAAGCCCTACTTTCTTTCCTTTTTCTTCTCTCTCAGAGGAAGAAGACCTGCATGCATGCCCCACAAGCAAATGTGGTTTTTAAAAAAAATGCAGATCTGACGAAGCGGCTAATTGGTACTGAGTGAAAGTGCTTTTATGCGGGTTGACATGCAATAACTTCCGGAGAAAAAGGCCACTCTTGCATCCATCATTGATTGTACAGGCCTCTGCAAACCATGATCGTCCAATTTAATGCCAGCGAGTATGGTATTTTCATGGGATTGTACATTTTATTGGCATGGAATTTCCTGCTTTTGTGCCACAATCTGTGACTGAGCCCAAATGGCGGTGCAGACTCAGCACCTCGGGCCACCCCCAAAAAACGCGTCTGCTTGAAAACATGAAGTAGAACGCAGCCAGCTGAATCATTGTGGGGATTATAAAATCATCCCCCCTCGGACAGCTTCCTGAGGAGTCAGTGGAGGCAAGCAGCAGCAAGCAGAGCCTTACCTTGAGACTCTAAGGGGGCAAGGTTCCCATAGCAACTGATCTGAATCCTAATTAAAGAAGAGATTTGATTAACTGGCCCAACTATGTAGCGTATGAGAGCATGTGTGTGTCTTGGCCCCGTGCGTTTGTGGAAATCGCTATGTTCTTTTGAGTCATGGTGTAAATGAGGAGGGGGTGTTACATTCCTATATCCATGTGTGTTTGTGTGTGTGTGATCATGAGCCTGTGGGTAATCCTGTGAATCACTAGTTTCTTCGGCGTGCATGCTCATTTCTCCCATGAGGCTTGTCCTTGCCTGGAGTACCACTGTATGAATCAGAGGTGAGTCCTCTGGAGTTGCCCTCTGCTTTAATCTGGCGCTAATGACAGAACCACCTGCCCTCCTGGCTATCCTACCCCCTTTCAGCATGCATCTCAGCCAAGCCTCATAACCCCCAAATGCCCACTGCACTCCCCCCTCCACCAGCCAGTCTGTTTAGTCCCTGTCCCTCCTTCTGTTCTATTTTTCTACTGCTTGCCTTCTCCTTCTTGCAGAGAGCAGGGTGCCCTTGCTTGCCTCTTTGCACGCCTCACCCCACTGGGGGCAGTGCATACCCAACAGAAATCAGAATACGTGTTCAGGGACCCACAACAGTGTCTGAACAACATGTAGCTTTAAGAAAATTTTATGACCCGTGACTTGGCAGTGAAAAGCAATGATCCTGCTCATGTCAACCTTCTTCTTGTCCCCGAATCTTTGATTGAGTGTGTATAGCCTGCGTATGTCTGCGCTCACGCATGCAAGCCAATCCCAGCGGATATCTGCTGAACAAAAGCCTAATTGGCGAGAGGCTCGAAACTGGGATGACCACTTTATGAAATATGTCCTGCATGGAAGAGATGATGGAGAGAGAACGCAGAGGAAAAACAAAGTGGGTTTAATCAAAGAATGAGTGGCATGGCAAATTCACAAGAACCCACAGGGGAGTGAGAGTTTGGAAGTAAAGAGGCGGGGAAGGGGCAAAGGGTGAGAAAGAAGTGTAAAATAAGAGGAATCCAAGTATGAGGAGATGGAAATATTTCTGTCCGAAGAAAAGAAAGAGATTTGGAGAAGGAGAAAGCAAAGGGGGAAGAATGGAGAAGTAGCTGAAATGAAACAGCATGACTCCCCATCCATTTCAGCACTGGACAGCTCCACAGACAGCACTAGGCCAGTATAAATAGATCCCCTACTTAAGAGGCCCAGTCAACACTCTAAAATAGTACTTTATGTGCTCCGAGCAGCTTCAGCCCCTGGAGAACAGCCATGCAGGTATCTGATGGTGGCTGATAACCATCTTCTCTCAGCTCATCTCTGTTTGTTGTTGTTTTTTTTAATTCTGGGCGGCCTCCATGGTTCATCGACATCACTACAGTGTTTTTCTCCCAGATATTCCCCTACATGGGCTGTGATACTCTGTATAACCTCTGGTTTGAAATCTCATTACACCATAGATTGGCCAGCTCCAATCAAAACAAATGGATGTGATGTCTGGGCAGTAAAATGTCAGCATCAGCATTCCTGCATGTTGTGTTAAATGTGTGCATTATTCTGTAAGCAATTTCAACAAATGCACGTGTCTGTTTGGCTGTGCAAGCGTGCCCCGTGTCTGCTGGCCTGTTTCCACTGCAGGCAAGCGTTAAGTAGCCTTGTGGGGAAGCTGGGATACGAGCTAATGCACCTGAGAGCCTTGAGATCTATAACCATCATCTACATCTCCCTGATATTACTGGAACCCTCTCTGTTACTGTTTCTGATAGGAATCTCCGGGGAGAGCTCTCCCCTTCTTCTACTGTGCAGGCAGGAGGAGGGGAGTGTGTGGGGGGGGCACCTCTCCATTTCCTCAAGGTGATTCACCTTATAACGCACGCAGAAATCAATGTGAAATTGAACTGAAGATTGAACTTTCAGCTCAGTAATATGGGAGACATGTTGTTATTAAATCTCTTTCTATTGCCGTGAAACCAGCTCAGTGATATTAGAACTCGTCTGAATGAATGTTTTCTACACCATGGCACCGAGATGTGTTTGACTAAGACCTTTCCACTTGTCCGCAGGGGCATCACATGGGCCCCACACCTGCCTCCTATAGAAGGCATATACGTGGAGCAGCAGTCCCCGAGCAAGTTGTGAAAAGGTGAGATAGGAATTGGTAGATCGGTCGTCGATGGGCTCCGTCGCTCTCAGTGACCTCGGCATCTGTTGCGCACCACCTCTACTTGTCAGGACAGGCCTAGAATGTAATCTCTCTCGCTGCTCCCCTCATAAAAGTCATCCAGTTTCTCGACCAGTGCGCGCGCGCGCGCCCTCGCGCACAGGCCCGTGTGCACGTCCAGAAGCCAGTTGGCACGAGTCACCATGGCAACACACACATCACATGTACGACATCCGTCAGTGTTTAAAAGGCAAGTGAAGAAATGAATAAACTAATGAGATTAGAAATTATTGTCGGCGTGGTGGAACAGTCGGCGTGCTTTTCCCCCCAGGCTGCGCACGCGGACAACGTGAGTAGAAACTTTATGGGACCCTTGTCGGTGACTCTGATGTGTCTTCTGTAATCTATTTATGACGGGGAGCTGAATTGGCTCCTCTGGTGAGGTGAAACCTATACCCACGCGCCTTGTGCCTCATATACAAACTAACACTCGCGCGCCGCCTCATTGCACGATTCATTCCGGCACCGGCGTTCCCCTTTTTTCTATACCCCTCCTCGGTGAATTTACCAGTTGTGCTGGAGATGAAGAGAGGATTCTCCGTCGTGACGCTGGGTACAACTCTGCGCTCTGCACGCCCGTTCCACAGCGGTCCAGTGCCGCAGCTCCCACGGGCTGCACTGTGGAGAAGCGGACCAGCATCCTAACCAGTCAACGCTTTCTCTCTCTCCCCCTCTCTCTCTCTCTCCTGGTTTTTATCCTCCACCTCATTGCAGTCTTATCACGTCCCCCCCTTGCTCTGGTCCCCCCCCCCCCCCCCCCCCCCACCCCCCTCCCCCACCACCACCACCACCACCTCTCCTCCCTCCTCATCCGCCTCAGCCGCTACAGGAGAGGAGAGAGGGAGAAGAGTGCGGCTGAATGTGAACGACATGTCGACAGTCAGCCTCTAAAGTGTTTTCTCGGCCGTTCCTTAATTCTTTGGCGGCGGACTGAGTGAGTATTACCCGCATCCCTGCTCTGCTAAGCGTCGCTGTGTGGATCAGAGAGTCTGGTGGGGAGAGACAGACAATGAGGAATGCAATTGGATTGCGTTACCCTGCCAAAGGATTTTCATACATAGCCTGGTAAATGTCTTAATGGGTTCTTTTAATGACTAGGGTGTTTAATTGGTCATGCCTTAATTCAGCAAACTATTACAATGTGTGGTGTAATGTTAGTGGCTAATTGATTTTCTTGGAGAGCTGTGAGCTGTCCAGGCTGATAGCCCTGTACATTTGATCAGTGATTCTGCTGCTGCTTGCCAGATAGTGCGGGTGTTTGCTGGGAGCAGGGGCCCATGTAAAAGCCTGTTTGGTATGTGTGTTTTCTGACCGACAGAGAGGACAGAGTGGTAGACAGTGGAATTATGTGACATGAATAATACGGTGAAGAATAAGCAGTGACCGTCATCTCTGGTTCGCTTGCGTCAGTGTGCAGGTCTGAAGGAGAGATGAGGAAAAAAAAGGGAAAAGTCAGAGTAAGAGACAGGAAAGAGAAGGGAAAGCCACACCTGTGTCGGGCCAGTGCTTGGATGGTCAAGGAAACAGTGGGACGGTGACAGACACACATACGGAAACACTTTAAGACAGACAGAGTTTTTTTGCTGCGCTGTCTCTAGTCCTCTGGACTCTTGTTACCATAATGATGCAGAGCTATGCTGACTGCTGACTTGTCCACTTGGCTGATTGAAGAAACAGGCTTGAGTGTTGACTGTGTTCCTCTCATTAGGGAGAGATAGCCATCCACCAATGCAGAATCTAACAGGAGGGATCCCAGTGGTCTATCTGGACTCAGCATTGATCTCCTCTCTATAAGGTGGGGGCTTTGGGCCTGGTGATAAACAATGCATTTCTTGGTTTAAAAAAGAAGACTCTGTGGGACTCTGCTTTCTTACTGGATTCCAGTTTGTCTGACACTACCAGGCATGTTGGCGCAGATTGTCCTGAGATGCATGCATGCTCTAACTTCATGAACAGAATTTTCCTCCTTAAAACAGGAGAAACTGCAGCTTTCACGTGTCTTTGATGCTTTTCGTGAGATAGTGCAACGTGTTTGAGAAGCTTTGTTATGAAATCTCATACTCATCTAAATGTGTCGTGGTATCAGTTTCTGAGCCTGCCTGCCCACAAAAGCTTACTTTTTGGATGTGGCCTGACCTTTCTTGTTTTCAACACACACTCACACACAAAAAACTTGGCTCCAGAGCTGCTTCTCTGTGAAGCGGGCGTACATTGTGTGCAGAACGAAAGGAGGGCTTTGATATAATCAATATCATATTTCAGCTGTTTCATTGTGAGCTCTCATCCTGAGTGGCAGCCCTGACTGACTTCCTACTGCTTATGCAATCCCACTCTTCTCACCCACCTCACCCATTTCCTCCTCCTTTGCACCCACTCTCTGCCCATTACTCTAACGCCATTCGTCTGTCTATCTTTTGTACTCCAATCCTTCACTTTTTCTCCCATCTTCCCTGTTCCTCCTCTTGCTTCCATCTCTCTCGTCATCTTTCCCTGTCATAATCACCTCTGTGATTGCTCTTCCTCTCCCGGGCGGTGATGTTTTCACTGCTGCCTCCTTGTCTAGCCGCCGATGCTAGATTATTGCTGGATGATTACAGCTACCGCGCCATCATGATCATTATTGCATTTCGCGTGCCAGTGTTCACCACCGTATGAGCAGATCGAGATACTTTATCCAATTTAGATCTCATTAAGACTGAAGAGGAAATATTCCAGTGCAAGACTTGCATTAACAGCTGTTTTTTTCTTTTTAAACTGTTTTTTCTTCATTTTTTGTTTGTCAGGACTTCTAGAGTTCCATTCTCATTCCCTTCTTATTAGAGAAACGTTTTTAACATCAGCATCATCTCAGTTCATCTTCCTGCCTATCACTGTGCTTCCTTCACACCAGCCTATTTAGAAAAATATATTTTCAGAGTTTTGATTAGCAAAGAGACTTGCGCTGAATCATCGTCTCAATAATTTTTTTGACCGGTCTCAATGGCTGTTGATAACCTGACATTTTTTTTTGCTGCTAGATGATATAGGGGTATTCTGTGCCTTAGACCTCTGTTCTCTGATTGCCATTCATCTTATTAAATGGAGCAGTTCATTAGACAGAGGCATTATGAATCTGATTTGCATTTACCCATATTCATATTGCATACATCAGAACACAAGCTTGATATTTGAGCTTCAACAGCCAATTGAGAATGCATATAAAAAAAAAGAGCTTTTTTTGTCCAAAGAAGCCACTCTGAACATAAAATGTGATTCACAGGTGAATCAGTCCACGTGTATGTCTTTGTTTTGCTCATCAATGTCAGCATTTGAATTATAAAATGCAAAACCGATGTTACAGCAGCGGAGAGAATGTTGAGCGTGTTGTTTTTTAAATGATTCTATCCTGGTTTTTAAATCCTCTTCATCTAAACCTTGTTTTCCGCTGCTGAGCACATATACATTTACCATGGTTTGACTCATATTATGGCACACCATACCCTCCAGTTACCCTATACATCATTATTCCAGTATAATGAAATCCTATCCTCATGGATAGAGTCTGTGTGATTTAACATTTATTTTCTGACTGCTTGAATATGCCTGTGATGTATCACCAATCTGATTCATCCTGAAGTGACTTTTTATGCTCCCTTCCCGTCTATTTGCCTTCTCTCAACTATGTGCAATTCTCTCTGAGTGTATGTGCATGTCTAAATGTGTGTAAATTTACGCTTTGTCCCGCCTTGCAGTGCGATGAAGGCCTGATGCCGGGCTGTAGCCCCAGGCTGTTGAGCTGAAAAGGAGAAGCTGTAGGATGCATTGGGCCACTCTAGCAGTGGCCCTGGGGTGTGCGTGCCTGTCTTGGGCCTCGCACAGCCCCACCCCCACCCCCACCTCAACACACACCCCTCTGGTAGACAACTCCGAGGAGGAAGTGGACGAGCCGTGCTTCGAGCCGTGCACGTGTGAGGTCAAAGAAGGCGTGTTGCACGTGCACTGTGATGGGCGGGGCTTCACTAATGGCAGCCAGGTACACACTCCTACTTATTTATCTGTCCATGCAATAACATCTACCTTATTAAAACACCGCATCTCCAACTCTAATATCCTGTGGCTAATGTGGCTTATGATTATTTCTAACTGTCCACTTCATGTAATTAATAAGCTAACTAATCAGACCTCTAATTAATCACTCAGGTGTCACAGTCATGGGTCCGCCCTTTCAAACTCAACCTCCAGAGGAACTCTTTAAGACGTCTCTATAGCAACGGGTTTCAGCACCTTGGCAACGCAGTGTCGATAAACCTTGGTAACAATGCACTCCAGGACATCCGAGTGGGAGCCTTTCATGGGCTGGCCAAATTGAGACGTCTGTACCTTCATGAAAACAAGCTGGAAGTCTTCAGAAATGACACCTTTGCTGGTTTGGAGGCTCTGGAATATCTCCAGGTAAGCTCGAGCAGATCCCGGTTGATTATCCCTGATTGACTGAATTATTGGACATTTTGCCACTTCACACAATGCATAGCTTGAACAGAAACAATCAATGGATAGCAGGTGGTCTGGGTGAAATAGGGTGAAACAATTTCCTCCACATCTCTGTGCTTTTTTTCATGTGGAGACTGTCTGGGCTTTCAGTTCAGAATATTTTCCAATTTCAGTAATGACACCATCATGTTGTCTAACTGCAGGCCGACTACAACGTAATCAAACGCATTGACAGCGGTGCGCTGAGGTTTCTCTACAAGCTCCGAGTTCTCATTCTGAACGATAACCTGATCCCTGTTTTGCCTGCTCATCTGTTCAGGTTAGATCCCGATCACTTACTTTTACTGAAATGCTTTTTAATTGTGCCAGAGCTGATCTAAAAAAGCTAGAATTTCATATTACAATAGATGCATTTGATTAATCATTAAATTAAAAGACTTCTTGCTTTGTATTTCTAATTTCATTTCGTTTGTTTATTTTTAATCTAACTCACTACTCCCCCCCACCTTCCTGCACTAGATCTGTGTCTCTGACTCATTTGGACCTGCGGGGAAACCGTCTGAAGAGCTTGGCATATGCTGGGACTCTGGAGTATGTTGGCCGCTCCCTGATGGAGCTACAGCTAGAGGAGAATCCTTGGAACTGCGGCTGTGAGGCGGTGCAGCTACAGCAGTGGCTCGGTCAGATCCCCTACACGGCTGTCGTTGGGGATGTCACCTGTGAATACCCCTTCCACCTTCATGGCAAGGACTTGAGGGAAATACCCCGCAAAGAGCTGTGTGCTGACCAGCCGGATAAAGAGCTCCAGGGAGAGCGTGGCGGTCCATCATCGGGCTCGCAGCCCCAGCACTTGCCCCCCAACTCCAAACCCAACTCCCACCCTGGGCGAGTTCGACCGACCAAACCCTCCTCTATGGTCCACGGCTCTCGCCAGAATACTCACACTTCCTCCACTTCCTCGTCATCTTCCTCAGCGGAGCGTAAAGACAGGGAGAGGCACCTGAGGCCGACTAAGAAGCCACGACCCTCGAGAACGTCGCCCACGTCTCGCAGTCTTATGCCAAACCAAAACCCCCCCGTGGCCGGGTACCAAACCCGGCCCCCCATCCCCATCATCTGCCCCATTGGCTGCACTTGCAACCTGCACATCTCAGACCTTGGGCTGACCGTCAACTGCAAAGAGAGTGGCTTCGTCAACGTGTCCCAGCTCACACCTCGACCTCTCAACGGCCGCAAGCTCTACCTGAGTGGAAATTTAATCCAGAGGATCTACCGCACAGACTTCTGGAATTTCTCAAGCCTCGATCTACTTCATCTGGGAAACAATCGCATCTCGTACCTACAGGAAGGGGCTTTTTCCAGCCTGACGAGTCTGAGGAGCCTCTACCTGAACGGAAACAACCTGGAGAGACTTAGCCCCCACATGTTTCTGGGACTGCAGAATCTAAGGTAGGACTTTTTCCCTTCGGATTACTCAGCATTTCCACCATATTCCCTTCTGTCACATCAGTCACGTTCACAAAGTGAAGTCACATGTCAACTAGGGTACTTAGAGATGTTTTTGTAAATATGGGACTGGCACAGCACAGTGCAGAAAATTTTGATTAACATTATGCTCGAGTTTGATTTAAATTAAAAGTATCCTTTCTCTTCCAAGAGTGTGATTATTTAGTCACGCTGCCAGATGACACGCTCCACTTGTGATGTTAGCCTGGTATGAGTGACAATGTGAAAATGAATGTTTCTTTTGGTTTTTCTTAAAAATTTGCATACAAAGACGTTGACAAGGATGGGAGACGTCTGGATGATGGCAGGATTTAGTGTTTTTGAAAAAGACCTGTAATAAAAATACCTTGTCAGAGTGATGCCTCTGCATGTTGTATTTAGATTAGGCTTGCAAAGATAATTCCTCTGCTGACAGTTTGTGTATTAAACACTGATGGATACAAGAGATCAGCATTCATGCTCTGTTGTCTACAGAGTGAGAAGTCATGATGCCTTCATTTTCAGGACATCACCCAGCCTTTAGTTTTTAGCTGCCCTATCTCCGTATTTTAAGACCACAGATCAAAAATTCTATAGGCCCATTAATTTGACTATTAATCAATATGAAAGATCCTCTCTGGACAGTGAAAATTTCTTCCTCTTAACCTCTCATTAGCCTTTGTTAGTGAGTTAATGGTAAGTGAGCACTATTGAGTAATTTAAACCAGATCTATTAGCTTTTTCAATCATTGAAATATATTGGATCACCAGCATGCACAGAAGAGTTTCACACTGGCTTCTATTATTTAAAAAAAGAATTCAATATTCAGTGTTTCTTTGATATAATTTAATTTGATATGCCAAGACCAGACAAGAAAGTAATCTATCTGAAATTACGCATCTTTAAATAATGATCGTTTTATAAGATGTGAACAGGGAATAGGAAAATCTAATGAAATTTAATTAATGTATTGTCATGCTGGATGTTACGCTCAACATGTACTTTTATTTTTGCTCTTTTCATTGCCTTGTCTATTGCTAGTTCTTTTAAGCACTGAGACATGGAGCATATCTCTCTTTTTCCTCTGTTTAGGTACCTTTATTTTGAGTACAATGAGATCTGTGAGGTTGATTCCGGCACCTTCGACTCCATGCCGTCCCTTCAGTTGTTGTTTCTCAACGCCAACTTGTTGCGGAGCCTCCCTCTCAGCGTGTTTTCCAGAGTCAACCTGGCTCGGCTCAACCTAAGAAACAATCACCTCCTGCAGCTTCCAATGGAGGGAGTGCTGGAGCATCTCAAGGGACTGGTACAGGTTGGTAAAACCTTTTCAATGCAAAATCACAAACTGCATTTACTGACAGGTACATATGGTTCCATGAAACAAATTGTTCTGATCCGCTATGTACTGCATGCGTAATTAAGTCACATGCCTGGCACGATTAGTAATGGTTGCAGGCGTTTAACAGTGGAAGTCATTGACATCATCATTAGTTGAATCACGCCAACTTCTGATTTACTTAACAAAAATGCATTTTCTTTGAAATCTCAGAATATTTGATTCAAAGTATAGTTCACACAGACACAATATATGATCACAGCTTGAAGAAAGAAACAAAAACATGTCAAATCTTGGATCTAGCTCCACCTGCATTCAGAAGTTCTTTCTTTCTATGATCTCGTGGCCTCTGGCACAGCTGCAGTTTTCTCCCATCATCTGTTGTTTTTGAGAGCTTGGCTGTAGCATATGGGACTCTGGTTGCGCCTCAGGTATTCCATTTGGAAAAATTGCAGTTGACTTGATTTGCATAAGTGGTCTTAATAAATCAGCAGCTAAACTGGAAAAATCTGACTCCTTCGAGTGTCTGTAAAGTATAGTTGTAATTAATGTTCATTCCAGTTAACAGACTGTATAAATTACTATATATGTTGCTTGTCCTTTTGCTATGCCTTACCTCACAAATTTAACAGCAACATTATGTGACAGGTTGCTGTACACAACACACAGATAAGGACAGACCCGAGGTATTATATTTTTTAGCCAGCCTCCTCTCACTTCAGCAAATTTAGTGTACCAGGCTTTTCTTAGACAGCTGGAGCAGAATGAGGTAAGGTGGGTGTAGATTAGCCTGAATGTCATAGTGAATTTCCGTTTCTCTTCGCTCCATGAAAAATCCCTGATTTCAGGGAATGTGAGTGAGGCGGTTTCTACACATTTGCTCAGGGAAGGGACAAAGTGGAGGAATCGTGTACAAGCAAATTACGTTTTTTGTGCAGTTGTACTCCTCTGATGTCCAACAGCACTAAAGCATTTACAAATTGGAAGTACACAGTGGGGCATATTCATAAAACCATGTGATATCTCCATTGTAGTGCTCAAAATCCATGCTACAGTTCCTGAAATAATTAATTTAGCAGGGTTGTTATTTCTCTTACAAAGGCACATTAGTGACTTTTTTTCCCGTTGGCTGCAAAAATCAACACGACAATGATTTCACCTGTTGGCTTATAGCTATCCTGTTTGAAGCTCAGGATGTGGGCTTTGTGGGCGCGGGTGTTCTTTTTGAATGAGCGTGAGAGCAAAATCAAAGGGTAACACAGATGCAGGTTGAGTTTAGATTACAGATGCTGTAAAAAGCCCTCCATTCTGATAATCATGAAACAGTACCTCAGTGTTTCATAGAGCAGGATTATTAGATTACATCCATTTACACGTTGTCCTGTGAAAAGCACTCATTTGATTCGATGTGGTGTTTCTAATTTCAGAACTAGGATATTACCGACAACAGAGGAGCAACTGAGTATTTGTCAGATAAAAGCAAAAATTACAATCCTAAAATTTCTACTTGAATTAACCATTAAAAAAGCTGCTCATATATCCAGCTCAGTGATACATAAGTAATGTTTTCATCAGTGACAGGAGTTGCGTTGCCAATTAAGATAAAGTTTGTTTGGCAATTCTCACACATGGACATCTCTCACATGAAAGCAGCTAAGTAAACAGGAAATTATTGCACAAAGTGACCGAAACAGTATTACCTGATGGACAATTTTACTTCAACCAGCAGCAAATCATTAAACTATCAACAGAACAGTTGGATACAATCACTCCCATTTCATGGAGGTGTTCAATATCTGAACATCAATCTTTAAAGAAAAGTCAATATAGTCTCTCCATTGTGAACTATAGGGTCAATATACGTACATTCAATATGAATGTTGAGTCAGCCAGCAGCTAAGCTTTCACAAAACACTGGAAACAGGGAGACACAGTGTGTATACTTCTAACTTAAAAAGAGTATGTGAAAAACTAGGCCACTAATGCTTCCAAAGTTTACTATTAGAACAGATTCAAATTTTTGCAAGAGCATGACTGTACACTATACTGTCCAAGACTGCTTTAAGCAATCCCTTCTTTTGTATTTTCTTTGGTCTCGATGTGAAAGAAATAGAAACAACCACAATTTGATTAAACTGTTATAAAAACATGGACTATTAAAGGAAAACTACTATTTTCTTGTTTGTTTTTGTGGCTGTACAATGAAATTAAGTGTTCCATTTATTCATTGTGTTTGTCAAATCATACTCAACAAGCTGTTAGTGAATCACAATCTCATCTGGTGTGCCTGTTTGCAATCCTACACTAATTTGTGCTGCCCTGCGTTGATTGTGTTGATCACTGACCCAGCTACTTACCATATCCTGTTTGTGATATTCAGAGATGTTTTTAGAGCCAGTTACATGTTTCCAGGTTTACTGAATCTATTATGCTGTGTCTTTAAAAAAAAGTTATATGAATCCTCTCATTTCTCCACTGGAATAATCTGGATCAACTGAAACTAACATACAAATGAAACATACAAATTGACATGCCTGCAGACAAAATTTATCAGACATGGCATACTTAGGTTCCAGCTCCGATATCTAGTTTAAAGCTAATATGTAGAATGACAGTGGTTAGAGAAGAAATCAAAGAGCGAATGTTTGAGGGTATAAATAATCTGATCAAGGGTCCATTAAGACTAACAGTAATTGCCATCATTTCAGATGGTTCACTTCCTGTGTTTTAAATATTATCAATACTGTTTTAAAAGCAGCCAATGTGTCTGCAGTGAAAACAACTTACTCTCATATACACCTCTTTTCAAATGAAATTGCACAGCACAGCATAAAACACAACTACCACATGTGTTTTCAGCACAAATGCAGAAGCTCAGCAAAAGTGTCTTCAATTATAGGCTTTTACGAGTTGGGAAGTTCAGCAAACTTCCAACATGCATATATTTTCTATGTCAAGAGGGAAGATAGATTTAAATCTCAATGGCTGCTTGTCTTAGCGATTTCAGATTTAGTATTATATGCCAGTGAGCCCTGTTTAACTTCAGTGAGACTTTCTTTGAAGAAAAAAACTGTCATTTCTAGCCATTACGATAAGAATAATTCAGTATTAATAACTACTTGCATTTAATTATGTTTTGTGGTGGGTAATGTTCCCGGACTTAATTAGTGTCTGATGAATTATTACTGCATTATTTGAATGTCAACATCTTTTGGTATCCAGTGTTAATGTGATAAAAGGTTTAAGTTAGTCTACTTCATGAACAAAAACCTGTGTAAACAAGCATACCCCTAATTTAAATTCCACATAGCTCCATTTCACAGGAAATTTTGAAACAGAATATATAGATGTGCTGTTCAGCAGCATTAAAAGTCAGTATTTGTTTCCCCTCAGAATAAAAGATCAAGGGCTTCCTTTTTAGATTCACCATGTTGCACTGATGTTTAGCAATCACGCAGAGGCAGAGAAAAGCCAATTTCTCTCCCAACTGTGGCCTCAATGGACCATAAACCCGTACCTTTTGTTATTACTACTGCTGCTTTTCTACCTACATGAAACCCAAGCTGACGGATAGAACAAGTTCATGCCCTTTCTCAAGGGTTTGTTGTAGTCACTCAGGGAGATATGCAAAATCAGAGTTTGAGGTAGAAGTAGGTAACCCAGGCAAAGGAAGCACATCTCCAGCAAAGTGCTCATGAATGAAAACTCATTCAATGAGTGTTGATTCAACATGATTCTTTGGCTCTGCATAACCATGAAGAAATATTTGCAACATGCAATGTGCGTGTATGAGCTTTTCACCTGAAGAAAAATGTCCCTCTACTCTAAATTCATTCCCAAATTCTATCATTTAGTGTTCAAACTAGCAATAGACTTGGCAATTAAAAGAATAATGAAACACATTCATTAGTACAGACAAGATTTGGCAAGCTGAAGCCCAAGGGCGTCTTGTCACTGGAGACTTAGGCAGAATCCTTTTGCCAGATTCTCTGAAACCTGTTTATGTTGATGGCATTTCTGTGTGCTAACTAGAGCAAATATAATGGCACAGTGATGGAATGTTGCTCTTTGAACAAGGTGGTCAATTAGACGACACACAGCTTGCCTGAGAACAGTCTGAATTTCTCCCCTGGTGTGAATATTTCACAGCTCTCAAATAAATCGTGGACAATTATCACCCGATCTTTGATCTCCATCTTAATGATGAAAACCCGCAAGAGCAAATAAGATGACTCCTTTATGTCAGTCAGCCTGGACATGTTTTGGAATAAAAGGGCTTCCTCTCGACAAAAAAACTTACCATGATGGGCTGCATCAATAAAAATGAAAAAAAAAGAAGAATGATTGATAATGTAGTCAGTGTACCCTCTGACTGACTTTGCAAGTGGAAGGATTAAACTACATGCCACCATGTTGACTAAACAATATGAAATATAATGGTCTAATACACTAGCAACACCTGTCAGGATAAGTGAGTATCTTGGATTTCCTGTCACAAAAGAACTTGATTGACATGCTGACAGCAAATCGCACACTAGGTGACCAGGCGTGTAAATTGTAAACAGCGGCGGGTGTGTTGCACAGATGCTTGCAACAAAAAAAAAGATGGGGATAGAGCCCCTGGGATTTACATAAAGACAAACAATAAAATGCTTCAAGAATTTCCGCCAGATGCAAGACTGTCGTCATGAAACTCATGAGGCGGCAAAAACAAGCTGATAGTTTGACCATGTGTTGTTCACTTAACATGTCATTTTAGTCGTTCATGCTACATCATATCACAGATGTGCCAGAGAAAAGTGACGAAAGGCAGTGGACCTCTGAAGTAGCAGGAGCTGAAACTGCATCTGAGAGTTGTTTCCACTCACCCTCTGGTTGCGGCTGATATCATGAAAGCCACGCAAAAACACACAGTGGACTAACACCAACAATGGGGGAAGAGCTGCCCATTCTAAAGTGGGAGGCTTGTGGAAGGGGCAGCAACAGCATTGCTGAATCATCTCAAAAAGCATCAATCTCTTTCTGCAAGCCAGGAAGATAGCCTAACCAAATTAGCATGAAAACATTTGAGCAAGCTCCTTGGAAGTGTGACAGAGAGAATATCAGCTTTCATTGTCAGAGCCACTGCTAAAGACATGGAACAAATCAGTACTGCACCCGGTACAACATGGTGTGATTCTCTTTGTGTATAATCTGCTTTAGCCATTTGAAAGTGTGGCAAAGTGAATATTTCAGTTTGTTTTAGAACATCCAGTGAATAGCTGGCAATGAGTAAATAGCTTTATGAGCGTACCTATTGGATTATGGCACAGGGGAGAGTTGCATCACATCCTGTCTACTGTTAAAAACAAAGTGCTGTGATACTCTCACATGCTTGTCACACAAGAGCTTTCAGTGAGTTTTGTGAATAACCACTCATGTAAACTCCGAGTGGTCTTTGTGGTGAACTAAAATCTGTTCATATCTCACTGTAGCACATGTGCAAATAGGTTTCTAAGTGAGCACTTGTGGGTGGTGTAAATTGAGACCATCTAAATCCGGCCATTCAGTTAATGATTGTATTTTATTCTTTTTAATGATATGATTTACAAGCCCTGTCATAATTAGCAATTCTTCCCATTCTTTGAAAGTCTTATGAATTAGTATTTCATTTACAACAGAATTCATAAAATGTATCCAATGTTGAATATGAGGCATTGCTTTTAGTTTTTATGGGAAGTTTATAGGACCCCCTATTTCTTGCTGCTCAACAGTCTTGTGCGTTTGTCATAATTTACATTTCATGACGTCGTGAATTAATTCAGTTGGAGAAAGGTATGAATGTACAAAGCATTCAAGCTTCTTTGAATTCAAAGCCACGTTATTGGTATAGAAACAGTATGCAGTTTGACCTGCCTTACTGAAATGTGCACGGCTGAAAAAGATGTCTGCACAACACATGTTGCTCTAAAGCCTGCATATACGTTCCAGCACTGATGGTGTATACAGTATGTGCAAGTTGACGTTTCAACAGGCAGTAATGCACCCCTATACCATCAGAGATGCAGGCTTTTGAACTGAGTGATAACAAGCCAGATGGCCCCTCTCCTCAGTCAGGAGGAAGTGATGGCAACAATTTTCAAAGAGATTTTTCAGTTCATCTGACCACACAAACACTTTCCCTCTTTGCCTCAGCTCATTAGCAGCATCATTTCTTAGATGAGGCCCACTTATGGTTCCTCTTTTGAATGCGAGCCCTTTAATCTGCATGTTTGGATTATATTGTGTTCACAGAGCCCGTGCAGTGATTTCAGAATCAAGCCTAATTTTGCCTAGATTTTACAACAGAATCCTGATTATTAGTTGTGTACTTTACACGTAAAGATCTCTCCAGATTCTCTAAATCCCTTGAAGATCTCATGAACATGACTGAATATTCAAAGCCTTCACAATGTCACACTGTAGTAGGTTATTTGAGAGTGCTTCACAGTGAGTAGACACAGATTTGTGTTGCTGCTGAAGCTCTGCCCATCATTTCTTATCAACTTAATCGGTTGTGACACATTCGTTCAGATGTTTATCTTTAGTTCCACTTTATTTTCTATCCTTTTGTTGCCCAGCCTCAGTTTGAAGACTTGTTACTGCCATCAAATTCATGATGAGCTATTTGTCATGAAACAGTCAAATCCATTTTCAACATTTGATTTGTTTTCCATACTCTGATGTGAATGAAATATTGATATATAAGATTGCGTACCATATTCTGTCTTCAACTTTTCTTTTCTTTTTAGATTTTTCTGTTGCACAGATAACAGATCTATTAGTCATCTGTATGTTTTAAAAATCATTGAGTGGTACCGGGATATGGTGGAAATGGAAGTCTATTATGCAAAGGCTAAATAACCCATTTTGTATATGATATATTCGTACTGTTAAAGGGAAAAGTAATGGATCGAGCATTGTTTCTCGTTGTGTCACCATCTTAGAGAATGTGCTGGTGGCTTGTTCTTCAACATAAGACATATTTACAAAATTACTTATATAGGACACAAAGGTGGCAGCGAAATTATATATTTTTGTTTGCATTTAACAGAGTGATTAATCAATTTGCCTTGCATGCCAGGCCAGTAATTAGCGTACTATTACAGAATGACAGTGTGCTGTGGTGTGATGTATTCCTCCAGGTGGACCTGCAGCAGAACCCGTGGGAGTGCAACTGCGAGGCCGCTCCGCTGAAGCGTTGGCTGGAGGGGCTCAGCGCGGTGGTGGTGGTGGGAGAGGTTGTGTGTCACTCCCCAGAAAAGAGCAAAGGTGTTGACCTGCGCTCTCTCTCCATGGAGCTGCTCTGCCCTGAGCTGGAGCATAAGGAGGACCAAGAGCAGGAGGAGCAGACAGCAACCTCCACAGCTGCAGAGAAAGGCATATCCGTTGGCTATCCCAGCTCAGGGGTAGGACCCCTTATCCCCCCAGGGATGGATTCAATTCCTCTGTCGGTGTTAGTGCTCAGCCTGCTGGTGTTGTTTGTCTCTGCGTTCTTTGCGGCAGCGGCACTAATCGCCTACGCCCTGAGGAGAAGGGACAAGCTGCCGTTCCGCCGCCAGGGAGAGGTAGACCTGGCTGGCATCCAGATGGAGTGTGGCATCTTCACTGAGCAGACGCACCACCACCACCACCACCACCACCACGGCCTCCCGCAGAAGCCACCGCTACCTCCCCCTGAGCACAACCACGTCTACGACACCATCCTGCCCCCGGAGGCTGCGTCCAAAGGCCCCGACCCTGCTGCCCCGGCCTCACGCATGTGTAGCAGCCCCATCTACAAAGACGAGCAGGACACTGCCGTCAAACAGCGGCCGCAGCAGCAGCAGATGTTCGCAGCCTCTAAAGAGTCCGAGGGGGAATACTGTTCTCCAGCGGAGAAAGAGAGAGAGTGGGCACTGGAGGTGTCCTCATCGCCCATCAACACTGTCACAGGAGCTATAGGACCACTGGCCAGCCTCCACGGGAATGGCATCCTATGCCCAACGGTTATCGACAGCCAGGGCCCCACTCCTAAGGTGGAACTGGTGGACTGCCTCTTCAGACTCCCCACCCCAGAGTTTCGGGATCTGCCAGACAGGTACGCGAGGCCCCCGCCCCGCTACCCCTACACAAAAGACTCGGAGCAGGACGCGAGACCGGACCAAACGCTGGTCGTCACCACCGCCAGCTCCACGGCGGGTGGGAACGGCACCCAGAGCGAGCAGGGAACCGGAGAGCAAAGACCCAGACTGAGGACCACGCCAGACTACATGGAAGTACTGGACCGGTCTTACCAGTTTTAAAACCCCCTCCTCGTCCTCATGCTTCCCTTCTTCTACTGTCTCCACATCATCTCCCCCTGTGACTATGAATCACACAGAAACAATGACTCCTGTACAAAGGTTGGCTTTGAGAGGAGCTTGTGGGGGAGTGGGACTACACTACACACTATGTTTATTTCTGGAGCTGAGGTCAGTTTTTGTATTTTACCCACAACAGGCATATACATTGGTTTTTGGCAAACGTTTTGCTGATCCTAGATCTCTGCCTGGAGGCAAGTCTTCGGCTGCAGTTTCCACAGTGTTTTTTCTTTTTTTTTCCCCCTCCACAGTAAGTTTTTCTACTCAGCACCACAATTAGCAGGATTCAGCATGGTGGTGGGCGTGAATGTTATCACTCTCAAAAGACCTGAGTGGAGGTGAAAAACACCAGCTCTTAACAGCATCAAACACGGAGTCATAAACTTTGACAGCTGCGAGGAGTTGAGCGAGCTGGGCGCACACGCAAGACAAAGAAACGACAGAGACAAAGCGAGAAAAATAACTGAAAATAGCCAAGTGCCTTAGCAATGAACAGCCAGCAGTGTGGTCAATGCTTATTTTTCTATGAATACAGATCTATTTATCTAAACAAAGAGGTTTGACTACCAATGGATGGGATGCTGATGGACGACAGACTAAAACCAATCAAGACCCAAGAATAATTGCATTCCCTGGATGAGCCAAAAAATAATAGTATACCCAGTCAATATCGGAGTGGTTTATATGCAGTTCTGTCCATTTTCCTCATCTCACACAGTCAACTTGATTTGATTATCTCGTTCAATTCTTTACACGGCTGCGAAGGAGAACAAATCCGAAAATAGTCGGTTTGTAGAATGAAAGTCTAGGAGGGTTTCGCTCGTAAAAAGGACAGTATTCAGAAATGATTGCTATTGTTTTTTTTTTTTTACACCAGACAAAACACAGGGAAGCCCATTTCGAGAAGGACATTTTGGCAACGGATGCATTTTGGATTTCTTTATCAGCCAGACTTATTGGGGCCATAAGGACCTCTGCTTCACATTTTCTTTCACTGGACAGAGGCACAGAGGTTATTGCTTTGATTTTTAAGCATTTTTGGAGGAAATTTGAACTGCAAAAAAAAAAAGAACGGGACAAAAAAAAGATAAAAAGAACAGGACATAAAAGGCACTTTTTTTTGTTTGTTCAAAATGATGGAGAAAAAAAAAGACACTTCTATCAACTATTGATTAATATCTTTTATGGAGGTACCTTTTTATGCTTTCATCTCCTACCAATAGTAGAGGCAGTTGTGAATATATTTATTCTTAGTTTTTGCGTGTTGGAGCTCTCCTGTAAGGGATCATGTTATATTAATGTATAGGATGATTCTGCATCTGGTTCAGCCTTCTTACCGCCGACCCACAAAATACAATAAAGGGTGCTACATTAAAAAAATACTTGCGCTGGCAGCTACTCTGTGGCACATACACACAGACACACAAGCACACACCTCGACCTTCCATAAACGCACACTCGCTTCCCTCTGTCTCCATTGCCTTAATAGTGCATGAAAGAAATGGGGTCTGCTAAGCCTGTAAGCTTGTCCACGCAGCGTGTTGAAGAGATCAGATGAAAATTGAGCCACGCTGAGTGCCTGCAGGACTCCTTACACACTAAAGGCTGGAGATAGAAGCTAATAGTGGGAAATCTTCCACATTAACGGTATAAAATCAATACAACCTATTTGTGAAATGAGGACATGTAAGGTCCGTGGCCCCCCCAGGGCCGAGGTCATGAATTGAAACCATCTCTCTGGCTCCTGTGTCTTTCACAGTGATCTTTCCTCTTGCCTCTCTTTTCATCTCCCCATCTGATTTGTTTCGCTCTCCACTTTTCCTCGGCACTATTCCCCCGCTCTCCTCCTCACCTTTTCCTTTTGTTCTTTCCTCTCTCCTCTATTTCCCCTTTTCTCTCAAAGTAGCGTCTGTCAGCTCAGCCTCACAGGGTGGACATGGGGAGATGCTGTTCTATATGCTGCTCGACACACAGGTAGCTCCCGCTGAAAACGTGTGTGTTTTCTTTCATTCTTTCTCTCTTTCCGCCGGGCTCTTTCCATCCTTTCTGTGATGAGCGCAGTTCTTCAGACGCCTCCTCACTCTCAGCGTTCAGAACTCTGTTGCACAGATAATCCCCCCTGTGGAGGTGTGCGCGCACACTCGGGACCACGTGTGTGTGAACCGAGAGAGGTGTGCCTTTGTTTGTAGGTGCGTGTGTGTGTTTAAGGAAGAGCAGGGAGCTGGCTGTTTGTGCAGCCTGTGTTTGTGTGTGTGCGTGACGGAGGGATGAGTGCTGCTGTACAGCCCCAGTCCAGCCTTAATCCTCTAAGCTGTGTAGTTCACTCATGCCACATCAGCCCCATTGTGTCCTCAGACAAAGAAGCTCAGTTAAAACTAAATGCCAGTTAAAGCAACAAATGACTAATTATAGCATCATTCTCTCTGTCCTATTCACACTTTGCTCTCACGTTGAACGCTTCCCTCCTCACTTCCTCACCTATAGAGTCTAATTTTTTACCTAATTCATTTTGGACTGGTTTCGGCTTTTTATTTTGGTTACGTTTTTTTTCTTTTTTTTCTTCTGTATTCATGTTTATCTGTCTGACAGCTTCGCCATGGTTCATGTGTTTGGGTCCTGTCAGAGCTGTCCTGTCACAGTGTGAAAAAAAAAAAAAAATCATTCATTTCCCAGAGTCGAGGATGAAAGAGTCTTTAGACTTCAAACGCCTGTGGGCCACTGTGGCTTAGATTGCCTCTCGCGCGTTCTCCACCGTCATGTCATTTATTCCTTAAGGAAAAAAAAAAAAAAAGGGAGCGAGAAAGACAGGGAAAAAAACGGCAGCTGTGGCGTTGGTTAAGTAGAGATGGCAGAGACATGGTGAGGAGCCGAACAATTAGCCTGATTAAAATGCTGCCATTTTGCATGATAGATTTAACCAGAGCTGCGTTAAGGCGGATCCTTTCCGAGGGAGTGTGTGCGATTCAGTGTGTGAAAACATATTCTTCTCTGCATAAACATGCAGGGTATTAAAAATGCACAGTTGGGCAGGGTTTGATGTCAGTGAAAAGAGATCTGTTTAAAAGTCATGGTGCATAGCTGCAGAGGCTTTGGTGTTGGGCCATGACAAATAGTTGTGGTTGAGCTGGTAATCTTTATCAAACACACACGTACACAGAAGCACATAACCTGTACGTCAGTGTATCGGTGCTGGAAAACGTGTGCACACCTCCATGAGCAAACACAAGTTCACCACTAATCAAAGGCAAATTAAATATGTACACAAACTGTACATACAAGCACAGTGTGACGCCGGGCTGTGATGTTGTTTGGTTGCTCTGCATTGCAGTGATCGGCCCCACACTTCTCCTCTGCCTTCACCCGAAAACAATCACTGGCTCTCAGTGGACAACACCACTGAGCGAAATACTTAACACAAGGAGAGCAGCAGCAGAAAGAAAGCGAGAGGGGAAGGAGGATGATGATGAGAATGTAGGGGGGGGAAACAGGGACTAAAGAGTACAGAGGGAGATTTGAGGCAGGATGGGAGGAGATGAAAAGAAGTGGAGAAAAGATCAGCAAGCGGGTGTTTCCAAGCTTAAGGCTGCTGGAGGACTTGTTAGCGTGTGTGGGAGCGGAGGGTTACAGTACTTGGAGTCGACATGTGTGAAAAGACCGAGATATTGTACAACCGTGTCTGCTCTCAGGCACGCGACGCCACCCACACGATTTCTGCCAAGACTTGGTGCTCAATTACACATCTGCCAAACAGTTGTAGTTAAAAGGTGACGATTTCTTTATTCTTCGAGTGTTGCATGACAATACTTATTTACAGCGCTGTGGAGCAAAATGGTGGGTAAGCTGATGTGTGTCTGTTACCGTGTCAGTGTGACACTGCAGTAAGCTGGGAGGAAGACACTAAGATGGCAGGGACCATCCTGCTTCAGGCTTTTGAGCCTTACAGCTCCATGCTGTGTTTTAGTGGGGCTTTCATTTGTGCATACATCCTTAAATAACACTTGTCTGAGTTTGAGACATTGTGTTTGTGGATTCCAAAACAGACAGAAAGGGGAGAGTATGGGTGACTGTCAAGGATAAATACTCTGTGTCTACATTTTCAACTGAAAGGTGCAAACACACACTGCCCACCTCTAGCTTCATTTCAACTCTCAGAAAATGCTTGCACTGATAAAAAGAAAAAAGAAAATTAGAGGGGAGGTTAGTGCTGATTGTGCATTCCTGTAAAAAAAAGAGATAATTAGTTTCCATAATCCACATCACTTTACCGGTCGCAATGCTATTCATCTAAAATATGATTCTCACTTCTTTTGCTATTATCACGGAAGCCAATTATCCAAAAATGGACGGTACACCAGGTATTTGCTTGGATTGAGCCATAGAGAAAAATCTACAGAGCCTGAGGATCAGTGTGTCTCTGAGGCAGCTTTAAGACAGTGTTGATAGCACCATAAATTCTGATTTGTGAATGTGTCTCCCTGCTGTTTCCTTCTCAGTCGGGAGTGAGCCAGGAGCAGAGGATTACAGCCCACCTCAGCACTGGAATGCCTGTTGGCTTCTATAGCACAGCTCCCATCACCTCCTAAATACCACAGCTGGTGGTTTTAGTATTGAGAGGCAGTGGGCCACACAAATGTCGACTTTGCACTTCATTTATGATAAACTTAAGTCGGTCTTAATCTCCGCCCTCCACCGTGTGTAGAACCAATGTTTGGAACGACATGTTTATCTGGCAGGGAAGGTGAGGGGAGTGGGAGCCAGGGAAGGCACCGGTTCACAGAGATAACCCAGAATATCTTCTCTCCCTCCATGTGCCACTCTGAAACTCAGTGTGATTGTGTTTATGTGGCAGGGTGCAGGGCCGTTACAATGATTTATAGGTCCTGTGCAAAGAGGGGAATTCTGGACACATGCTTCTACTTTTTCTTCACTGCAGTTTTGGCCTCAATTTACCAGAACCCACATTTCACACTTTAACTTCCTAATAATTTTATTTTAAAAAATCAGAAAAAATCGGCTGTGAAATTAAAATGGTTGACTTCCTGTGTGCTTGAAAAGTTACCAATTAAACCTTTTGTTTTTTTTATCATGTAAGGTGAAACTAAAACCTACACATTTTTAAGAGCTCAAAGGAGATGTTGGATGCCTTTTTTTGCTCCTTTTCAGTCCAGACCTTGTGCCACGTTTTTCAAGAGGAATGTCTCCTTTTTATTTGATGTGCTTTGTAACTAAACGACAGCCCATGAATGATCGATGAATGTTGATGAAAACACACTTGAAGACAAATAATAGTGTTATTGCACACGCAAGGTGATTCCCTAAGAGCTATCGGCTGAAAAAAGGAATATTTCAGCATGATATGCTGCATGAGTTTAAAATAATTTGTGGAAAGTGTGCTTAGAGAAAACGCTGAGCTGTGGCAAATGGCCCAAGAAGTGGACTGAATCCTCCCTGTAGTCTGGATTTCATAATATAATATAATATTGAAGCAGTGGGATCATCTGACAGAGAATGGCACAAAAGGCAGCCAACATCCAAAGAAAAAGCTTTTTAACTTTTCCTGAAGACTACTATTGAATTTCAAACCAATTGGAATTGTACGAACTTGATTGTTTTGTTCATCATAATTCTATATATGCTTGAGCAGGCTCAAATAAATTACAGCCCCCCCCCAAAAAATCCTATTTTACATGTAGCATAAGGATTGGCGCAATACGTTTGCATTGGATTGTTGGATGAAATTCAGACACTCCTTTTTTGTCACCCTTAAATATGTAAAAACTCCAGACACACAGACAGCTTGCAGGCATTCAGAGAGGGTGTGCAGCAATGACATTGTTTAATTTGATGCTATTTTGTTAAACTAATAATCACAATGCTGTAACAAATGAACTGACTGCAAATATTGACGTCAGCGAGAGTTATGTGGATCTAACTCAGTGCTAGTTAGTGAGCCATCACACCCATAAAAAAAACTTTTAAAACACATTAGTCAATATTTTTTTATGTTAACAAGTAAGCAAACAATGATGTTTAAAGACAGAGGAGTTACTGTTTGTGAAAGACCCACAGAATTATGTCTGGCCAACAAATAGGTGCACGTCAGTGTAAGGCTTTTTACGCTGCCCTCGAGTGGGCAAAAAAACTCGAACACAAAAACCAAATCAACCAGATCAAACAATATTAATAAAGCAAAACAAACGCGCACACACTATCCTTGAATTAGTCTTCACTGATCATATAAATAGTAAATGCACCGAAAATCAATATGTACCGGGTTCTTCCTTTTTTACCGAAGATTTGTGGGTGTTAATGACCACACATGGCAAAAAACCCAAAACAAATAATATCAGTATGCATTTTGC